TGAGAGGGGGTGAACAGCTTGTGGAGAAGTTATTGTCCATTTATGGTTATCGAGGTGATATTGATTTGAGGTCATATCACCCAGCCCTAGTTTTGCTTTTATTCCAAATTCCCTTCGGCGACCTAAAAGAGGCGGTAGTCCGGCTATCATACTGCCTTTTTTAGGTCGCATCATCGTCCCCTTCGCTAAAGAACTACAATCCCATGAAACCTCATCTGTCAAAAACCGCTTCTGTAATTTGTCCAAACCAACCACAATCTTCTGCGTCATCCAGACCAACTTCCAGTCGATCCAGCAGCCCGAGCACATGTGGTACCTACACCAGGAGTACCGACACATTGAGCTTCTCTTCCTCCTTCTCTATACTCTTCCTGTCTGTGTCTCTATCTTTAAATCATCAGGTCCAGTTCAAGTCACTATCTCAGTCTTTTCTGGGAGTCCCTGAGATCCATAATACGGTAGGTTCCTCTAAATCGCTGCTGCATCTCCCTCTCTTTCCTCTCTAAACCCAGCTCAGTCTCAGCAGACGACTGTCTAACATCAGTCTGGTTCTGCTCGAGGTTTCTGCCTGTAACTTGAGTGGGTCTGACCTTACACTGCGTCTGGTCCAGACCAGTTTTTTTACTGGCCCACTGAGCATTTTTTGGTCTAAAAGAGGTCTAATAGACGTCTAAATGTAGCCAAGACGACTGGTCTAAAATCAGGCTACCACAGGTCTAAAACGTTTTTTACATGTTTAAATTTAGACCAAGTTTAGACTAGCCAGCTATATCTAAACTACAATGTATATCGCTCAACAGCTGTCATAATTACTTTGGTTAAGTACTTGGGGTCAGTTATGCGACTCACAGTTGTTTTTTTAAATAAATAGTTATCGAATAATGGGTTAAAGTGCTACATCTAGATTCCGTCTAAAAATCTACAGAATCTAGACGGTTAAATTAGGTCTAAAAATAAACTAGACGTCTAACAGCGTCTTTTGCTCAGTGGGGTTACAGAATACTGGGAGCGTGTGAAGGACTGCTGATTAATGCCTATTTGAAGTTCAGCGGCGCTGAGTGTTGATGACTTTGCTGTTTCTTCAATAACACTTTGTTTTTATTGAGTTTACCCCAAAGCAGGAGCAGGTCAGCTTTCTTTAATCAGGAGAAATTGGGATTAATTTCGACCCCAGTTGTGGATGCAGGTGGGCGGCGAGCATCGATTTGAGGAGGACTGAAAAACAGAAGCGGGGAGCGGGGCTGAGAGTATAAATAGAGCGTACGTAAGAAGAGTGACTAAATTCATTACAAAACAGGCTGCGTCCTCTTTTCACCTGAGCTTGTAAACAGATTAGCATCCCGTCCTGCAGCGGCAACAATCCCATCAGCCCCCACTTCCTGTGCCCACTGCTCTTTTATCCTGACTGAGTGTGAGTCCAGACTCCGAGTGTTTGATAAGAGCCGAGGAGGAGGAAGAGGAGGTGGAGGAGGAGGAGGAGGGTTTTCATCAGATGAATACTGTTTCAAGTTTTCATTTCCGCAGGGTGTGAGAGCACACGTCGATGAGGTACGGAGAGATGATGAGTGGATAGAGAGAGAGAGTGACTTTGAATGTGTGAGCAGAAAGAGAGATACCTGAGTGACGCACAAACACAGAGGGGTAGATGGAGCTCCACCGCTGCTGCTGCTGCTCCGTCTTTGAGGCTCACTGGAATAAAAATCACAAAATTGATTTTCTGAACGAAGTTCACCCCAAAAATACCAATACGAGGCAGAAATGATATGAACCTGTGCTGTGAGTACTCTCAGATTCATGGAGGTGAATTTAGAGGAAAAGTTTGTGTAGAAATACTGAAAATAAATGAATAAATAAAACAAAAATACTCTAAATAATAAATGAATAAATACAACAGAAAAACTCCTAATAACAAATAAATAAATAAAACTGAAATACTATTAATACTAAATGAATAAATAAATAAAATAGAAATACTTTAAGGAATAAATAAAAAATTAAGTAAATAAATACATAAGAAAAATATAGATACTCTTAGTAAAGATTAATAATTAAACATAAATAATAAATAGATAAATAAAACAAAAATAGTCTTGATAAGGAATTAATAAATAAGAAAATAAATGAATAAATGAATGAAATAAAACTATTTTGTAATAAATAAATAAATAAAACAGAAATACTCTAAATAATAAATAAATAACAAAAATTCTTAATGATAAATAAATAAACAGAACATAAATAATCTTATTAAATAAATCAATAAATTAAACATAGGTACTCTTTAGAAAACCTAAATAAATCAAAAATACTCTTAAAAAAATAATTAATTAATTAATTAAAAAAGAGAATATTCTTATTAATGAATAAATTAATAAATAAATAAAACATAAATGCTCTTAATAATAAATAAATACTATAAATATTTTTAATAATAAATAAATAAATTTCACTAAAATACTTGTAAAAATAAATAAATAAATAAAACAGAAATACTCTCGATAATAAATCTCTCTTTGAGTCAATTTCATCTTACCTTTTTGCTGATGTTGTCCTGCTCATGTTAAAGGAAATCCAAAAGGTTGGTCCTGAAAGTTGTTTTTATGACTGACCAGCAGGTGGCCCCTGAGTAAAGAAGTTTGATTTAAAAGTCTTCAGAAAAAGATCCTCTAACTCACTTTAATGGTCTCCTATAGTGTTCTGGTCTTTAAAGTCTTCTCCATGTGGTCTAGTTTCTGCATTTTTAGATTTTAGTCTTTTTTAAAGTAGAACAGAAACTTTTCGAGAACCTAAATTTAGGTTTCAGGATGCCAAATGCTCTGTGTAACATCTACCTTGTCTAATTCTGCTGATAAAAAAGACAACACAGCACTTCACCAACCTGAGATTTTAAAGCTGTGGTCCAAACATCTCCTGTCTGATGACTGAACTTCATTTAGTGATCACAGCGCTGCACTTCAACAACAAAAACATTTGTCTTACCTGCTGCTTCTGAGATGTTTCCTGCTCTTCCTGGTTGAGCGAGGACCCCTCTCTTCCAAAAGGGTCTCCAAGGGATTGCCGGTGTAATATTGGATTAAAGTTGAACATGATAACAGACACACTTCTGGGAGAGTACCACAGCTGAGTTAAAAGACTCAAAAATCACATTTGCCAATAAACTAGCAGACTGTAATTTACTATGAAAAAAGATCCACCTTTTTCACTTGTTTTTATTCACATGCAAAACTAAGAAAACAAAAAATACTTGTAAAAAAAAAAAAAAGAAGTGAGGCAAAATGCATAAATATGTGCAGTAAGTTCTTACAGAATTTTCCATCAAATAGGAAAAACAAAAATAAAAGAAATTATATTTCAATCTTTTTTTTCTATTATGAAAAACATTTGACCCTTTACATCAAATCACTGCAACAACCCAAATATAGTTTTTAATCTTGTTTTTTTTTTTTTCAGAGCAGTTAGAAAAACAAACAAGTGAACGACATTATCAAGCTGATGATGAAATTCTGCTAAATTCACAGATTTGAGTAACAGACTATTTAATTTAGATTATAGTTGACCTAACTGAACACCATAAATCCTGTTTTTAAAACCATGTCTTCATGATAAGCAGTAAAAATAATTTGCATGTTGTAGGAGAAACCTTAATACAGGAAGGTGCAGAGCTGTAGAGCAGACAGCAGATGGCGACAAACCTCTAAATATGATAAAACAACTTATTCTCACCCAAACATAGTCATGTTGTTTTAGTTACACAGAAACAACGAGAAAAGGCTTATACTTTATCTTTGTCACAGGAAATCTGAATGTTATATAAGTGTTGATTAAGGGTAAAAACATGATTGAATTTTATACATTTTATAACAATAATCTATAATAACAAAAATAACAAGAGAAAAAGGTACAGTACGAAAATACTTCTGTCTAATCTGCAAAAACAAATAAAGCAAAATACAACAAACTCAAACAGATTTATAACCCTCTGAGCATTTTTTGGTCTAAAAGACGTCTAAGGTTCACACTGCAGGTTCTGATGCACAGTTCGGATTTCTTGTTAAATCCGATCTTTTTGTGCGGTCGTTCACATTACAACAATGAATGCAGCATCTAATATGAACAGAATGCATCCTGCATGCACACAAAGCACAAATTGCTTTCCGCGCCTGTTTGTGTTGTCGAACAATGGTGACGTTTGTCGCATATTGACGACGTATAGGTCGGATGAACGCGACCTGAGCGTCCACATACATATCCGATTTATATCCAGAAGCCTGGATTGGATTTGAAAAAATCAGAATTGACCTGTTCACACTTAGATGAAAAAATCCGATATGTGTCACATAAGGTAAAAAAATCGGAATTGACCAGCGATGTGAACACAGACTAATAGACATCTAAAAAGTAGCCTAGACGACTAATCTAAAATCAAGCTACCACAGGTCTAAAAAAAATGTAAAATACTACGCCGTTTATTGCTTAACGGCTATCATAATTATTTTGAAGAACTTGGAGATCAGTTCTGCAACTCACAGTTGTTTTTTGAAATAAATAGTTATCGAATAATGGGTTAAAGTGCGACGTCTAAATTCAATCTAAAAATATACAGAATCTTGACAGTTGAAATTAGGTCTAAAAATAAACTAGATGTCTATTAGCCGTCTATTGCTCAGTGGGAACCTTCAGTCCATGTAAGCGACCATGTACGATTACGACTGCTAAGATTAGTCGGATATTGCTCGATATTGTTGCACATCGCTATTTGACTAAGGACATGAGTGATTGCAAATGGGGCGGTGGGTTCCCCTTTTTCACAGGATCCAGATCCATGCCAAAGGTCGGGGTTCCCACTTTTTAAAGAGCCATCCAAAGTACAGAGTCAACCATGACACCCCGATAGTTTGTTTTCCATTGAGTCTGCACAGCGGTTACTTTTATCATTCCGACTACGTCATGTGACACAAATATGGTAATTTCCCCGCTCTTTGCAGGAACAGCAGAGGCAGTGAAAGGCTACTCGGCAGGCAGAACCAGAACCCAGACATCAGAACCACACAGCCATCGTCATGGTTTAGCAATAAAGATGCATGCAGCCCCGTGCAAACCAGCAAACCCAAGTACTTCAAGAAAATGATCACTGTTAAGAACGCGAGAGTAAGAAACGCCTTTTTCTTTGCCTGATCGACCCGTTTCCTGTCCCCGAGTGCGTCCCCCGGCCCGGGGCGAATGAGTGCGACGAGAACTGAGTGGCTGCAGTAGGTTATGATTGACAACCCGATGGCGAAGAACAGGAAGAAGGGGATGGTGGGTAATGAGGTGGTAAAAACCATCATAAGAAGCAGCATTAAAGAGCATGACAGCCAAATGCAGCCGATGCAGGTGTTTCTGACATTGATGCCCTTCTCTGATTTCATTTTCAGGTAGGTGACCGGGTGGATGACCGCCAGGTACTGCTCCACACAGGTGAGGCACTGAAAAAACAGCCGCCCAAGACAAACCACAAACAAAATATACACCCCCGCTTTCATCATGTATTGCTTTTGGGCGAAGTTGCCGTGACAGTAAAACACGCTTCCAAGCAAACCGATGGGCTCCATGGCGACAATGTTGAAGGTGAGGAGGTCAGAGTGGCTCACTGTCCTCGCCGCGGAGATCTGACGCTGTTTGCGCCATTGTTGGACACCCGCGTGGAGGATGAGGCAGCAGAGGGGCAGGAGGAGGATGGACGAGGTGACGGTGAATGAAGTGAAGACCACAGAGCTGGAGAAAGACCCATGACACTTGAAGTACTGGGGGAACATGAAGGGGTTGGCCGGATGTGATTGGATGGTTTCATTGGATGGATGTGAGGAGTTGGGACACATTTTTTCAGATGGACCTATCAGAGAAGAGAAAACGGATGAGTGGCTGCCTCAAAACCCCAAACTAAGATTGACTATCACAGGGCTCGACAGTGCGACCGTTTGATTCGCGACTAAAAATAGATGTGTGCGAATTGTAAAAATGTATTTAGGGGCACATGTGTGCGTAAAAAAAAATCAGCTGAGGCAACAAATGTTTTTTTCATGTAAATACTGCGGTAAATAAGGGACCATCAATAAATTACCGGTTGATGTTCTCAGAAAAGGCTGTTTTCCTTCAATAGCTTCCACGTCATGTGACCAATTGACCTAAAGTTGATTTCAAATAATAGTACTAAAGTCGACCAATAAGACACACATTATTAGGAGTTACTTTTTTTGCGCTATCTCCAATAACTTAACTTTTATTGCGTAACTTTTACACATGCGCATAGATATAACATTTACAGTATTCAAATTCAATTCCTTCATGTGTTTACATAGACTGCATGTCACCCTTGCAAAAGTCAGCGCCCCAGTTTGCCCACCCCCAGCTAAATAAGTCAACGGAAACGGCATATGCGCAGAGCAAATCTGGTCAGAATCAGCTAACAGTGATTTAAAGTACCAGGACTTCTACAATAGGTTCCCTGAAACTCACCATACACAGGACAAAGGGTCCAAATCAGATCAGGGATTGTTAGAAACACACTTTTTGTTTTTCCAAATTTACCATATAGCACAGATCTTCTCAGGAAATGAAACATTAAAAAACTATCTCTAAAAAGCATAAATGCTCATCAGGAGAAATTCTCCCAAGTTTCATTAATGATAAATTAAAACTCCAGTTCGATCTGTTCTAAGAGAAGCACATTCTTAAATTTGACTTCATGTTTTTTTTATGTAAATCTTTGTGTTTTTAACTAATAAAATATAGATTTTAACCAGATGGAAAAAGCCTGACTTTTAAACCTCAAATTTCTACATTTGAATTCTTATTTGATTATCAGTCTTAAATGCAAAGATTACATCCTAACTTTAGTTTTCCTCTATATATAAAATTTATAAACAAACAATAAGATATACAAACCTATTCCCACTTCGATCTCCTTACTGTCGGGTCTCGGAGGACTGGACTGCTGTTCGCCCGCTCTACGATTCGATTAACACCAGATCACACATCTTAATTCATGTGTACATCGAATGGTTTTAAAAAAAACACATGAGCAGCTCTGTGGTGTTTTTTTTTTTTTGCATGCAGCAAACACAACAAAGACGTGATAAAATAATATTCACCAAAGCGCAGTAGGCAAATTTCTTGTCTCGGTTAAGTTTGTTGATAAAAGCTGACAGTGATTCTTAGCGCAGCTGTGCAACATCCTGATGAATTCATTATTCAAAATTAAACAGTTAATATTTATTTTTATATGCATTCAACTGTGAATAAGTGTTATGATAACTCATTATAGACTGCAGTGTTTACTCCTCAGTCTTGCAGGAGAACAAATCCTCACTTCGGGTTAGTGTAGGTCAGCCGTGTTGCATAAGTCGCGATCATTTACATGCATCTGCAGTAACGAGGATGTCAGCAGTTCGGTAAATTGTCCCTTTCCACGAACATCTGACCAGATTCAAATGACCAGCGTTTATTCAAACCAGACAGTCATTCATTCTGGAGCACTTGTCCGCTGCCTGTACAGTGTGTGTGTGTGTGTGTGCGGCGTCATTTTTAATACCAGATATTTAGACTTATAATTCTAATTAAAATGGATTATAATCTTGTTGGAAACATGCGGTGTCTGATATGATAAATGTGACGCACATGGTTGAATCAAGGGTTTAAAACTGACACCCTACCTTTAGAGTGGAGTGTTTTTGTTTGTCTTAGGGTATTCAGAGTTGAAAGCAGTCTGTAATTTTGCATCATCTCAGCACTGTTCAAGACGGATTATCAATTCCTACGATAGATTATACTCAACTCAACTTTATTTGTTAAGCACTTTAAAACAACCACAGCTGAACAAAGTGCTGTACATAACAAGACAAAACAACAAGATAAAAAACAATCAAAACAATGGATAAAATAAAAGCAGAATTAAAAGTAAAATATAGTTTCAATGTTTTTAAAAACTAATTTAAAAACATAGAAACAAATAACTAAAAACAAACCATAAAACACTAAAACAGGAGCCGAGTCTCATGCAGGGTTAAAAGCCAATGAATAAAAATGGGTTTTAAGACGACTTTTAAAAATGGACAGTGTGGTCTAGACAGACTGTAGAGTCCAAGGATGTCAGCAGACTGAGCAGTCCTGCCTCGGTTCTGCAGATGTGTTTATACGTATTTGCTAATTCATTTGCATGGATTTTGTTACATATATATTTCAATCTGTTCCTGGTCCTGATGATTCGTTAATAGCAGACCCATTTGTTATATCTAATTAGACTTTTATTCAAATTTTATTAAGCAGATACCAGGTTACAGCAGACAACAGAGAGGAGATCCAGAGAAGGAGACTCAGGTTTAAAACCAATACCAACAAGGTTAGTGATCTGTTTTTTACTTTCACTGATTTTTAAATTAATTATTGTTGTGAATTTTAGAAGTTTTATTTAGGCTTTTTAAAAATTCTGGTACAGGACGTTTTTTTACACTTTATCATTATTTTATTTACAGATGGAGAATTACATTAAAAAACTAATTTACAGTTTAGCAAGAAAGTAAAATGACTCGGGATAATGAAAATTATCTTTGTTGATGTCTCTGTTTAAATAAGGTTTTTTTAGTGTCAATGAACAATCAAGTAATAGATATATAGATGCGAAAACTTCAGATTAAACACTGTTGGGATGTTTTCTGAAGAGGTAAGTCATCTCAAGAGATGATTGAGGTTATAGAAGAAGGTTGAGGTCATATTGACATGCAGACTGTGTAAGAAGCATGAGATTACAATAAGCAAAAGAGAAGGAAGAGGGTCAGATTAACCACTAAGGTCACACTGCCATGGTTGATGGGTAAAGACTGAGCAGCATGAGGGCAGCCTGGTGTTTCCAGACCCTTCAGCCAGATCATACTTATTCCTACTGACATGTGGATCTCAAATCTGAACCTTTTCCTAAAGTGCCAGATAAACTGAACCAGAGACGACACAAGAGCACTGCTTCATTTCTTCCGTTTCATTGTCACGCCTGTTTTTCTGTCACAGATATGTCAGATAACTCTTCCTCGTCCAGCGACTCCCTGCTCCATCGGAACCACTCCTCAGTCAGCCTCCCCTTTTCGGTTTGCTTCATCGCCAGACCGAGCTCTTTCATGTACTTCGCCTACTTCATCACACAAATCCTCCTCATCCTCCCGCTCTGCATCCTCATCCTACACCAGGGTTTTCAACGCTGGCAGCAGCAACGCTCAAACGCCGCGGCGGCATCCATGAGCAACTTAGACTGTTTCACCTACCACATAGTCATCATAGAGCTGATAGGAGTCTTGGGACTCAGCCTCTGCTCCACTGCTGTCTTTACACTTCATGTCCGAACATTCTGGGCCGGGTACTGCCTTTTCGCCTTCACTTGGTACGGAGAGCTGTTCATGAATATCCTGACCTGTGTGGAGCGCTTCCTGGCAGTTATTCATCCTGTCACTTATCTGACTCTGAGGAGCGAGAGAGGGATCCGAATCAGAAACGTCAGTATCGGATGTGTTTGGATGTTTTCCCTCGGAGAAGTAGGTCTGCTTACTACAAGCATCTCTGCCCAGATGGATATTGTCGTCTTGACTTCTTGTTTGGTTATCATCTCCTTCTGCAGCCTCTCCGTCCTCAGCGTTCTGATTCGTCCAGGACCGGGGAACCAGGGCGGTGACAGGAAGAGTGTCAGCCAATCAAAGCAGAAGGCCTTCTTCACTATTTCTCTGATTCTGGTGGTGCTGTCGCTGAGGTGTGTTTGGAACCTGACCTGGACGTTCCTGTTTGTATCCAAAGCTAATCAATGCCTGGTAATGGGCTGTGGAGTGTGGCTCAATCTGCCCACCAGTCTTGTGTTACCCGTTTTGTTTCTGCAAAGATCAGGAATATCAGGATTCGGTAAGACCACAAAGTGAGGACAGGGAATGGCGTAGAGAAACAGCACGTCCACAACGTTGCCGGTTAATGCTTATAAATGAAAGTACCAAAACGACTATAGGTATGGGACTAGATAGACCCAGGACCACCACTGATCTGGACCAAGTTGAATATGATACAGTTCTGGATATGTACGCATTTCATTGAAAATAAAAGTTCTCTGATGAGTCTGTTGTCACTTTATTCAAACTGCTTGATTTGAGGCGGAACTTCTAATATCAACTTTTTCATCAACAGTAGTGGATAAAAAAGTGGATAAATTTAATCATGTGAAACTTTGTCCAGCCTGTTTTTTTTTAATTCAGTTCAGTTAAAGGTGGGGTAGGCAGAATCTGAGGAAGTGCCAGTTTTTGGAGAAATCTTAAATGTAAACTCTACCCCTCCCAACCAGTTCTCCCCTCAGCTCCTCCTCTCCCCTCCCTCTCTGCTCCAGCAAGCAGACGCTCCTGCTCGCTCGTATTGTTACCTCCGCAAAGGAGGTTATGTTTTCGGTAGCGTTTGTTTGTTTGTGAGTTTGTTTGTCTGTTAGCAACTTTACGGAGAAAGAAACAGACCGATTGATCTGAAATTTTCATCAGAGGTAGGTCTCAGCCCCAGGAGGATCCCATTACATTTTGGTGGTGATCCGGACTAAATTCTGGATACTGTGATCCAGAAACACACAAAAATAAGGGTGTGGTTGGAATTTTCAATGCTAAACGATAACCAATGGGCGGCAGAGTGATGTAGATTGGTGGCACTGTTGCCTCACAACCAGAAGGACCTGGGTTCGAACCTGGTCAGGGTATTTCTTGTTTAACGGGGGACATGAGCTGTTTGGCGGAGGTCTGCGCTCTCCGAGTGCTTTTCTAGTTCCAGTTGAATTCAGATCTAATGCAGACGTTGGCAGTTGTTGCTAAAGGAAGATTAAGACAATTTTCTGAACTTTCAGGTTGGTTTCTACTGTCCGATATTGTAGCATGCTAACTTTGTTTGGCTCATGATTGAGCAGCGTCTTTGTTTTCAGTCAGAAAGAGCGGACCTCTCAAAAAATCTTAAAAATGTTGACTACACAAACATAACAAAACACAGTGATATCGTTGTATTACCAAATGTCATCAATGACTAATATATCGACTGATATTAAAAACTTTTTTGTTTTAACGCCACAAAATAAGATGCTTCTTTAACAGAATCCTGCCTACCCAACCTTTAAAGTTAAACATTATCCTAATTCATCTTAACGACAGTTTCCACATTGTTCAATATTCTGGGTGACTCAGGTTGACTGAGGTGACTCATGTGTCAAAGTCACTTTGTTTTTTATTCAAATTGAGAGATGGGGTGGTGGCGACATGCAGCTGTGTATTGAGACGATCAATGAACAGAGTGGTTGCACGGCAATAAGGTGATCAGAAACCAAGTTGGAGAAGGTTGGTGCTCTTCTTTATGTTTCTCATTGACAAATGACTGAAATTGACAAGAATTTTCTTCTGGACACTCTCATATCCAACAGGAAAATTGGAGGGAAACTTGACTGATCTTCCACCTGAGGGGCAGTTTTCTCAGCACAGTACTAACCAGGTAGAACAATTCCTATTGAGACATAATATTATATGACTTTAATGATAAACATCTATCCTAAAATGGGATATAGATTTTGAAGGAGTTGGACGTGCAATTAAAGTTTTTGTTTAAAGAAAGTAGAAAATAACTGATATTTGCAGACGTATATCTTTATCATTCTCATCTCAGGTGTCCCTCCAGTTTATTGATAAATGTTTTTATCTCTCACAGATATGTCGGTTAACCACTCGTCCTCAACAAATGGCACCCATCTCAATCCTCTGCCGGTCACCTTTGCCCTCTACTTTTTAACCTGCCTGAGCAGCGAACCGAGTTCTGTAATCATGGTGGTGTTCTACGCAGTTAATGCTCTCATCCTTTTGCCTCAGTGTATCTTCATTGTCTATCTGGGCGTCCAAAGGTGGAAGCAACAGAAATCAAGCCCCACACCTGCAACAATGAGTCACTCAGACAGCTTCACCTATCATATGGCGACCATCGAGCTGATAGGCCTGTTGGGGTGTAGCTTCTCTTGTTTGGGTATTTTATTCAACCTTGTCATGTTTATGCTGCCTGGGTATATTCTTTGGAGCTTTACCTGGTATGCTGAGAATCTCTTTCAAACCCTGACCTGCGCAGAGCACTACCTGGCTGTTATTCATCCCATTATTTATCTGAAACTTAGGAGCAAGAGAGGGATCAAAATCAGAAATATTGGCATTGGGTCTGTTTGGTTAATTTCCTCTGGAGCGGTGAGTCTGACGAACATAAAAAATGCCCCCGACATTGTTGATTTGTGTTTCTTAATTTTTGCTCCGATCATCACCTCCTTTTGCAGTCTGTCGGTTCTCTGTGCTTTGATTCGTCCGGGGCCAGGGGAACAGGGCGGGGACAGGGAAAGGGTTGACCAATCAAAGCGGAAGGCTTTCCACACCACTGTAGCCATACTGGGAGTGCTGCTGTTGAGGTGCTTTTGGAACTTGGGCCTGATAGCCCAACATGGGTCAGGAGACAATGGGTGCATATTGATGGCATGTGGTGCATGGCTAAACATCCCCAGCACTCAAGTATTACCTCTGCTGTTTTTACATCGAGCAGGAAAGTTGGGTTTTTGTTCAAAGTAAGCAAAAGATCTTCATTAAGCTCTGACCTTACTGGTCCTTGCAGCCCTTGCCTCATTAATACTGGGTGCTGGTTAATTACAAGGCCAACCTCTGATGCCATCTTGGATGTTGCACCTCATAATGTCCAAATTCAGAGAAAATCAAAAAATTTCCTGGAAAACTGGGCGAACACAAACACACGCCATGCTGGTGTCCAAAATTATATTGTGCTGGAGGAATCTAATGTCAAAATGCTTTTACATTTTTCAAACATTAAGCAAACTAGTCACTGACAGCAGAGAAATAAATCAGGAATGATTTAAATAAGCCGAGATGGCCTATGTACATGTTTGTCTTGTTTGAAAGTTAGCGTCTCTCTCTGTTTTTTTAGCCTGACGGTGTTCGTACATGAAGGAAATGTTGTGGTGAAGAATCTACATTACAAAGATGTCCCTTACTTTACTTTGCAAACTCAGCAGGTCAAAACTACAGAGGAAACCATCCAAGCAAACCCTCAAATCCTTATAGAAATCCGCATAGATCGTTCCACCACCAACAATCTCGCACTGGCATTGAACCTTGGGACACACATGTCCATTAGCATAAATCACATGTATAGCAGTTTTTGGTTGTTATTATTTATCCTGTCAGACTTGGATTTAACTTTCAACTACTGTTTGACTTTGCTTACCAAATAAAGTTTCTGTAAATTCCGACTTTGTCTGTGTTCATTTATAAACATGCCTGTCCATGTTCTGTGATTTATTGGATTTATGACATGGGCTCATTTGCCAGATATGTTGCTATGGCCATTTTGTTTTTTATTCAAATGTTCTGGGAGAAGGTGGGGTATGTAACATCAAGTGACTACAGACTTTCATTTTAATTTGGATTACGAGGCAAGGCAAGCACAGAAGTAAGAAGATCGCACAACTATTGATGAAGTTGGTGGACTTTAAACTTTTATGACGACAATATACCACCGTTTCATACCACGCCTGACTTGTCTGAAGATGTTTATTGATTTTTATTAATTGTGCTGTTCTGTTGTATGGAAATGTCTGACCGTTCTTTCTTCTTAAATGACTTTCTTTCTCGTCCGAATCTTTCGATCGTCAACGCAGACCTTCCTTTTTTGGTATGCCTCATCTCCAGACCGACCTCCTTCATGTACGCTGGGTACTTCATCACAAACATCCTCCTCTTCTCCCCTCTCTACATCTTTATCATTTATTTGGGTCTCAAAAATTTGCAGAGACGGCGCTCCAGCCCCAAAGCATCGATAATGAGTCACTCAGACAGCTTCACCTACCACATGGTCACCATGGGGCTGATCGGTCTCTTGGGGTTCATCCTTTGCTGTTGCGGTGTTTTTGGGGCTCCTGTGGGGACATATTGGGTGGGATACCTTCTTTGGTCTATCCCTTGGTATGGAGATAAATTCTTTCACATTTTGACCTGTGTGGAGCGCTACTTGGCTGTGGTTCACCCAGTCTTTTATAGAGTCCTGAGAAGCAAGAGAGGAGTAAGAATCAGGAATATCTGTGAAGGACACGTTTGGCTGCTCTCCTGTGGAATAACTGGTCTGGAAGCTCTACCAGGCATCCCCCGTATAGTGGAAATCTTAATCACTTTGTTTACTTTGTCTGTCATTTCCTTCTGCAGCCTCTCTGTTCTTTGTGTTCTGGTCCGCCCTGGACCAGGGAAGCAGGACAGGGAAAGCCACAGGGTTCACCAATCAAAACAGAGGGCCTTTTGTACCATCATGATTATACTTGCAGTGCTGTTCCTCAGGTCTGTTTGGAGTATAATTTGGGGATCTCTTCTTGTTTCAAAAACCAATAAGTGTTTGTTAATTGCATCTGGAGCCTGGTTCAATCTCCCTTGCAGTCTGGTGTTACCACTGCTGTATCTGTACAGAGCAGGGATATTTAGATACTGTAGATTTGCAAAATAAAGGTTCAATGAGAAAAAAAAAAACAAAGCAAAAAACAAAACAAAAAAAAAACACCTTTTTAGCAGTTAATAATTGATTTTACAAGACAGATAAAGGTGTCAAATGTGTAGTTTCCCTGATTGTAAGGAAGGATGCAGGGTTTGATGAGGGGTGGAAACCTGAAGTCCCAACCCTGACTCTGAGGATGAGGTGTGGAGGTGACTGGGATAGAGGAAGTCACAACAATCAATGTTGAAACAGCAAACTGAAGAAAAACGATGAACAGATTTTCAGTTTGGCAGCTGCGGGGCGATTGGTTGATAGACATAGCTAAAAGTTGTTTTGGAAGCTGAACCTCACCAAACTTGCTGTTTTCCTGCTTCAGTGAGATCTGTATGGCTTTAAAAGATGACTGTTTAGGGAGTACTGTTGGCACGTCACTTTTTTGTATTCAAATAAATAAGGAGGGGCTACGACATTGACAAGATCGGGCTATCTAGAAAGGACAGACGGGATCAGCAGAGACAGACGGAAGAAGATCCTAAAAGACTTGAAAAGGTTGGTGAAGCTTTTCAAATGGACAGTAAATCGAGTTCATACAACTGTTCTAAAAGTTCTATAGATAGGTGATGGATAGATCAAAGTTTCTTGGTATTCAGTCGTCGTTTTTTTTTGTTGTAATATGCACTCAAAGGTGCTGTGAAATGCATTTGGCCCTCGCCAAATCACAATAAAAGACACCTGTTGCTGTTATTGTGTTTTTACAGATATGTCGGGTAACTCCTCATCCTTCTCCAACGACTCCTATCTTCATCCAAATGTTTCCATCATCAACATCAACCTTCCCTTTCCCATCTGCTTTTTCAAGGGACTGAGCTCTTTGATTTACGCTGCATTCTACATCATAAATATCCTCCTCTTCCTCCCCCTCTGCATCTCAATCCTCTATGCGGGTCTCAAACAATGGCGGAGAAAGCGCTCCAGCTCAGGAACGTCAACAATAAGTCACAATGACAGCATAGTCTTGAATTTGGCCATTTTTCACCTAGTTGGCACTCTTGGGTTCGTATTCTGCTGCTGTGGTGTTTTTGGGGCTAATGTGAGTACGTACTGGGTGGGGTACTGTCTTTGGACATTCACCTGGTATGGGGAGATATACATGCACAACCTGGCCTGTGTAGACCGCTACCTGGCTGTCATTCACCCCATCATCTACAGGAGCCTGAGGAGCACCAGAGGGATCAGAATCAGAAATGTCAGCATTGGCTCTGCTTGGCTGTTTTCCTGCACAATGACAAGTCTGCTGATTGTTGAAAATGACACTTCAACGGTTGACATCTCCTTCTTATCCTACTCAGTGTTTGCCATCTCCTTTTGTAGCCTTTCTGTCCTTTGTGCTCTGATCCATCCAGGGCCAGGGCAGTCGGGCGGGAACAGAGGGAGGGTTGATCAATCCAAAAAGAAGGCTTTCCACACCATCATAGCTTTATTGGCGGTGCTGTTACTCAGATTTTTTTGGAATTTGGTGTGGTACGTTGCTGTCCTGTCGGATGATCGATGCATAGTGTTGGCATCAGGAGTGTGGTTCAGTCTCCCCAGCAATCTCATGTTACCGTTGCTGTTTCTTCAAAAAGTAGGAATGTTTGCCATCAGAAAGAACATCAAATGATGACATTACATTCACTTGAATAGTACGTATCATGCATAATAGTAAGAGTAATAAGTTCGCTTTAGTGGGATCAGTGTGTATGAAATGATAGCAACATTGAAAAAACTGTGAAACTGTATTTCAATTTGAATATGCCACAAATAAAAATACTCAAGTGTGTAAACTCAAGGATTGTTGAAGCTTTTTTAAATGACCCAAGAAGAAATGTTGTCTCAAGTCTTTTCAGCACTATTCAAATTAAGACAGCCTGACAAACCAATCAAAGAGACAGCAGGTCAAAGCATATTTACCTGCAGGGTACTTCCCGATGTAGGTTCAAATCTGATTAAAATCCAACATTCAGCCCTAATGGACTAAACTAACATGCACACAGGTGTCCTGACCTGACCTGTTTGGATAAGCGCCTGATTTATGTCATACTCGTCTACGATATACAAATACGCTCATGCAAATTGTACGCTTTCTATTTGTCAATTAATACATCACATTTACCCTGCTTGTCACTACAGGGTACAGGGTGACTGGAGCTGACCCCAGTTAATACTGGACTCTTCTTCTACTGAGCCACACTGTTGTATTACCTCTGGAAAGTGGTTTGGCATTCTCTTGCATAAGTATGCAAAGTTTACCTTTAAAAAGTTAACACCTGGAAGTTCAAGCTAGCCATGCCATGCTAACTCATACGTACCATTACTATTAGAGATGCTGACAAGGATGAAGTTTCACAGATTCCCCCGAAAAATTTCCATTGGATCTGTTGTGGTCTGTTTTAGGACAGTATTTGACTCATCTGTCAGTAATACTTGGAGTGCTGTCGTTGAGATTTGCGTAGAGTATGCCTCGAATGAATATTCCATACTATCATTAAATTCATTACTTGTACACCTTTTTAGGATGTTTTTCTCCTAAACAATCTTATTACGACAACAATGACTCATACATAGACCATAACCTTTGGGAGTCATTGCTGGTTCTTGAACTGTAATTGGTAATTCATCATTTGGTGGTTTGTTTTGTTAGTCCGGTCGCTCCTTTGCTTTTCTATTCAAATTTTTAGAGAATGGTGGGCCGGAGTTGGGTTTGGAGGGGGGAGAAAATATGATATATACATTTGGAGCAAAGACTCAGTGACAGCAGTCCACAATGAGGAGACGTGGAAAGCAGGAGACATGATATAACTGCTTATCAGGTTGGTTTACTTTTTTAGTGTTCTCATTTTTCAGTCTTTAGATTTAACCTACGGTATTTTACGGTTTGTGGACACTTTCTGAAGACTTCACAAAGCAGTAAAGCTTTAAATCAGATGACATAACATGATATTCATGACATGAAAACACTGATAAACACCTTTGGTATCATTTTACAAGTGTCCATTTGAGAAAAATGATTAAAAAAAAACACAAAATTCAACTTTGTCTTGCTTAAAGTCGAATTTGTCACCAACTCTAAAAGTGTGGTGGATGGTATTAGAAGTGGTTAAAGTTCTTTTTAAATATTTTCTCTCTTTGTCTAACAGAACTGAGGAAGAGAAATAAGTAAAATGTCACTTAACTCCTCCATCTACGATGACTCCCTGCTCCATCTTAACCTTTCCTCCAGCAGCGTCTCCATCCCTTTTGACATTTGCTTCATCGCCCGACCCAGCGCCTTCATCTTCGCCACATTTTACATAGCAAACATCATCACCCTAGCCCCTCTCTGTGGTCTTATTATCTACATTGGTCTGAAACGGCAACGGCAGCAGCGTTCTTCACCCACAGCTTCACTGATGAGTCACTCAGACAGCTTCACCTACCACATGGTCACCATGGAGCTGATCGCAATCCTGGGGTTCATACTCTGCGTTTTAGGGGTCTTTACGGTTCACATCAACACATACTTCGTCGGTTTTTGTCTTTGGGGTTTCACTTGGTATGGTGAGACATTCTTTCACATCCTGACTTGCGTCGAGCGCTACCTTGCGGTGGTTCATCCTATTACTTACCGGGGCCTGAGAGGCAAAAGGGGGATCAGGATCAGGAATATCTGCATTGGGGTTGTTTGGCTCCTTTGCTCAGGAGCAACAAGTCTGATGATTTCAAAAGATGCCTCTACTCAGTTTGGTCTTGTCATGCTGTGGTTCCCTTTAACAATCATCCCTCTCTGCAGTGTCCCCGCTCTCTGTGTTCTGGTTCGTCCAGGACCGGGGGAGCACCTGAGGGAAAGAAACAGGGTTGACCAAATAAAGCTTTGGGCGTTTTACACCATTGTGACCATACTGGGAGTCGTGTTGTTGAGATTTGTTTGGAACATGACTTGGAATGCTGTGGTTTTGTCAACTTCGAATCAGTGTGTGCTTTTAGCATCTGGGGTCTGGTTTAATCTGCCCTGCAGCTTGGTGCTGCCGCTGCAGTTTCTGCATAGAGCAGGAAAAACCATGTCTTTCACAGGGCCCAAATGAGGACAAGGATGGAGTAATACACATTCATGCAATAAAATTACTTTATATTGTAGCTTCAAACTGTTACTGTGACTAAAGAAGTGTGAAATGTGAAATGTGATTAGTTTCATTCCAATAAAAAGATGTTTGGCACTCTTTCTGCGTCATTGTTTGATCATTGATGAGCTCCTGAATTTCAGTTTTGGGGCTTTCAAAATGGTGACAAATAAAAGGACTTAAGGTTCTCCAGATGGTGCCCATGAGATCCTGAACTGAATCAATCCTCGTCAGTCACATTTCTAATAAAACAGGTGCTCATTCAAATGATTTAGGAACACCTGTGTACGCAGTGCTGTCATTCAAACATAAGTCACATTAGGCAAACCTTTTGAGTATTTCCCTTCATGGGCAAACAGTCGTCACACCTACAGAACTAATTCTGGTAGAAGAATCCAGCATCACATTTTGAACTTTGATCTTCAATCCTTATCAAAGTTCAAGTTTAGAGCTAGGTTTAGGGTTAGGTGATCCAAATACAGATTCAAGTTAAACCTAAGTAATATTACATCATTTATGGCGCATCACCAAAGATTGTGATAAGAGGATCGTCACACGGTTTGACGAAGCCCTCCCACAAAAAACACTTCCACTATGAGGGTATTGTATTTGATGTGCTGTTCACAAAACAGGCTCTGGCCACAGCTAGCTGTATAAATGCCATGTCACACTGAGGTGAAAAGTTTTCAAAAATCACATTGGATTGGAGTTCAGAGGTCAGGTTTCTGTAGTTTCTCCATGTAGTCCAAGGTGAGCAGTTTTCCTCATTGATCTACCTGTCCTAGATCCATTTATCTCACCTTGCCACAGTTGAGAATTAACTTTCTAGAGCCTAAATGTGCCTATAATTCAGTCAGGCAGCATGCAAAGTAGTAACAAATAATTCATCACACACCCACACAGTTTAAAGCAAAGGGAAAGGGTAGCAGTCCACAGCACAAACTGACCAAGGACAAAGGATGAGGGTGATCATCTCACCTGGTGATCAACCAGGTAAGTCTTTGAGGTTCTTTGGTGTAAAACACATGAAATCTGCTATTGGGGAACTCTTGTTTAACTCTTTTAGCTTCATCAGTAGAAGGGTCGTGTCATGCCGTATCTTGTAGCTTTTGGATTCTCTTCGATACTGAGATTTACTTTTGTCTCCATCTTTTCTTCTAGCCATGTCATCGAACTCTTCCTTCTCTTCCAATGACACCCTCCTTCACAAGAACTTCTCGAACACAATCGACGAATTCTTTTACATGATGTTAGGGTCCAAACAAATCTCAACTATCTTCACAGTCTACAGCATCACAAGCATCATACTCCTAGTCCCTCTCTCCATTCTGATCCTCCACCTGGGTCTCCAAAAATGGCGGGCTTCCACCACAACAGCAGCAATGATGAGTCACTCAGATGTCTTCACTTACCATCAGGTTGCCATGGGGCTGGTTGGAGCAGTAGGATTTATCCTCTGCTGCTGTGGAATCTATAGACGCAGTTTATACATGTCTAGGCTGGGGCTTTGCATTACTACCTTCCCATGGTATGGAGAGACTTTTTTACACACCCTGACTTGTGTAGAGCGCTACCTGGCAGGTCTTCATCCCATTACCTATCGAAGCCTGAGAAGCAGGAAAGGGATCAGACTCAGAAACATCTGCACTGGATGTGTTTGGCTGCTTTCCACTGTAGGATCAATTCTGATGATAACGGATAAAATCTCAATAGTATTTGGCATCTCATTCCTGATTTTCGCTCTGGTTTTTGTCACGTTCTGCAGCTTCTCTGTTCTCTTCCTTCTGATCCGTCCAAGACCAGGGGAAAGCGGCGGGAAGAGGGGAATGGTTGACCAATCAAAACAGAGGGCTCTCCAAATCATTGCATTGATTCTAGGTGTGCTGTTGCTAAGGTTCAGTTGGAATCTCATTTGGTTTGTTTGTTTGGCTTTTAAGATAACCATGGGTTTAGAATTGACCTTAGGAATCTGGTTTAATCTCCCATGCAGTCTGACGTTACCCCTTCTGTTTTTACACAAAGAAGGAATGTTAGCATGTTTCAGAAAAAAAGCGAATCCAGATCATGATAAAGCATGATTTGAGTTGAATCGAATCTCATCTTAACCCTTTTTCTATTGGCTCACTCTATCATTAAGCCTGTACTAATTTTCTCTTTGATTTCGCAAAGTAGTTTCCAGTGGCTATTTGGAATACACTCCTTAGTTATCTGCATGAATTCATTATTAAACAGTTGCCTCTGAGTGCCAAACAGTGAACCCAAAGATGTCCTTTGAGCCAGAGTCTGCCCCAGACCTCCAGATGGATGTAAACCAGTCTGTGTGCTTTCAGAAAGCCTCACTTAAGTATGCAAAACCCTTGAAGCTCCAATAAGCCTCACATGTTCATGATTCAACAATCACTATTTGGATTCATCCATTGTCATCTGTCATTTTAATCCTGTCCTCAGTTATGTTGTGACTTTACTTATCTTGTAATAAAATCATTTATTTTCAAGCTCTTGTCTGCTGGTGCTCCTTTCCAGAAACGAGAACTCTAGATGAAGATATGAGATCTTTTTAGCTGTTAAGCAGTTAAGTTACAGAAATGAACAGTTGCCGACGAGATGTTTTTTTGATACTCAATACCTGAATGAGGACAGACAAGTGTGGTGAGATATCTATACTCTGCCTGTCAATCCTTCTGGCCATTAGGAATGATTTGAATGAGCTGTAACCTTTACCTGTTGCTCATTCAAATGAGTCACTGAGTCGTGAACACCTGTTAGGCTCTCTGTGTCCTTTGTTATATTTACACGAAGAAAACCCATCGATCATTTCTTTTTAATGGTGCCTGGGATGAAAACTGCTAACAATCAGATCAGATCAAACAACATGTTTTATTGCAGGAACAACAGATCACATTTTAGAATAAACATTTATGGTTAAAACATTTTCAAATTAGCTGTTAAGTGTCCAAAAAATGCTTTTATCAAAGTCGTGCACAAACCGTCCACCGCTTTAGCTCACTACAAACACCATCACAGAAAAAAACAAATTAGTGGAAATGTATCAGCTTTGTACTGAAGCAGTGCTGCTCTTTTGCCATGGTAGTTTCCCTGCTCTTTGTAAAAACAGCAGAGGTAAAACAAGAGAGCTCGGGAGATTAAACCAGAATAAGCTTTTGAGCACCACACATCCATCTCCACCCATCCGAACACTACTCCAGTATAGTGCCAGACTAACTAGAAACCCAGTGAACTTAAACAGAAGCCCTCCCATAATGGCTGTAATGGTGAGAAATGCTCTCCGCTTTGACTGGTTTACCCTCACTCTGTCTCCACCTCCGTCTCCAGGTGAGGGATGTCTAAGAGCTTTGAGGACGGAGAGGCTGCTAAAACAGCTAACTAGTAGAGAATAGGAGAGAAAGAACAACCAAGGTTTCATGGCAAAATTGGGTAAGTAAGCGTAACCCATATAAACCCATCCAAAACTCATCAGCCAGACCAAAAAGATCAAGACGTTTCTGATCCTGACACCAGCTGTCTGCCTCAGGCCCAGGTAGGTGACAGGGTGAACAACAGCCAGGTAGCGCTCAATGCAAGCTAAAGAGTGAAAATTTGTCTGTCCAGGCAAGACGAAAGAAAACAGTAAATACCCAGACAACATTATGTACTCTTTTTTCATTGACTCAGCGATGCAGTACAGGCTGCTTCCCAGCAGGCTGAAAACCTCCATGAACACCATATGGTAGGTGAAGATGTCGGTGTGGCTGGTAGCTTTGACCGCAGAAGACGATCGCCGCTGCCTCCATCTCTGGAGTCCCACATGGAGAACACATGTAGACAGAGGGAGGAGGAGGAGGAAGTTAAAGACAGTATAGATGTAGAAGATGAGGGTCCCATCTGAGTTGAAGCAGATCACAAAACTGAGGACCGACTGATGGGAGTCGTTTAAAAAGTTGACCGAAGAGTTGACTGGCATGTTTCAACAATGGACCTTGAGGGAACATTAGAAAGTAGAGGAAAATGAGAAAGGGATAAGCCATTTTCATGGTCCACGTTCAACTTAAATAAACCAAGTCCTCGACTGTGACATCTAAGCATGGAGCAAAAACTGAGCAGGGTGTTCGAACCACCCATCATTAAGAATTCATCACAGAAATAACACACCGGTAACCTCAGTGACCTCTCGCTCATGATGCAGCTGGACGATAATCTATTAATAACAGCTGATATTAAACCCAATTGTTAAGAAATATTGTGTCCTAAATGTGTTTTCTGTCAGGTAGCACCATCTTCAGGACCTCCTATCTACCTTTTTAATCTGACCTCTGGTTGTTCATAATTTCTTGATACATCAGCTGTACCAAATTCTACATAGACACAAGGATTTGTTTGAGGAGGTCACAAACAACAAAAAAGTTAAAATCCAAAAATAACTTATTTAAACTTCACATGGCTGATCTGAATCACTTGAACTCATGAGCACACAGGTGAAAATCAGTGTTTTTAAAGAGTAGCACAATTGGTTCAGTATATAAAACAAGACCAACCTTGGCTGCTCGAGGTTTTCTTCACTTCAGGTTTTCTTTTCACAGCTGGGCTGCTGTACATTAGAGGTCTTCATGTATGGAGCACAGGGTGGGTGTGTCGACCATACAGTAAAAGTCATAACTCCAACAATAATCCACTTCTTTAGAGACCTCATGCTCTAGGTAAATTTTCTTTCCATTTGTTTTTCTTAGTGGGTTCACAGTACAGGAGGAAGGTGGTGAGAGCAAAACAACAATGTGGTTTATGTGTACGTACATGTGTAAACAGGGATCACTGTCAAGTTTAGTCGAGTGACGACTTTCAAGACAAAAATAATCACAACATCAAATGATTTAAGTTACCCCTGTCGGCGAATCAGATTTGCTCAAATAAATCTGGAGGTAAATACTGACACCTAGTGGCCGTCACATTGACAGTGAACAAACAAATGATTCTAAATCTCTTTAACATATATAACAACAACAACAAAAAGCAGACGTTTTTCATGTGATCTTGCACCTGCATGTCGACATTTGAATACCTAAAATCAACCGGCCACTCAGACCAAATCACAATACAGACTCAATTTGAATACACAACTCCCTGCTTACATAAAGTCATTTGAATTTTCTGTAGCGTTGGTCTAAATAGAGGAGTAAAAAAAAAAAATGGCATTTGCATTTTATGAAATACAAAACTGACCCTTCAGCTTGGGGACTCAATGATTATTGGTCCGATCATATGGCTTACAAAAAAAGTCGTAAAAATCTTTTTAGAGTACTTGTGGCTGCATAATGTACTCAACTGATTCTGAGGTGCTTTGGAGATCAATGATGGTGTTTGCTATTTTGATAATGCTGGCTCCAGATTTAGAATCCGTAATCAGACGTTTTCATACGGGCTCTTCCAGGGTTTCCTTGGCTTTAGGAACAAGAGTCAATCCTTTAGCACTGCAGATTAAAAGCTTTTAAATCATATTAAACTTGCGAATGCTGAATGATCTGTCCACATCAGCAGGTGTTTATTCAGAATTCCCAATGACAAGATAACTCATGCTTTGGTCTGCCTGAGAATGGAGTGTGATAATATTTGCCTGTATAAATGAACCTGAAAATATCACAAGTCTGAAATGGTTTTGCAACATGCAAAATCCCCACAGTTCTGATTCAAAGCACCTGCTTCATGGTCCATATACTTGGATTTTACCATGCTGTATATTAGGGTGAGTTATCCATTTAGAGGTGTCTCTGACTTTGAACAGCACAGCCTGAGGGACATCAGATGTAAAACTACTTCTGAAAGGTGAGCGACTCTTTTTTTAACTAAAGATTGATTTAATCAATAATTACTTTTCTAATCATTATCTGAGCCAAATGCTGCATTTTTTTTTCTTCATTTTAATTTAAAATAAGCAAAGTTTAAAGCAGCCTCTGTGAAAGCTCACTCTAAGGGTTCTTCCACTGATAGTTTTTTCATATTTCATTCAGAGGCCTTCAACATGCCGGACAACTCCTCCTCTTTCTCCACCAATATCGTCCTCTATCTTGTCAATGGTTTTGTTTACAACTGCTTCGACTCCAGAGTTGGCAATATCATCTTTGCTGCCTTCACTATCACCAGCTTCCTCCTCATCTTCCCTCTCTCCGTCATCACTCTGTATCTGGGTCATCAGCTATGGCGGAGGAAACCCTCCACCTTGACCAGTCACTCTGACTTCTTCACCTACCACATGGTCGTGATGGAGATGATCTACCTCTCAGCTGCGGTCACTTACTGCATCGGTGTCTACACTGGTGACACACCGGTGATGGTGGCGGCTTGCTACGTGTTCTACATCAGCTCATGTGGACAGATGTCCTTTCACACCCTTACCTGCGTGGAGCGTTACCTGGCTGTTGTTTTTCCTATCACCTACATGCACGTCAGTAAAGGAAGTGGGGTCCGAGTTAGAAATATGACCATTCTGTGTGTTTGGTTTTTCTTTTTTGCAAAGATGATTGTAATAGTTTTTGAAGGACTTGATGTTGTTGTCATGGTGTATATTGTGCAACAGGCCTTATCCTTAGCTATCATGTCTTTTTGCAGCTTAGCCGTACTCAGGGCGTTAAAGCGCACAGGGCCAGGGGAGAGGGTAGGGGACCGACAGAGGGTTGACCTATCAAAGCGAAGGGCATTCAACACAATCATGGCCATACTGGGAACTTTGCTTCTGAAATTTGGGAGTGCTCTGTTTTGCATCCCAGTACATAGCTCACCATTTATCGGGAAAAATGAACAGTGTGCGTTTCTGGAGTCAAGTTACTGGTTTCGTCTGCCCAGCAGTGTGGTGTTACCTCTGCTCTTTCTGCACAGAGTCAGAAAGTTACCATGTTGTGGGAACAATGTTGAGTCTGAACGAAGAGCATCATGCTGTGGTTCAAGAATATGCTAACAGACAGATCACATCAGAAGATCGAGACATGACAACATTTGGTGAAAGCTAAGTTTTCTGTTCTTATATGAAAATGCAAATAGTGGATGACGGTGCCTTGACATAGACCTGGGGTGAGGGTTGTATTCTGGTCTTATCCACCCTAATACAAGGAAGACCAACACTCTAGTGTTCAGTGGGGTTTCTTAAAGGCCTCTAAAGATCTGCAATATACAAATCTACCACAACCGTGACATCCTACAAATCTGTCAACTGTAAAATAAAGAAATCCTGATAAATGTCTACATCTTCATCTCAATTTGTTGTTATTCAGGGGTTATTTACCCCTTTACTGATTTCAAGGATATTTCTTAATGGCAGCACCTGAAAGTAGACCTGGGACCACAGAAATTATGATCAATCTATACATAGAAATAATAAAAACGACATGATTTTTAACTGACAAATTCTCAGACCTCATACCAACTCTACTGCTCCACCGCTCCCCTGATGATACTCAGGATCTGACCATGCAATCGGATCTTTCCATGGAAACGAAATCCAGACGGGACATTTGCCTACCGAGATTTTGAGTAGAAAGTATCACTTAAACAGATACCTGCTGTAGGTTTGAGATATGCAAAAAAAATATCCCGCAGACCGTCTGCAGCCCATCTTCATACACGCAAATTGATACCAATCACACGCACATAGATGAGAATATATAGAGAGAGGAGATGCTCTGTCCAGAAGTCCTGTTTAAGTCGACGAAGAGGGATGTCCAGGACCGGGGACTTTTGGAGAAGTGAGTTTGAGTTTTTCGTATTCTTTTCTTTTTGTGAAATGAACATATCTGGGTCGTTGAATCATTTTGAGTTGTCTTTTCTTCACTTTTTCTCATTTAATTTTCCAAGTTGAACGTTGTTGTAGGGTTGACAGAACTTTTTAAAACAAGTAGCAAGAGGAACATCATCAAAAATCTGCATCTAACATCTTATTTTGTTTGTCTCCCTCCCCTGTTGTTGATCTGCTTACCATGTCTGCATAATAGTTATGCTCTTCAATTCTTCATCCAATGGCTCCGTCCTTCCTCCTCATCTAGCTTCCTTGAATTCCTCCCTTCCTCCTCTCTCAGTCACATGCTTTGACCACAGAACCAGCATATTCAGCTTCACCGCCTTCTCCATCACCAGCATCCTCCTCCTGTTCCCTCTCTGCATGCTCATCATCTGCCTCGGTCTCCAGCAATGGAGGAAACGGCGCTCGGCCTCCGCTGCGGAAACAAGTCACTCCGATATCTTCACCTACCACATGGTTGCCATGGAGATGATTGGCATCCTTGGATGTGGGCTCTACTGCTGTGGCGTCTGCCTTCTAGAGCCGTGGTTGGTTTTGTTTGGCGTGTACTTCTTCACAGCCACCTCAAATGGACAGATTTTTTTTCATATCCTCACCTGTGCCGAGCGCCATCTGGCAGTTGTTCACCCAATCCTGTACCGTGGCCTAAAACAAAGGGGCGGAGTCAGGATCAGAAACATCACAATCGGGTGCGTTTGGTTGCTCTTTCTTGGACTGTTTGGTCTCATCAGACTGGCTGCCAATTCCAGCACTTTGCCGTTTTTGTTTCTAATGCTTCTCGCAATAACCGCAGTCTCCTTCTGCAGCCTCTCGGTTCTCCACACTCTGAAGCGCCCAGGGCCAGGGGACGGGGGTGGGAACAGGGCGAGGGCAGACAAAACAAAGATGAAAGCTTTTCAGACCATCACAATCATACTGGGGGCTCTGCTGCTACGATTTGGCGGGCATTTGCTTGTACTTGTAATTTACATCTTCTCAGATTTGAGTGAGACTGTTAGGTGTGGACTGCTAGTGTCTGGAGTCTGGTTTAACCTCCCGAGCAGCATGGTGTTACCTATTCTGTTTCTGCACAGGGCTGGGAAACTGTTGTGCTGCAGGAATAACAAGGAATAAGACACAGCATCTACAGTTTCATTTCACTGAATTATTACACGTTTAATGTCTGACAGTTATGTTCACTCACTTGGTTTTAAAATAGGGCTGCACGATTTATCAATTGAGCATCGTTATCGCGATGTACGTGTGCGCGATAGTCACATTGCAGAGTCTGCGATGTAGGAGGCAATGAACTCATCTAATTTCAAGGATAGCTAACTGAGATACACTGCATGTGACTCTCCATGTGCTGTGCAGCGATCCACCAATCACATTCATTCTTTACTCAGTTACCAATTAGACTACCCTGCCAGCCGTCAATCAAAATCAGAGAGGAGGAAACCGTGCCCCTGCACATGGAGTGAGTCGCTGGTGCTGCTGGTGTTGTGCCGAGAAACGGATGCCCACTGAGAATTACTTTCGGAGCATTTTTATGGGCTTTAGATTGTACATTTCCGTGGACCACTCTCCTGTAAGCAGTGTGCGTTCCGCGAGGTGCATGCAATTCTCGGTGGGCATGCGTTTCTGGACACAACACCAGTAACAACAGGTCACGAACAAGACAAAAAGGAAAGAAACGTCAGGTATCTGGAATTATTCCGATTACAAGACGAATGACGTTGACCAAACAAACACGGGTTCTGTGTTGGCAGTGCCTTTCATCTGTTGCCAAAACAAGAGACAATGAGTCTCAGCACAATAAAAGCTAAAAATATCTCCAAGACAGACAGAAGCCATTCGAACATTCACAAAAAGAGGTAAGATCAGTGCAGGTTAATTATCCACAAGATTTCAGCAGTGTTGCGTAGCATAAAGTGCTGTTCAGGGCATCTACTGAAAATTCCTATTTTTTAATATTGCAATATATATTGCAGGGTTGAAAAAATTGCAATGTCCAAATCTCTCTTTTCTTTTTTTGTTTTGGACTTATGATTGGTGATGGATCTCAGTGTACAGCATATTTACATTTATTGTCGTCTATATTTTGTTAAGTTTTACTCAGCTTGATTTCAAATTAAATATATATATATCTTGGGAGGTTAAAATGATCCTGATGAAATGGATTCATGAACATATCACATGTTTCCATGGTAGCATGCGCACTTGAAGTTAGTTAAAACAATTCTCGATTCCAGTGGTGTCAGGGGAGTAAATGATGGAGACGGGATGCAAACTAAAGCAGGAAAAATACATAATGGTGCGAGGTCTATGAGCAGGAGGGACAGCATGCAAAAACAAACAATTTAGGAGATCCGTGGACATAAACGACACAGGACACAAAAGATCAGCTCAGTTAGTCCCTCTACGAAGCAGGTGAGTGCACGCAACAATATCATGATTGAGGTTTTTAGTTACTAGAACAATATATTGACACTAGAAAAAGACTATTATTGTGAAAATTACTGGCTGCAGACTCCTGATGTGTTTTTATCTGTAGTGGTTTATCTGTACAGAATAAATGTTGTTTTTTATGAAATGGTCACTCAACTTGATGTGGTTTGACATAAAACACAGACAGCTGCTTCCTAACATAGAGTAATTCCTGTAAAATTATGTTTTTCTTCATGTTTAATTTTATCAGCCTTGTAGCATCACCTCAAAACATAACCTTATATATTCTAGTCAACAATTCAAGACTTTAAAGAAAATCACTGTTTCATTTTGTCCTTTATTCTCTTTTTCACACCGACTTCCTGCCCAGTTATGTCACCAAACTCCTCATCCTTCCTCAATGCCTCCCTGCCCTCTACCTCCATCTCTTCTAACATGCCGTTATCACCTATTGTCTGCTTTGCCACCACACCTGGCCTCATCAGCATCTCCGCCTTCACCTTCTCCAGCATCCTCTTCCTCCTCCCTCTCTACGTACTTGTTCTCTACCTTGGTTTCCAGCGGTTGCGACAGCAGGGCGTCAAAATGACCACCAGCCACTCTGATCACTTTACGTACCAGATGGTCATCATCGAACTACTTAACACCTTTGGTTCCATCTCCACCTGTTGCGCAATCTACAGTAATGTAGTGGAAATGCTGTTTCTTGGTGTCTACCTGTTTAACATTAATAATATTGGACAGATCTCATTTCACACACTAACCTGCGTGGAACGCTACCTGGCTGTTGTTCACCCTGTAACGTATCTAAGCTTAAAGACAGCGAAGGGACCCATAATCAGAAATATCGCCATTTGCTGTGTCTGGCTGGTGGCCTTTGTATGGACCGGTCTCATGACTGTGCCCAATAAAGTTTTTATTCTTATTATCACTTTATTAATCATTGGTATCCCCTTAGTTGTGGTTTCTTTCTGCAGCCTTTCAGTTCTCTATGTTCTTATTCGTCCAGGGCCAGGCCAAGGGGGTAAAGGACAGACGAACCAATCAAAGCTGAAGGCTTTTTACACCCTCTTGGCCATACTAGGAGTACTGATGCTCAAGCTTGGGGAGAATTTCTTTGTCGCTGCACTAAGTGCCACACCACTGCTCAGTGATTCTGAGATGAAGTGTTTTGTGTGGACTTTAACTTACTGGTTCTCTATGCCGAGCAGTCTGGTCTTACCTCTGCTCTTTCTGCAGAGAGCAGGAAAACTTTGGTGCTGTAAAACCAGGGCTGAATCCTGAGAGAAAGAGTCCACATGGACAGGCTTTCTCAGCGAAGTACAAGAGCAGGTCTTGCAGTGAGTGTAGGTCTAATCCCTTTTTACACTGGCACAGGTAGCCTATGGCAAAGGCCTGAATGCACACAGGTTCATGTGATACGATGCATCCAAAATGGAATAAAATTTAATGCAGCTGAAATATATCCAAAAATGTGGACAAATGTGGAGCAGATTAGATGCAGAGAGAAATTATTGTAATACGCTTATTTTTAGTGAAGACAGATGTTCTTACAGCTGCTTATTTTTAACTGGAGAACCACATAGAGGTTTGAAGGGTGCAGCCAATCCTCAATCTGATATAAAACTGAGTACAAAACATACATATTTCATTTAGGGGTTCTTTTGCTTTTTTAATATAAACCAATAATTCAGTTTTCAATTTTGGATTGAAATAACTTTATTTTACTCAAGAATTTCAGTAACGACGAGGCAAGTCTTCAAGTTTCTAATATAACTTAAATGTGTTTTTTTTTCCTAATAGTTTAATATGTTTTTATATTATTTGAGTGTGCTGAACTGTAGACACCTTTTATGAGGAGTCTGAAAATTATTTGATGTTTTATTTTGTTTTAATATTTCTACACATCTTTCTGCTGTCTGTTTTTTCTGTTTGGACTGGACACTTTTTTTTCGGACAGTTATTTGTGTGACATCAAGAATTTGAAGTGGCTATGCTAAAAATAAATAAAGATAAAACTGCTTAATCTTAGCGTCATATTTTTTTATTCTTTACAGATATCCCCATCCGTCATCTTTCTGTCATATTTAGTTTTGAAGATAACTTTTTTTTAGGGTTTAAGGGCAGCTTCTCAGCTATCTGTAAATGACTTATTGGCAGTAAAGCAGCTTTGCACAGTCACTGGGGGGTACATATAGAAGAATAAAGAGTAAATTTTACCAGCATCATACAGAAAAGCTTATTTGTTGAAATATAATCAATGCAAACCTATTACAAATTCACAAGGGAGCAATCGTGTGACCCAAAGTCCATCAAAGGGAAATATCTTACATAATCCAGGTATGGAAATTACTAAGGACTCAATGACTCTGATTGATTTGAATAAGCACCAGCTTTAGGTTACAGCTCATTTGAATCAACTTAATGGGACAAATGTAGTGCTGAAGATCGAGTTCGGTCATTTTTCAGTAACACCCTTGGTTAACAAATATCTATCATTCAGAGCACTCACCATTATATTGAAATAAAGTCTGTACATGCGGCATGTAGTTCATTCACTTTTTAGGCTACTTTTATGTTGAACATAGGTAAAAAGTTTTAGTACAAAGTTAACAAATTTGTCTGAAGTTTGAAGTCCTACATTGTTCAACATTGAATAGTTTGTCCATACCATGACCTGAAATTACTATTATGATCAAACAAACAGCTGGTGTCGGCAGAAGCTTCAGTTTCTAAAGTCAAAGACGATTACTCTCGTAATGACTGAGTCAAATGTTAAATACTTGATTACCTTGAAAGGCACTTAAATAAATTTGCCTTCCCTGAAGTTTCCATGATTGAGACACTATAGCCTTGCAAATAGTGCTGTTATGCAGGAAATTTGCCTTTTAAATGCTGACAGAATAAATACGTTTTTTTTTACGCATTATAGACCCACAGCTCTGCTCCTCACATGTTCTGATATTTAGACATAGATAGTACAGTAGAGCACTCAGTGATCCTGCAGACGAACAGAGAGGAAGATCAGAGAGGAAGGTTCCAGACCGAGGTTGGTACGTTCACATTTTATCATCACCTTTAAGGGATCAACTTGATTGAAGTTTTATTAATTAAAATCAAGCTCAGTGTTTGCAAGGAAGGGAAGTTGAAAGCTTTTCTTTGTGTTCCTCTTAGAACTATGGATATGCATGCCAACACCTCTTCCTCCGTGAATCTCTCCACCACACCTCCCAACCTATCCTCCCACAACTCCTCTCTCCATCCCTTCCTCAGCAGCTGCTTCAACTCCCTGTCCGGCTGGCCCATCTTCACTACTTTCACCATTACCAACATCCTCCTTCTCCTCCCTCTCTCCATCTTCATCCTCTACCTCGGTATCAAGCAGTGGCGAAAACAGCGTGGCAGAGAAAGCATGAATCCTATCGATGTCTTCACCTACCACATGGTCGGGATGGAGCTAATAGGCATCTGCGGGTCTGTCAGTTGCTGTTGTGGCGCCTTTATCGATCACGGGGCACTGATGTGGGTGGGCTGTAATGCATTCGCCATCAACTCGTGTATAAAAATGTCCTTCCATGTCCTCACCTGTGTAGAGCGCTATGTGGCAGTTGTTCACCCCATCACCTACATGACCCTGAGTAAATCAGGTGGGGTCATGTTCAGAAACATCAGCATTGCTTGTGTTTGGATAGTCTGTGCCGGACTGATAGCTCTAAGACTTCTCCTCAATCAAAACTTCACCATGATCCTGTTTTTCTGCAACTTGGTTTTCTCTTTGATCGTCATCTCCTTCTGCAGCCTATCTGTCCTCCGTGTTCTAATACGTCCAGGACCAGCAGCTGAAGGCCGGCAACAGGGGAAGGCTGACAAATCAAAGCAAAGGGCTTTCATCACAATTACCGCCATAATGGCGGTGCTGCTGGTGAGGTTCGGAGGGAATCTAGTTTGCATGGCTTTGGCTAACTCATCTGTGTTGAGTGTCAGTGCAAGCTGTGTGGTCAGGATGATGGGGATCTGGTTCTGCCTCCCCAGCAGTTATGTGCTACCGCTTCTGTTTCTTCACAGAGCTGAAAAACTTGTGTGCTTGAAATACAAATCTGATTCCTCGTGAAAGCTTTAAAGGAGCTCTAGGGTTGAAGTTGTTATCAGTAGGGTCACTTAAGTAGAGGATAGAAACAAATGTCCTTGTGGCTTTTTGCTTTAGAGACTTAATGTATCGGAAACAGGGGAGAGATGTCTTGAAGGTCATCACACCAACAGAGGACTCAATGTCTTCTTCTGACAAGAGGGCCTTGTTTGCACCATTGGTCTGTGTTCTTGTAAATGCATCTGTATTGTATGTATTTATAAACTTGCGTGCATGTTGTATGGTATGTTTTTATTGTCTTGCATGACAGAGGATAAAGCTTTGCATCACTACATGACTACTGTTGGATTTCAAAGTTTGCTCTTTTTACTTTATGCCATTAAACTCTTCTCATTACTTGAGAAACACCCTGTCAAACATCAGGCTCTTTATTTGGTACCTGTAGCAGATCTAAAAGCTCTACTTTCAAGAAGAGTTTGTGCAGCAATGTGCAAGCAGCCAAATCTGACATTCACATTTCATAAAAGAGTATGGAACAGAGTGGAAATTGTAGTAGTTGTGTATTTTATTTTGGATTCTCACAAAACCATGTACACACACTTCAGCCAAAACAAGTCCAACATATTCAGAACTTAATCATGACTTTTCCAATCAAATCAAATCCTCAAATCCGACTGTACTGGATGTCACAGGTCTTCTCCCTCTAAATTCAACTTTAAAAAAGCTGCAGTGAAAACTCAGCAAATATAAAGAGTATTGTAAATGAAAAATAACCAAAAACAAACCACACAAATTTTATTTCACATGTTTATAACACCTCAACTGTCTCTGTAGAAACAGCAGCGGTAACACCAGATTACTTGGAAAACTAAGCCATGCCTCAACAGCCATCACAACACATCCTACACCGTCTTTATTAGTCAAATGAAGAACAACCCACACCAGTTCAAAGCATATCCTCAACAACAACACCCCTAGTATGACTGTGATGGTGTAAAAAGCCCTCTGTTTGGGTTTGCCCACCCTCTGTCTCTCCCCACCCTGCTCCCCTGGTCCTGGACGAATCAGGACGCAGAGAACTGAGAGGCTGCAGAAGGAGATGATAATCAGAGTTGAAATCAAAAGATAAAAATGAACCCGCACAGACATCCTATACGTCACTGCACCCGAAAGCAACCAAACCAACCCATTGCACACACTTCTGATCCTGATTCCTCGCTCACTCCTCAGTTTGAGGTAAGTAATGGGATGTGTCACAGCCAGGTAGCGCTCCACACAGGTCAGGGTGTGAAAGAACATCTCCCCAGACCATGTGAAAGCTGAAAGAATGTATCCCATCCATACCAAAGAGTTGTTATTCATGAAGATACCACAACAGGAGAGAGTGCAGCTAAAGATGAATACCAGCTCCATTGCCGCCATGTGGTAGGTGAAGCTGTCCGAATGACTCATCGCCGACGCAGCAGAGGTTGAACGCTGTTGCCGCCATCGCTTAAGTCCAAGGTAGAGAACGAAGATACAGAGAGGAACGAGGAGGGGGAGGAGAAATGTGAAGTAGAAGACAACAAAGATGTCTGAGTTTGGTTTTGTGGTGATGCAACTTGGAACAGAGTGAGCGGTGGACACATTTGAGGAGGAGTTGATTGACATCTGGAGGAAATAAAGTCATAAATGTCAAATAAACCCAAACATTAAATGATTTAAAATTTATTACCGATTTGTTGAGGGATTCCTCTTTCTGGGTTTTAAATAGGCAATAACTTATAACAGGCAGTTATAGAAATCAGAATCCTAATGAGGTTACACTGGCGAATCTAGCGCTACCGACAAAACTCAGACCGATACAAACTGATAAAAAGCAAAACAAAAAATCTGACCACTGTCTTAAATCAGCCGTTTCTTGCTTGAAGTTATCAGGAACAGTCTGTGAGAAATCTACCTATTGACATATAATACAGAATAAACTGAGAAAGTTTCCAAACTGATGTAAAATTTTTCATTTCTATCAATTTGAGAGGATAACAATTTTTAAAATATGGTAAGTGCACCAACCTCAGAGACACTTGTTTCTGATCTTCCAATGTTCTTGCTTTGCTCCCCTCTGCCAAGTGCTAAATGAATGTATATATCTGTATGTACAGCTTCACCCCAGCTTAATTTGAATGAGGTTTATTTGAATTAAAAAAACAGTGAAGTGCTGGCACGAATGAATCTGTTGACTTCAGACAAAACTCTCTGAACTCTGAGCTGACATTTAGTACAGACAGTGAATGCAAACTATTGAAAAGGGTATTTCACCATAAAAACTTACAAAACATACAAATGAAGAGATCTTTCACATTTGGCGCACCAGAGTGCTCTACTCTACATTAACATTATTTGACATTTACCCAGAATAACATTTTAGCCAAATTAAGGTGGTTCCTTTGTGTTATTTATAATAAAGCTTGAAAACGACACAGCTGTCTCACCTAGACTGGCCAAGCAGTTATATTTTGCTAGTCTACATTAGCCTTGCTGAGGAATTTTAATGTTATATTTGCTTGAAGGTAACACAAGATTAAATAATGCCTAACTTTGCCATTATCTATCATGGGTTTAGCTTAAATACAAGTAACTGAGGCTGCTAAGGCAGACTGAGAAACTTTTTATCATATTACCTCTATAGGACCTGCCACAAAAAAAAGTTTCTACAGCACATATTTCAATCGATAAATTGTGAAAATATAAACAGTGTCTAATCTTATCTGCCTTTTTAAAATGTACCTAGCAATAATCAAGCACAATGCCTACATTGTATGTTTTGCTTAAATGTGGAATTTAAAAAAAAAAAAGAAAAAAGGGTTTTGACCATAAAATGATTCCAAATCCAATTTAGGTTTCTATGGTCTTTGAAAATTCACTTGTTTTTCTTTTCTCTGATTTTATAATTGACATCAGATGGTTGTATTTTTATTATTCATTTTCCTGTACATTCCTCATACTCATGCAAATTATGCTGCTAAAAATGACACACCCCGTAGACTGTGTTGGATGTATATAAAGTCCTAAGACTACTTGTTATGTTTCAACTATAGACTGTATATACTATGGACAACTTGGCTCCGCCTTCCGTCGTTATACGAATTGGAAGCCGAACTGCTCTTGGTATTTCTGGGATTTTCCTCACTTCCTGGAACCCCCACTTGCGCAGTAGCGTTGGACGCATTTGCCGGGAGAGTCCCCGTGATGATGCTCTGTTCAAACAGCGTATCCCCCGGGTGAGCTACCCAATCTTCATACGCCCATAGGCTCTATCAGGTGTCAATCATAGAAAACATGAACCCCCTAATAACTTTTAAAAATGGAGCTGCACAGGAAAAAAGAGGACTTGAGCACAAATCAGTCTTACAAACTTACTATCAGTAGCTACATGTCAACATCACAACCAGGTGGGAGATGATCTTAAAATGTGTAGTTAATTTCTAAAGTTTGTCCACAACTCCACAGGGATTGCTAAAAAAGGCGGGATTAATGACCTAGCAGGAGGCAGAAGGCGTCCATTTTATATACAGTCTAGATGGTTCAACTAATGTTTGGTCCAAATTTAATTTTGAGATAGTAGTTGAGTTTACAGATCAAATGATGAACTGGTCATTTGGCTCAGTTTTAACAACACCTTAACAAGTCTGCCCTTTGCAGGAATAGCAAAGGTAACAACACACTGCTTGGAAAACCGGCAAAGAATTCAGGTGTCATAGCCGCACACCCTGTAAATTTCCCTGTCAAATAAAAAACAGACCAAGACAAATTCCAACTAAACCTAAACAACAGCACTCCCAATATGACTACAATGGTGTAAAAAGCCCTCCTTTTTGATTGGTCGACCCGTTTCCCAGCCGTCTCCCCTGGTCGTGGACGAGTCAGACCATGGAGGACACCAAGGCTGCAGAAGAAGATGGTGATCCCGAACAAAGCCAATGTAGCAAACTCTGTGGCCGGTGACAGGTCATCGGAAGTCACTAAAAATACTGCACCTAAAGAAAGCAGCCAAACACACCCGTTGCACACATTTCTGATCCTTATCCCTCTCTCATTCTTCAGGCTCAGGTAAGTAATCGGATGCATCACAGCCAGGTAGCGCTCCACACAAGTCAGGGTGTGAAAGAAAATCTCGCCATACCACGTTAAAGCTGTAAGAGTGAATCCCAACCACACCAGATAGTCATTGTCCAAATAGATACCACAACAGCAGAGAGTGCAGCTAAAGATGAATACCAGCTCCATGACGGCCAGGTGGTAGGTGAAGCTGTCTGTGTGACTCATCATTGATGCTGCAGAGGTCAGGCGATGTTGCCGCCATCGCTTAAGTCCAAGGCAGAGAACGAGGATACAGAGAGGAAGGAGAAGGAAAAGGCAGGTAATGAAGAATGAAACAAAGATTTCAGAGCTTGGTCTAGAGAGCAGGCAAAGGAAGGGATGGAAGCTGGAAGACTCATTGGAGGAGGATGAAGAGTTCAGTGACATCTGAAAGAAAGTGAACGAAAACCAAAGGACTCATTTTACGAATTACATCTTTTTCATCATATTAAAAAACACAACTTCTGGTCTGACTCATCCATGAAATTCTTACTGCTTTTTGAGTCCAGGCTCATACGAACAAATCTGTTTTTTATGAAAATCTGCGGTTCTGACCGAACTGTTCTTATGATGAGAGATACAGACCACAACGATTAACTACAGGAAAATGTGACTCTACAAAATGACAACAGAACTAACCTTATTGGTGTGTCTCCCATTGATATCTGCCCAAAATACCATTTCCTGACTGCACCTCAGCCTTTTTTTACCTCTCTCTGTGTTAAGCTCAATTTGAATGTGGTTTATTTGAATACAAAAGTGACTTGGGGCTGAAAGCCTGGATGACAAATTTGACCACAGACCTAAACATTTTTCCAGTGAGAAAATCTCCACGGAAGGTGTGCATGAACACACTCCTGTATATCACATATCCTGAGTGGGTGGTATGTTTGCAGCCATCCCGGACTACGACACGTGTGTTGTCTGATTTTTGGCGCCCCCCTTTAACAAGTGAATTCAGGAAAGACAGTGCAGCAAGGAAAAGAGTTTTCAGGTTGTTCTTTAACGTTATTTTTTTTCCTTGTTCTTACAGCACAACCCTGCTCTGAACAGAAACAGCAAAGGTAAGACCAAACTGCTGGGAATGTTACACCAAACTCCCCCTGCAAAAATCAGACACCTATTTTCACTCAAGACAAACAGAGCAACCATCACTTGACCCCAAACAAACTTTATCAACAGCACTCCCATTACGACCATGATAGTGTAGAAAGCCTTCTGCTTTGATTTCTCGACTCTCCTCTTTGCCCTGCCCTCCTTCCCTGGCCCTGGACGAATCAGGACCCAGAGGACAGAGAGACCGCAGAAAGAGATGATGATCATAGCGGAGCTCAAAAGGAGGACATGCAAGATGAAGGCTATGTTTTTCAAAGTTTGCAAAATTATCAGTCCGCAGCTTAGGAGCCAAACAGAGCCGATGCAGATGTTCCTGATCCTGGTTCCTCTTCTGCTCCTCTGGCTCAGATACATGACGGGATGTACAACAGCCAGGTAGCACTCCAAACAGGTAAAGATTTGAGACAAAATCTCACCATCCCACGCAAAAGACCACAAGCTGTAACCCAACTTTATAATGCCGACTCGGTATAAGTTGATACCACAAGAGATGATTATGGACCCAAACACACCAATCAGCTCCATGATCACCAGGTGGAAGGTAAAAGAGTCAGAGTGATTCCTCCGTGCTTCTGGGGAAGAGGAGGGATGCTGCTGACAACGGCGGAGGCCAAGGTAGAGAATGATGACGCAGAGAGGGAGGATGAAGAGGGTATTCGTGATGAAGTACAGAGTGAAGATGAAGGAGCTTGGACTGGAGATGAAGCAAATATCAAATGAGCCAAAAGAAGAAAAGTCGGGTGGAAGAAGAGAGTCGCTGGATGAAGAGGAGACGTTGTCTGACATCTAGAGCAGAAAAAGAGAGATGTTTGAGATTGTTCCATTGCATATACAGCACCTCAGAGAAGTATCACCTGACGACTCCTTTCAGCCAATAATGTTAAAGTAGAAGTCAGTTTTTATCGTTTTTAGTGGAAAAACATCTGTAACTCATGATAACAATATATGGATTTTTTTTCCCTCAGTGTGAGGGAACGTAAAAACAGACTTTTCCATTTCTACGTTGCCTCTAACAGCCAAACTTTCAGGTATCTAAACAGCTAACATATGCTTGGATATGATTATCAAATAATATTACAATACATCAATACATCGCCTTTCAAATGGAAAATTAAAAAAACTTATTTCTTACCTTCTTCTCTCAGTCCTCCAGACTCAAACTGATGCCTGATCCAAATCCACAGCGTTAAAAACACAAAGATACGTAATACTTTTTACACGGTTCATTTCTATAGGCAAATTTCAAAAAAGTCCATGAGACCAGAGCGCAAAGTCAGTTGCAAATACTAATATCTTCTAACACAAACTCATGAGACGAATGCAAATATTAGTAATATCTCATTCAAATGCAGCAAGTACGCATTAAACATGTAGGGAACAGGTAATTCATTTAAACAGCAAACTTTATTCTCAAAGAGCTTCAGATAGCAGATAATTAAATAAAACCAAGCATACAATTGAAACAGTAATTAAACATGTTTTCTTTCAGATATTGCTAGACTGTCAAAAAAAGATACAAGATCATAATTTTATACTTTTATTAAGTTGTTTACAAGGCTTGACACTTAATTTTTTCACAAGGAGCACATGTGGCCCTAAGCTGAAAAAGTAAGGAGCCCACAAAGAACTTTAGGGGCACAATAAAAATAGATCAAATAATGTGTGTCTTATTGGTCAACATAAGTACGATTATTTGAAATCAATTTTTAGATCAATTGGTCACATGACAAGGAAGCTATTAAAGGAAGACAGCCTTTTTTGAGAACATAAACCGGTAATTTATTGATGGTTCCTCATTCAACACGTTAACAGCAAGGGTACCGAGTAGATTGAACCGTGTTGCTGTTGCTATTCCTGGTTATAAAAGTGAGAAGACACCGGTAGATCCACAGTGAATGTCCGGTTCATGTTGTTGTTTTTACATGAAAAAACATTTGTTGCGCCTTGGCTGGTTTTTTATATGCGCACCTGTGCCCCTAAATACATTTTACAATTCGCACACATCTATTTTTAGTCGCAAATGCCAGTGAAATGGTCGCACTGTCGAGCCCTGACTTAATATGATGGTTTCTAAGTTTAATGTCGTCTTCTAAAGCATAGCTCACCTAACTAAAAAAGAAAATACAAAGCAAACACAATTTTTAAAGTGAGAAGGGTCTGTGTGACTAGAGTCCGGTCTGGACCTGCTTTGGACTTCTTATAAATTGGCTCTGCATTAATATTGATTGAGAAGACTTTGTGAGTTGATCATAGTGAAGGTAGGGGTCATAGAGCTAAAAAAAACAGAAAGGACTACAGGAAAAGTTGGAACGAGTATCTTTGTAGGCAAATCTTATCAGAGTTAATCATCACGTCACCAAACACACGACAAGACCCTGTTTTCTCCTTTCTCAATACCCGGTCTGATGTTTATCCAAGACCGTCTTTGCTTTTGCAGCACAGCAGTTTACCCGCTCTATGAAGGAAGAGTAGAGGTAACACCAGCCTGCTGGGCAACAGGAACCAGGTTACTGACAACATCATTTCACACAGTCCCCTCTCCAAAATCTTGATAGCAGCGTACAAAGTAATAGAGATCATGTTCCCCCCAAACCTGAACATCAGCAACCCAAGTATGGCTAAGATGGTATAAAACGCCCTCATCTTTGATTGGTCAACTTGTCTCTTTCCACCCTGTTTTCCTGGCCCTGGACGAGTCAAAATACACAAGACGGACAGGCTGCAGAAAGAGATGACGAGGAAGAAGACAACCGTGACACAAAATGCAGTAATGGCAAAAATCAACTTATTAATTAGGGTTACAGCGACAGCCCATGCGAAGCTGAACAGCCAGGCACAGCAAACGGTCAAATCTCTGATCCTCATCCCCTTGGCCGTCCTCAGGCTTCGGTAGGTGATGGGATGCACAACAGCCAGGTAGCGCTCAAAGCCGGTAAGGCAATGAAAAACCATCTGTCCAGGTATGTTGAGAGAATAAAAGATGCCACCGAACATTATCATGCCTGGGAGGTAAGCGTGAATACCACAACACAGGACGGTGCTACCAAAGACGCTGATCAGCTCTACGGCGACCGCATGGTAGGTAAAGACGTCGGAGTGGCTCATCTTCCAACCAGGGCCCTGCTGTCGGGATTGTCGGTGTCCCACGAAGAAGACAAAGAGGCAGAGAGGGACTAAAAGGAGTGTGCTGCCAATGGTGAAGGTGGTGAAGATATATAATCCAACAGTGTTGTTGAAGCAGTTTTCCAAGACGTAGTCGAGGAAGAAGTTGGAAGATGAAAGTGAGGTGTTGTTGGGTGAAGGGGAACTGAAAGACATCACTGTGGGGAAGGATTGGACAGTAGGGTAGAACATCAAGAAGACACTATTTTCAAATCATAAGCTTTCATTTAAGCATATTCTTGTGTTAGTTTAAATTGATTATTACCTGCAATTACATGAATAACTAAAATAATCAGGAAATTTAAGGAAACCCACCTTCTTCTTCTTGTCTTTTGTTCTTAATGTCCTCTGGCTTTTATTGGAGATTTGTACGAGTCAAAGACAGCTCATGCAGTACTTGTGTGCGTGACTTGAAACGAGCGTTTGCATGTCACCGAACCAATCCAGACTTGTGATAGTTTTTACGGTCAATTACAGAAGGCAAATTTAAAACTTCCACTCTCCTCCCTATAAGTTTTAAAACAGTCAAATAAGGACACTAATTAAATCATATGTAGTTGAAGTCCTGTTTTTTGTCTGCTTTAATTGCTTATTATTTCCCTTTGAACAACTATAATTTGATAAAAGTTACCTCATTCTTTACTAATGAGAGAAAAGCTGCTGATGTTAAAGTCGCTGTTCTGATAAACAGCCACTAGATGTCAGACTTTATTACAAATCTGTGGGTTTGTAGCAGGGAACTCTCAGTGTCAAAGAAGAGGTCTTAGACAGGATAAACTGTCACTTTGAAGAATTGGAGATCAGTGCTGAGTTCAGAGAGGCTTTCAGGACTCACTGATATTCATTCAATTCCACTGAAATCACTTTGGAGCTGTCACAGTACCAGAATTATAACAGATAAAAATCAAACTATTTCTTAATGCAAAGACGACAAAACTTTATCAAAAAAATCAACCTGCATAAACAGTCATTGGGACTGAGCCCAGACCAAAATTTGACATCCTATTTGGCTGGAAAAAAAAACATTTTTTTTTCCAATAATTTATGAATAAAGCAAATATTTCATTTAGGAGTAAGTGTCAGGTGAGCTCTCTGTCTATGTTGTATAATTTTCTCACTAATTTGGTCATTTTATGGAACATCAGTCACTCAGTCTGTCTGCAAAAGATCTCAACATGATGTCCGTGTCTCGAGACGTTGGTTTCGGTGGCGGTCACAGAGGAGAGGATATCACACAGCATGAAGGAAGAGGCGCGACTTCAACTGCAAACAAACAAATCTTGGATGTTTGTGGAGAGGAAGAATTGTTTAAGGTTCCTCAGGGTGTGACCACAACGAAACAATCAGAAAATAACTTCTCATTTTTTATGGTTTCACTTTGTTTACTTTATGGAAGCTCTTTTGTTTTACTTCATGCTGGTCGGGGATAGTTGGTTAAAAATATGAGTTTAGACCGTTTTCTTTTCTTTTAAGTACTTTTTTCATACTATTATTTCATTTTTATAGTGTTGTATAAATTTACTATGTCAAGACTCTTCACAATAAAAACCAGCAGCTCCTTCAAGTATTTTGATGCACACATCAAACCGACTCACTTTGAGCATGAGAAAAGTCACTCTCTCTCACAGACATAGGCACACATATCAACAGGGGGGGGTTTCCTGTTATCCTACGCAACAGCAGGAGGGGGAGGAGTGAGGAGGAGGAGAAGGAGGAGGATGGAAAAGTGGGAGGAGAGGAGGGAAGGAATGTCCAAGCTATGGCAGTGGGTTTGGTCGTTGCACGGCCAGTGAGAGAGAAGGAGGAGGAGGGAATACTGGAAGAGGGAGTCTGCTGGGAAGTCGAAAACCCTCACAGAAGGAGGTGTGACTCAGTTGAGGACCAAGTAGCTACTAGAAACCACTGGAGACGGACTTAAGTTCATTCATTATCGACTAAGTTGACCTTCAAGACTGACTGACTGGAAGTTCTCTCTGAAGTCTGCTCCATAAACCGCGAGACTGCTTCTTCAAAAGTACTGGATTGTTCGGAGGATTGGAAGCGTCGATGTGCGATCTCCATCAGATTTGCTGCGTTGAAGTCTTTTGGCGCTGACACCTGACTGGACGCCGGATCAACTTGATTGGATAGCCAGTATATTGATCAGCTGTGTTGGAGCCGTCAGCTTCAGCATGAGTGGAGCAGAGGGGGTCGTGTGCGAAGGTTGGCTGCGAAAATCCCCACCGGAGAAGAAACTGAGGCGTTATGTGAGTGCTCCACTTCTCTAGAAGTTCTTAACTGAAAAATGCAACCCTACCTTGGTGTTATGGATGCTGCTCAAGCTTGACATGCACCTGCAGGGAAAAACTGGTCTGAATAGCTTTGATGTGCGCTCGTTTTATCGCTGTTTACACACAGATTAGCTTCCTTAAGCTGATCAGAAGGAGTAATAAAAGCTTTAACAGCTGTCTGCTTATCCACTTTATCTATGCAGGACAGAAGGGGGATGGAGAAAAAGACTTTTTGAGGGGTGAAATATAAATTTAGTAAAGGGTAAAATATTTGTAATATGTCACATTTCAATCACAAATATCTACAAATCCTATAACATGAGGCTTTTTCTCAAGCGGCTGCATGGCATGTTTTCCAGTAAAGCAGCAGCTTTGGCAGTCACTCACACACTTTCACACACACACACTCACATACACACACACTGCATATCTGGCATGCCTTGCCAGTGAGTTGAGCTAATCTCATCTCTCCTCTTCATACTTTCTCCTGATCTTTCTTTCTTTGTACTTTCACCTCCAAGTATCCGTTCCCTCAGTTCATTTACTCATTCTTCCTGTTTCCTGGTCAATTTCCTTTCTGTGTGTGTGTGTGAGTGTGTGTATGTGTGTGTTTGTTTATGGAAAGCCAAGGGCAAAGGAGTTATAAAATGGGCGCAAGAAAGGTTATTGTTTGGACAAAAGAAAGTAACTTGTGGGGAGGGGGTTAGATGGTAGATGGAGAGATTTTAGGCTAAAACGCAGGCAGGCGGTAACTTTAAAAAGAGCGACTGACTACTGCAGATGTACAAATAAATCATAGTAAACAAAAAACTTTCTCTACTTCCAAATGTGTCATGAGACGGCCGACATGAGCAGGTGGAAGTGCAGAGAGAAAAGCGCTTGAACAGAGATTAAGATTAAGAAGAAACACAGTATATACGGGAAAACCAGGGCTCCTAAGGAGAGCCCATTGTGAACACTGTGTATACATTCAGCCATGATGGTATATACAACCTACTGTGTACACACACACACACACAGTCTTCCCAGCTGTGTGTCTACTGTCAACACACACTCACATGGAGTACCTTATAAAGGCTGCAGCAGGCCGAGTTTGGAAACATGTTGAGTATTAGACCAGAGTTTGCGGACTGTACCTCATCATACACTCCCTATTTTGTTGAACGCTAAGAGTGTGTGTGTGTGCGTTACATAATAGACTAATCACTCTCAGCTGGGCTCAGCTGCAGGAGGGGGCGTCCCTGCAGATTTAGAAGATTTAGAAACACACTCTCACACCCATGGACTGGAATACGACCAAGCGGAGTAACACAACGGGTCCTCCCTTAGAGCAAAAACAAACACAGCACACAACAAATGTCAAATGAAGCGATGAAGCTTGTACAGGATATAACTGCGCTCCTCGCTTGAATTTAAGAAAGCTGAAGTATTCAAACCCCCCTTCAGTCAGCGGTTCAGTTATTGTATGTGACAAGAATGATGGGTGTAGTTGGAGAAACAAGAACTGAATGTGATGGTAGGAGGAGGAATAGTTTTGTAAACAAGGAACCGAGAAGGGGGCGGTTTGTTGTTCGACTCTGGTGTTAATTCTGGTTGGGACACAGGATGGAGGAAGCGCTATTTTCGCTCCATTGTGCCCTCTTCCTGTCGGGGTCAGAGTTCAGAGGAGGGAACGAAGTAAAAGTAGGTGAAATAAGAAAGAAAGAGAAAAAAATATACTTAAAACTGCAAAATCTCCGACAGAATAGTGGAAATGATGAGCAGGTGAGATGGAGAATGTCAAACAACGATTGACCTCAAATGATGCTGTTGAATAGTTTACTGTACTCCTCAAGTAACCTGCTGTAATTGCTTAACTTAATGAGTAACTGTGAAGTGACTCAACTTACAAACTTAAAGGGTTAACAATTACAAACTAACTAAACCTGTGAGGATTAACTTTACAAGTTACAGGACTAGCCTTCTGAAGGGTGCAACTGTTGTGCAGAAAACCAGCTAATCAACTGATAACAGACTATTCTGATTATTATTATTTTTTTTTATCTTGGTACCTAATAGCATAGATCTGGAAAGTTTTCTATTAAAAGGTGGGGTAGTCAGGATCAGAGGAAGTGTCAGTTTTTGGGAGAAATCTTAAATGTAAACTCTACCCCTCCTAACCAGTTTTCCCCTCAGCTCCTACTCTCCCCTCCCTCTCTGGTCCAGCAAGCCCCGCCCACAAACAGACGCACCTGCGTGCTCGTATCATTTCAATTAAATTCAGATATAATGCAGATAAATACTTAAGATAATTACAAATGGGGCCCAGTCAACCTGAAAGTAAAAAGCATTGGTGCTACTGTAGATGCCAACAGATTACCAGCAAACACAATGTTTGCAGGACTTCTACAACTAGGATAAAGTGACATAGTCCAGGACCCAAGGTCAACAGTTTAGCGATGGCGCTACAACACGCTACAGCAGGTCCATTAGACAAGAAACGCTTCTGTTACAGACACTTGGCTTACTTTGTTGAAGCAGTTTACCTGTCCAGCAGAAAGGTTACAGGGTGCGTAAGATCCCGAAGCGTCACACACAGGGATATTGTGATATTACCAAATGTTATCAATAACTAATAGCTATTGACTGATATTAAATGCTTTTTTGTACATACACCACAAAAGTGATGCTTCTGTAATGGAAACCTGCCAAGCCTACCTTTAATAGCATAGACCAGGAAGATTTTTCATAAATTAAATTATTTAGATTTTAATAGGCAGAAAATAAATCTGTGTGCTTGTAAAAATATTAATTAGCTTTCATAGTGGTGAGTACAATATTTCTATATGAATACAGGACACTATGCTGCTGCTTTACAGTACAGACCTGTGCCAAGGCTTACACAAACTGCTTCAACTGCTGACAGAAACAAAAGTAGTTCAGTGTAAGTTTGTACTCACAACCCCTGGGATGTTTCCTGGAGCAGCAAGGGAAGGTAACAGGCAGGTACGAAACGACGAGGAAGGGATTTAGGTGGATTCCAGAAACTGTTTCAGTCCAGATTTGTGGTTCTGCTTCATGGTGGCTAAAGTTTACCAGGAAACTGTAGCAGAAAAACACACCCGTGTTACTCTGAGTCTTTCCACATTAAAAACAACCTTAAAAGACGGTATAGAGGTCGTTTCCCTAGTTGAGAATACAGAAAAGCTGCTACCACATTCACAGCAATACTCTGGATGCTAGCATACGAGGCGCTAGCCGTAGCTAGCGTGCTAACCGCGGCTAATCGGCGATCCGCGTACAAAAGCAGATCGTTAAGGTCTAATTTTACACACTCTCACCGGTTTTTAAGACGGTAGCTGCTAATTTTTCCTCTTTAAGTCCGGGTATCTCGGTAAAAGGCTTAAATTGGATTAAACACGGAAAAGGGATACTTACATCGTCTTATGGTTGGTTAAATTCCTCCGTAGCCGATAACGACGGGTACAACAATCAACCTGCGTCAGTTAGAGAACTGGTTCTAACCGGTTCAGACCAGTCCAGTCAGTGCCAAGTACAGTCAGGCTAGTTTTTAGTACAACATCGACCTTTTGAAAAGTATTTCTTACAAAATAAGCAAAATGGAGTAATTTGTCTTGTTGGATTTTGATTTGTTTTTAAGATAACTCTCATCATTTTCATCGACTGTGACGGTGGTGAACAATAACTGCACTTATTTTTTGTGCTCTTGAACAGGTATCAGTCTTCTTCTCTTTCTATTTGAAGGCAAGCCACAAACCGTCATTAGAGATGCATACCGCCACCTACTGACATGTGTAACAATCTAATTTGGATTCACTTCATAGCATGTACCAGTTGAATTGTGTGTTTGGGTCAAATTGAAATACACCAGTCCGAGTCTCCAAGCAGTTGAAACAGGTTTATGTGTTTTTGAAAGGTGATTGAGTAAATGTTAGCATTAACTGATTTTAACATCTACTTCCTTTGGCTAACATCGGCTGCAACTGGCAAACAACTGCTAACTGGCCACATTATTTTGCTTGCAGTGTAAAAGTTATTGTTGTTAATTTAATTATTTTTAAACAATAGGCGCATTCAGCTATATATGATATAAATCTTTGTATTTCTGGTGATGTGAAAGTACATGTGATGACCCTATAAATGCATGGCATGCGCAGTGAAAACCTCAGTCCCCTTTCACACAAACTCAGTGACAGATGTAAAAAAGTAAACCGTCAATAAGATGTAACAGAAAAATCTCTTTACACTGAACACTTCCCCCTCTGAAGACAGCTGAGCATCAAACAGAGAGAGAGGGGGACAGACAGAAAACACACAGACATCTATTGTGATCTCTTACTGGCATTTCCTTTTCAGCGATTTCCCCATCCTGTCTGTGTTTGGAGAGAGGAGGGAACATTTTCTACAGTCTTTAATTGCTGTACTTCGATCAAACACTCACACACAGGCATGCCTGAAGAGTCACGTTGGTTTTGCTAAGAAACAGAGTGAAATACGGATCAGAAGGGTTGGACTTTTTGCACTCAGAAACACACACTCGGACACTTCCAAACACGTGCGGTCTTACAAACTTGTCATTTGTATTCATTTGGGAGATATGAATGCTCTTGTATGTTTATGCAGGTGAGTTAAAATCATTCTTCATGCTCTAGTTCACACCTTAAAGCAACTTTTACACACTACCCACTCACTCTGAAACACATCTACACACAGATGGTGAGTCATGTTCGAAATATGAGGTGTCATCTCGTGGACAGCTCATGGGAGATGGACCCTACCCATAATGCTTAGTGCATGACAGCAAAAACCTGAGAGAGGTGTCAAACATTGAGCAACTCAAGTTTGGTTAACATCCATGTGCACTAGAGTGTGAAACTGGTGACACAGGAGTGAAACACCGGAGTGAGGCTGAGGGGAGAGAAGAAATCAAGAGGGTTGAAAAGTTACATAATCTCCTGAACCTTGAGTTTGTTTGAAGATCTGTCTAATAAGATCGCCTTACCATGAGTATTTCGTTCTTAGTTTAATGTTGACAAACAATAAAAGTGTTAAAGTTTATTTATCAAACTTTCTAAATATAAATATACTAACAGGTTTCTCTGTTTTCCTCCAGGCATGGAAGAGGCGTTGGTTCGTCTTGCGAAGTGGCCGCCTGAGCGGGGAGCCGGATGTCCTGCAGTACTTCAAGAACCCGCATTCTCGCAGACCAATCAGGACCATCAACCTGAACCTGTGCGAACAGGTAAACAGATAGAGGTCCCGGTGTCATTATGGAGCCTTGGCATTATGAGTCCAGAGTTTATTTCAACTTTTAATTCAATACTGATGCTGATGCAGTATCATATACATGCTAAGTAGGAGATAATCTGTGGTGAGCATCTGGATTATGCAAATTAGAATTGGAACAAGGTGGGCAGGACAAAGTAGAGGGTTCCTGCCCACCTTGAAGGTGTGGCGACTGATTTAAACCAACCCAACATTGTCCAAAACAGCTTCAACTTCAGCCAAGCTGCTTCTTATTCTTTCAAATATCCGAAATATGTCCCTCTCTTCATCCTCAGGTGGACGCCGGCCTGTCGTTCACAAAGAAGGAGCTGGAGAGCAGCTACGTTTTCGACCTGAGGACGGAGGAGAGGATCTGGTACCTGGTGGCCGAGAGTGAGGAGGACATGAACCGCTGGGTGTCCTCCATCTGCCTGCTCTGTGGATTCAACCCCACGGATGACGGTGAGGGGATCAAAATATTTGGCGCACTTTTCTGTTTAGCATTTTAATTGGACGCGTGTGTGGGTAGTGGCAGAGTCAGTGTGAAAAGTGGTGGGAGGAGAGGGAACATGATGGGAATAGATTGATAACATGTCCTCATGTTATGTGTTAGTGACTCATGTGTATTTGGTCAAGATTATCATGAAAACAAACACTTTTTCTATCGTCAGTCTTAAAAATGAGGTTTTCAGACATTTTACAATGTATAAATACGTAATGAATAAAAAAGTATAAGTATAAAGTCTGTCTCTTTTTTCCGCACAGTCCCAGACAGACCTTCTGTGTCCAGCTCCTCCTCTTCCACAGTCAGCACGCCAAGCATTGCCACGGTAACCGGGTCCGTACCGCCTCCCTACGATCCGGTGAGAGTGAGAAGCTCGAATCCCGGCAGTCATCCTGGCGAAGACTACCTGTGGTTATCACACTGCCAGAGTCACACCAGGTAAACTCAAGAAACCAAAACCGTGAGGGGAAGGTTAATCAGATTTTATGTCTCCTCCATGACAGACGGTGCATCTCAGTTTCTTATTTTCAGCAGCTAAAGCATGTCAAACAAATAACAAGATGATAAACCAGTTAAACAGTTTTCCAGTTTGATTTGCATCCACTCAGTTTACGATGACAATACAAGAAGACACATAATTAGACAATTTAGAGTTAAGTCCAGTCTAAAGAAAACCTAAAATCAAGCAGACTCTCAGTCAGACGTACAGGTCCAGACCTGTTCAGTCTCAGAAAAGGGATTATGGGTTTATCATAGTCTAGATCACACCCACGGGTTTCTAAAAGGCTCGACTTCACAGAAGAGTTTGTCAGAGAGATTTCAGTCGACAGTGCGTGAGGAGGTTTTCGGTACATTGTGGTGGTTTGTTCCTTCATTTGCAGATTGAACTCTCTGGTTTTCTCTCCAGGCCTCCTTTAGGTTCCTCCATCTCTCTGGAAACCGACTACAACGACAACCTCTACCCTCCTGCCTCGGCCACCTCCTCCTCGTCTTCCTCGTCGTCTTCTCCTTCCCTCCTTCCTAACGGCGTCCCGCTATCTTCTTCCACCTCTTCCTCCGGCTCCAGGACAGCGCCTTGGAAAGCCTCCCCCATGACAGGCCCTTTCAGCCAGTCTCTGGACACCAGCCTGATCTCCGACCTCCAGAAAAGAGCGGACAAACTTCGATGCCACCCGTCTCCTCATCCCAGGAAGCACTCTCTGGATATCCACCTGAAACCTGTGGCTTTACCTCTGGAGGATTTTACCTCCACCATGCATCCGAATTTTCGTGGTTACCAAATCCCTCGTGCAGCATCCACTCCTCTGCCACGTGTTCCTCGCCGCCCATCTTCCACCCCAAGCGTGGACTCCCTGACCCAAGCGGAGCTCCACACTTCCACGCCGACACCCCCTCCACGGCCGCCGAAGCCTCCAAACATAGCAGCCCAGGGAGAGAGCTCTTCTGTGGGGACGCTCTCCAGATCCACCTCGGAGCCAGAGAGAAAGGACGAACATGGGGACACTATCAATTTGTCGGGACGTACTCTGACAGGTAAGAAGAGAGGAGTCTGTCCACACATTGTGGATTTGGGAGGCCAAAGGGTCTCAGGAGGAGCTTCTACAAACCTGATTACGCTCACGTTTTGGAAAGCCACTAGCCAAGCCTTTTCAGTACCTCTCATGTGAGTTAATATTCTTCCAAATAAGTCCAAAGAAATGGATTCTGTCCTCCCGTCTGTTTATATTTAGAGTAGCCATGAAGTCCCCGGAGAGAGCTACATCATCACTAATGGCCTGCAGAGAGATTTAAACCCCGTACGTCAGAGGAGATCAGAAACCACTCCGGCTGTAAAACAGCTTCATTGTGCAGGACTGGCAGGATTGTTAGCCGTTGGTGGATTATATCCTTACAGCTCAGACAATTTGATTTCACCAGAGTTTGCTTGGCTTTCAGTTCATTTTAAGTCGAGAACTTTGCCCCAACAAGTGCACAAAGAGTTCCTTCAACTAGAGCTGAGTTTACAGTCTGGTATAGTACAAAACAGCAAATCTAGTATTCCTTAAAATGGAACACAACAGCCTTGAAACAGGATAAGATTCAGTAACCATGGTTGATTGTGTGTAATTATGTTTTCCTCCTGAAGCAGTCTTCTGTAAATTTAGCGCCATTTGTCCCCTCTCTCTTGAACAACTCTGTCAGCTCGAGTCCTAAAGCTGCACAAGTTCACGTCACTCAGTTACAAGTGACTCTGACCTACTTAACATTTCAAGGAGCAGACTGAGATATTGGAGAATTTATTTTATCACTTAGTAGAAACCTCTAGAGTCAGAAAGGAAACCAATGTACAGGTGCAAAAAAACTGCAGTTCCCAAAGTGTCCACTCGAGGCATGCTGCAAAAGCAAAGCAACCCTTATTAGGTCCCATGTTAAACTGTGAGCGGATTTGAACATGTTCACAGCCAGTTTATAAAATGTGTACTTCATGTATTTGTTTGTACTGTAAGCCTCACCTATAAATGAAAGTAGTGTTTCTGTTCATTGGTGTTAGCTAGCAGTTTACTCACCCGTGCTACCAGGTAACTTTAGATCTTCTCTGTTGTCAGGTTAGCTTTCTACAGAGATAGGTGTTTTTGTCAGCATTTCTCAAAATTAGCTAGATATGTGGTCGACTTCGCCTGCCTGCAGAGAACTGTAGCCTCAGCCATATCTCTACAAATGGGCGGCGCTAAACTGGTGACAAAACTTTGCTAGCTACGCTATAGAAATACTGGAATATCACTTTAAATCTGGTCTTGTTGGCATGCTTTGGACTTTCAAACCCAAGTTCCTGGTTCACCAATCTTCAGTATGGTTCTGTTATCTTCTGTTCTCCAGGTTGTGACTCCTTCCACATCCCTCAGTCTTTGTCCGACAGGGCGAGCATGTTTGAGTTCAGCGAAAGTTTCAACAACTACTTTGTGAGTCTTGAACTTAAATAATCAAAAAAATGTGATGCCCATGTTTTTTCTTGCTCTGTCATTCTTAAATGAGTTATCTCCTCTCACAGTTCAATAAAGGCATGGTACCGTTGAGCAGTGTTTGTTCTGAGGATGACGACGTGGATGAAAACTACGTTCCCATGAGCGCCGCCACCACTGAGCCTCCAGTTGCTCCACGGTACATCAGACAATTTGATAGATGATGTTTTTTATGCCTTTTTGGATGTTTTATGAAAATATGATCGAGATTCAGACCTGTGGACGCTCAGTTAAGTTCCCTCTTTCCTTCCTCCAGGGTGCCCCCTCCTCCGCTCTCCTCTGACTCCTCCCACCAGCTCCAGGACGGCAACTACGTCCCCATGACCCCCCTGGTTCCTTCCCTCCCTGTTCATCCCATCCCTGCCACAGGTGACCCCGCGTCTCTGGGGAGACAGGTTCCTCCGCCCGCCCACATGGGTTTCCGTAACTCTCCGCTCACTCCCCTCGCTCCCCTCACCCCGCCGCTCCGGAGGAACACTGTAAACACTGCGGGGGGAGTGGAGGTGGAAGCCATGCCTCCTCCGATCCACCGTAACCTGAAACCCCAACGATTCGGTGAGGACCTTAAACAATCCGTCTCTTTGTCATCTCTACGAAACAAATCGTAAAGACACAGTAACATGAACGTGTTTGGCATGTGCAGCCAGTGTAGAGTCTTCTGTTGATGCTGATGTTGTGTATTTCTGCAGGAGCTTCTGTCAGTCAGCCTGCAGAGAGGACGGATGCTCAGACTGCTGCAGAGCCCAAACACAAAACAAAAGGTACGAACACTTTACCCTCCACGTAGCTGCTGGTCGGGGTGATTTTCAATGTATGTCAATTCCTGCCGTTTGGTAGGCAAATTTCGTGGCGGATTACGGACAGCAGGAATCGCAAGAACTCACAAGAACATAGGCTAACCATATAAGCAGTAGATTGTGTCCTTCCATAGGAGGAAATCTACTTCTAGACTTCTAGAATCAGCATCTCCTCATCCATGGTGTCATCGGGGTGAAATGACATCTAGAAACCTTCCACTTGTTCATCCCCACCTGTTTGGATGGTATGAAATACAATCCGCCTGAAACACAGAGTGTTTCGTTTTGTGTCTGTGCCCGACTTCCTTTCCAGCACGGGTTAATCTGTGCTGAATTTATCCGGCATGGTCCAGCGTCTGGAAAAAATAGAATTCTTGCGATCAGTTGCGGAGTCCGGAAAGAAGCGGGTGGAAATTGACACATTAACTTGAATGGTTACGATCAGCTACAATCAGCAGATACGGCCTTTTCGTTGCCGTTCCGCTGCAGAGAAAATTTGGGGGTTAGGCATTCCCGCAATTTGCCAGATTGCTTAACTCTTCTTTTGGATTCTGTCCTACTATGTGTGCGAACCACAAACCGTGTTCATTCTGTCTCCAATTAAAACCCCAAATATCAGCAACGAAAACTCAATCTTTGCATCTCCGTCTTTCCTCCTGATCTAACCTCACCTTCTGCCTCTGACTCTCTGTTAGTCATTCCTCGTCCCTTTGGCCTGGTTTAGTTTTAATTATTTACCTCCTTCCACTCTGCAGCACCAGTCATGACAGCCTCACACTCTAAAACACCGCTCCATATGTCGAGCTGCAGCATATAGAAACGCTTACATTAAATATTCATGTGAGTTTACAGTAAGAAGGCCGTTTCTAACACCCTCTCATCACGGTTACTTCATCACTGTTGATTAAGATCTGAATACAGAAACCTTCGCTAACATAAAACCCTCATTGGTGCCTGTTTAAGCTTTTGATTTTCAGTCCTAAAACCCACAAATAGGGAAAGTAGTCCAGCGAGAAGCAGTCCTGAAATATTAATACAGATAGTAGTAGTAGTATGACTTCCTTTGATGTTTTAATCTAAAATGAAAAGCCTCCCTTTTCTCGTTTTCTCCAGTGAAACCAGCTCCACTGGACATCTCCGCCGTGCAGCAGGACTGGCAGGAAGTCCCGCCCCCTGTCCGCTCTCCTGTCACTCGCACCTTCACACGAGAGTAAGTTTGCGCCTGTATATTCGTGTTTGAGGAGCAGTAGCTCGGCGCTTTATTTGCTGTGTCAACAGAAAACCACCTGACGCGTCAATATTTAATGTTACTACATACTCAGAGGTGGAGGCGTGATGATGTCTTTATAGACGAGCAGGGGTCAATGGGCCGGGCTGCTCTCTGCCGCCCTCCTGTGGTGGAGAAGGGCACTGCGGGATATTTAAAGTAAAAGTAAAAGTGGAACAGTCAAGAGAAAAGAGAAGTGCAAACCTCAAAACTTTCATAAGCAACATTTTAAATCCTCTTTTATCCTTTTGGAAATGCAATTTGTTTTTCTTTGATATTAAACCAGTAAATAATTAAAAAATATTCCAAATGCAATTTCCAAAAAGTTCAAACCACAAATTTTAAATCAACAGAAGTGTGTTTTTTATGGTAAACAATAAAAAGACGTAACAAAATATGTTTAAAAACCACAAAACAGTGCCATAATTTTGACGTTTCAAAGTTTTTAAATGATCAAAATGTCACTGTGCAGTTATTAGTTAATTTATTTTTCATTTATTAAGAGAAAGCAGTTTGTCGTTTTTACCTTTTAAAGAGATTATTATCAATTTTCTTAGGATTTAATCACTTATAAATAATTCTACAGCTCTTAATGTTTCTAAACTTCTTGCTTTTCCTTTCCAAAAAAGAAAAAACGACTTTTTTAACAGTATCAGAATCAGAATCAAAAATTTGCTTTTTCCACAGTACTCCAGTGCAAATACAGTAAAAAGAGGAGATAAATAATAGATAAAATAAGTAAAAATAAAGAGATAATTTACAAGTATTTACACTATAAACAACACAAATAGTAACATTGTATGCAGTATGTCAATAACAGTGTATAAAATCAGCTAATGTTTATGTTTGTTTACAATAGTCCATCTACTCGTCGGACAGACAGACCAAACTCCACTCAAAGCTCGTCGCCGTCCTCCGACTCTGACGACCCGGACGACAGCTACGTCAGCATGATGACATCATCAAGCCTCAGTTTCAGCACCGGGGAGTCGGTTCGTAAAACTCTTACTACTTTATTTCCTTTTTTTGATGTTCTTTTTTTACTCCATTTTTATTCTTGCCTAAACTTTTCCCTGTTCGTGTCTCTTAGTCTCTCAGGCTTATGCTTCACCGAGCGTCAGAGGGCGGAGTCGGCAGCCCGATGCTTTGGAGAGCCAAAAACAGCAAACAGGTGGAGTACCTGGACCTGGACCTCAACACGGGGCGTTCAACACTAACAAGACAGGTAATCACCCCCTCACTTTTTTGCAAAACAAAATAAAACAAAATACATAAAAATCATATTGTAAATTTTATTAGTGTGGCCACTAGAGGGAGCCAAATTTCCTCTGCTGTTTATATGTGATAAAAAAAATTGTTGTACATTTAATCAATAGGGTTCAAATAACAAGGAATGAATTATGTTGATTATTTTTGGTGTTTTCTGCAGAAACGCTCCACGGCAGAAGGCGAAAATGGCGACAGCGAGCAGTCCGGATCGGGCGGGGAGCGCGCGCGTAGCCAGCGTACACGTGTAGACTACGTGGTGGTGGACCCCAAAAGGACCAAGGCCCTGAGGAACACCAGAGAAGCATGGCATGATGGGAGGATGTCCACGGAGAAGGAGAAATGCTAGAAAATCAGTCAACGTACACAAAAGTGCGACAAAAAAAGCTTTTCAATGTTTGAGAAAATTACCTGAGTTTATTTTGGAGTGATGAACTTCTGACACCTTAAAACGTTCATGTTCGGATGAATCGTCAACTTTTATGTTTATTAATAGTGGAGGATTTTTGATCACAGTGGAAAATGACATTTTTACAACATCGCAATTTGGCCAGAGAAGCTGAATTTCTTCAACTTAACTACTGAGACAACAAACTCTAAACAAATATGTGAATTTTCTCTTCAGGAATAAAACACTATAAAGACAAAAAATCACAAAAAAACCTTGAAACAGCTTTTCTTTTTTCCCAAAAGGATGAATAAATCCACTAGCAGCCAACGAAAGCTTCTAAATATCTGTTTATATTAAAATTCTTGTAAAAGTACTGAACTGTTCTTCAGAAACGATAAAAAAATATGCTGTGATTAAACAAAAAAATCAGAACTTTGTAATAGCTTTCTTTCGGTGATTCTGTCCAATCAGATTTGTTCTTTGTAACATGACTGCTGAGTAATTTCTGTGATTTTTCAGAGAAAATGAGATTTCTGTAAAAGCATTTCAATACTGAATAAAGAAATAAACACTTAATGTCACTGTTACAGGTCTCTGATGACTTTTTGAATGAGGTTTTTGTTTCACATAAAGTTCCTCCAATTGCCACTAGAAGGTGCAAAACATCACAGAAACAGGAAAGCTACATTAATTTGGGTCTGTTTATGACTTAAATCGCATTAAATCTAAGATAATTCAATCTAAATCTACTCAAATTTTAAGATTTAAAAAGATTAAAGAGCCAGGTGTCCTCAAATGCCCATTTCGAGCAAATTTGAGGTCGCCGGATGTGCAGATTTACACAAAACTGTGTTTTTATGCGCTAATTCACGAGTGAGGTTACACTATGACACACAAACTTACCGTTTAATCAACACACGGTTACAAAAAGTAGGAGTGCCCTCTGTGAAATCGCTCAGATAGCCGTTAAATGTCGACATTTTTAAAATGGACGGCTTCCCTTCAATTTTTCAAAATAAAATACACAACTTTTTAAAACGGTACAATTATGAGTCAAATTTCAGTTTGACATTAAAACAAATTTTTAAAAGTATTTTACGACGAGCGGTGGAGTTTTAGATCCACGCTTTATGAGGGTACACCTTTTTTCTCAACACGAAATACGCCACATGCTTTTATTTTGAAGGCCACATCGGTTTAAATCCAGCGAAATCTGTGTCGCTTGGATTCTGCTTCAACCTGGAACCAGAAGAATCGAGAAAAGTCCGGATGGAGGTGAATTTTCTGTTGATTATTTTGTATTTTAACATTGTTAAATATGATGGAGACAACAGTGAGTCTTTCTAAGGGTGAATTCGGATGAAACAAAGCTGACATGAGTTTGTGTCAGTGCGGTTAAGCTAGCATGGCTTTACACTTGCTGCTAAAAGGATCAGAGTCCATGTAGATAGATAACACAGCTGAGGTAGAGCTGCAACAGTGCAAACTTTGTGCAATCTTAAGTTTCACTGCTTGTGTTGAATCAGGTTTAATCTCGTACTGAACACAGGGAACATTTAGATTTGACTTTATTTGAGTAAAAGACTCCAAAATGTGTTCAAGTCAAGTTTATGCATGAATAATATGTATGGATTAAAGTCTTGAAGAATTGAAGTTGCTGCAGGATTTTTTAAAATTTATTTTTGCCCACATTTTGTGACCTTAGTTACCATTTTATAACTCTGTATGTAAACTAGGGCTGGGCGATGAAACGAAAATGATATATACCGATGATTAATTTCGATAGTCGTCATTCTGCCATGTCTTGGTAGACTATACGAATAGCAGGGCTGGGACGATATGCTTTTCTCCTGATTCGATTCTTCTAAGATTTTTTGAATGCCGATTTGATTTTAAATTGTGATTCTACGATATCGTCGATTTTCTCGATCTTAAAGGTCCTTACACACCGGGACAGGAAGTCGGAAAAAAGCGAAAACGGAGGCGGAAACAAGATGGCTACATCTACAAAAGTTATTTTAGCACTGGCCTTGTCCGAATACAAGGCAAGCGCCATCTTGTTTAAGGCCTCTGATTTTGCTTTTTTCCGACTTGGTGACTGAAACGATGGTAACTCGGGTGTGACGTCATTTTTGGCTCATTATTATATTGCAAAAGACACGCTACCAATAAGCACTGTTGTTTTTCTCTCTCAGCCCAAAAAGAAGTTGATAAACTCGGTGGACGGCTGTGTGGATGAGGCCCTCTGCGGCCTGGTGAGGGCCAGCGGGGGCCTCTCTCTGCTGAAGGGCCACAGAGTCGTGCTCCGCTCTGACCTGGACAGCCTGAGGGGGAAAGTGGCTCTGCTGTCTGGAGGAGGGTCGGGACACGAGCCGGCACACGGGGGTAAGACTTTAAGGTTATAAAACTGGACTGGGGATATCGTAACCTTTATTCCTGCCACATGTATGCGTCTGTTTGCAGGTTATATCGGTGCAGGGATGCTGTCAGCAGCTGTTGCAGGTGGGGTTTTTGCATCTCCACCTCCTGCGAGCATCTTGGCTGCTATTCTGTCCTTACACGGTTCAGGTAAAGTCCGTTTTTGTAGATCTCTAGAAGATGATAATGTCTGTTTATGTATAAGAGAGAAGTCAGATTCAATATCCTCCCTCCACAGGAGCCTCTGGAGTCCTCCTCATTGTGAAGAACTACACCGGAGACCGCCTCAACTTCGGCCTGGCTGTAGAGCAAGCCCGTAACCATGGCGTTGCTGTTGACATGGTGATAGTGGCCGACGACTGCGCCTTCAACCAGCCCAGTAAGGCGGGGAGGAGAGGCCTGTGTGGTACCGTCTTCATACACAAGGTAAACAATAAACATTCGACAGGTGAATGTTTGTTTTTATTTTCAAAATGGTTTAAAAATATCTTCTGACTGTTTTTCCAGCTGGCCGGTGCTTTGGCAGAAGAGGGCTGCTCATTGGATCAGATCGTTTCCAAGGTGACAGAAGTTTTAAAGGGGATTGGTGAGTCTTTTTCCCCTTCATTTTAAAGGGATATTCCGGGGTAAAATTAATCTGGGGTCAAACACACCGTAACACCGAATTAGACACCCCCTCGAGAGATGAATGTTGACGACCGCTTGCTTCTCTAGTTTTCCAACTTTAGTAACGACCGCAGGATAGCAATACACAGCGGTCTGAGGAGCCATAAACAAACCTCTCTCAACGCAAACCAACGCCGCTCTCTTTTTATTTTTTATAATGTAGGTACTCTGGGGGTGAGTTTGTCCCCCTGCAGCGTCCCGGGCTGCCTTCCATCTTTTGAGCTTCCGCCTGGAGAGATGGAGCTTGGACTGGGTGAGGGATAGAAAAATCAAGAACTGGAGAAAATGGCGGGAATTGTTGCATTTCTTAAAGCCTGACTGGTGTTTATCGTCTGTCGTAGGAATCCACGGTGAACCTGGCGTCAAAAGGTCAAAGGTGATTCAGATTCAGCCACGAATAACCTCTTTACCGTCACCGTTATGTGTTCGTTAATCCCAGTTTCTCCTGTTTATCAGGTCGCTTCAGCAGACGAGGTGGTGAAAACGATGATAGATCACATGACCAACCCTGACAGCCAATCACATCTGCCTGTTAAGTCAGGTTGTCCAAGAATTACGGATTATATTTCCAATTATCTTTAAATGAACAAAGTTATAAACGGTCATTTTTCCTCATAATCAGGTGACACTGTCGTCGTCTGCGTGAACAACCTCGGGGCACTGTCATGTCTGGAGATGGAGGTGGTTACCAGATCGGCTGTCACCTGTCTGGGTAACCATGGTTACATTACTCATCTATTCTTATGTTTGTTGGTTTGTTTTGAGTTTGAAAGTAATCAGAGGTTTTTTCTTCTGCAGAGAGTCGTGGGTTGGTCATCGCCAGGGTGATGTCGGGCTCATTCATGACATCACTGGAGATGGCGGGAGTGTCGCTGACGCTGATGAAGGTCGACGAGGAAACGCTGAGACTGTTCGGTGAGCGAAAGAGCTCCCCGATAAAAAAGAAGGGGTTTCTACGGCTCCTGGAAATATGGGGAGAAGGCTTACCCGGGATTTCCACCGCATCCGGAACGGCTCCGATTCAGAACGGTGGCGATTTTTGCCGTATGCCAATTCCTACTGGATCCATTTATGAGGCGAATTTCGTGGCAGATTACAGACAGCAGGAATCGCAAGAACTCACAAGAACCCGCGGATTAACATGCAATTGCGCGATAATAAGTTGTCTTTAGCAGAAGATCGTATGGTTACGATCGGAGGATATGGTTTTCGTAGCCGTTCCGGATGTGGTGGAAATTGGGGGTTAATATTCAGCAGACATGGTTCTTGCAAAGATAGAAAAACAAGAACGCTCACATGTTACGTCTTCTTTCTCGCGCAGATGCTAAGACTAGCGCCCCCGCCTGGCCGAACCTGAGCAGTGTGAGTGTTAGCGGACGCAGCTACATCACAAACCCTCCACCTATGAGCACACGGCCGCAGGAAGCCACATACTCTGAGGGTTCGTATTGTTGTTATTATTAGCGTCATAAGATGCTCAATACAGCCCCATGTGGCGGTTAAAGGAACTGCAGTGTGAGGAGTTTATTTCTAAATTAATATGTATTTTTGTTGTTTTTTTCTTTCAGGGCCTTTGAGTCCTGTGATGCGTAAAGTCCTGGAGAGAGTCTGCGGCACACTTCTGGAGAAGCAGGAGGAACTGAACTCTCTGGACCGAGCTTCAGGGGACGGAGATTGTGGGAACACTCACGCACAAGCAGCCAGAGGTCCGAACACTAAGAGATAAAATATCACTGATTCATACAAAAGCACAGAGATTGAATCATGTGAAAATACTCCCTCAGCTATTCAGGAGTGGCTTCAGCATCATGTAATCCCTGGTTGCCCGGGACAACTGTTGTCCGTCCTTGCCGGATTGGTGGAGGAGAAGATGGGCGGGTCTTCAGGAGCGGTCAGTTTCGTATGAGTTTTTTTTGGTTCATTGACAGTTCGAACTTGATTCGCTCAGACTCTTATTTTGACGTGTCTCTTAGCTGTACAGTTTGTTCCTGACTGCAGCGGCAGGTCATGTGACCGAGGGGCGGAGCAACGCCGCAGCCTGGGCTAAAGCAATGCATGCTGGGACGCAGGCCATGAGGAGGTGCGTTGATGTTTTTTTCTATTTTCTAAATTTTCTTTCTGAATTATATTGATAAAAATTAACAGTATAAAAATAATAAGTTGAACACATTTAAAATAATAATAATAACTTTATTTTTATGGTACTTTTAGCTCTGTTAGCTCAATTCTCGATACCCAACCCTAGGCAAACATTAGGTTCTCCAAGCCCAAAATAAAACACCTGGAGAAACTTTTTAAGACTTCAGCGATGTCTGAAGTTTGTCATTTACTTTCATCCTGAAGCTCAGAAAGACAAAGTCTGAAGACAAAGACCTGTCAGAGCTTCAGTAAGAGCTGCAGAAACAGGAAACCGACAAACAGCTTAAAGGTCAACGTGAAGAAGCGCTGATTCTGTGGGCTGATAAGAACCAAATCTGAACTTTAAAGTGTTTTTTCAGGTACGGGGGAGCGGATCCCGGAGACAGAACCATGGTGAGAAAACTCCTCTGTGCTGGTTTGATACTTTTATATCAAAACTTCGACTTTTACCTGATTAAACGGGTTATTTTTCTGTCCTTTTTTAGTTGGATGCTCTGTGTCCTGCTGTGGATGAGCTGATGAAGCTGACAACAGCGCCCCCTGGTGGAGAGATGGCAGTCCTGCAGAGTGCAGTAGAGGTACCGTCACATACTTCAATCTCATACTGCTGACACTTTTTCTTCACATCCTCTCTGAGCCGTCTTTTTTTCTTTTTCTCTCTTTATCTCCTCTCAGAAAGCAACCAAAGGGGCGGAGTCAACCCGCGACCTCACCGCGAAGGCGGGGCGAGCCAGCTACATCGCTGCCGAGAGGGTCACCCTGCCTGACCCCGGCGCCGTGGCTGTGGCAGCCATCTTGAAAGCAGTGCTGCAGTCACTGTAGAAGTACTTTGACTAAAACTGTCAGATCATCACGGTTAAACCTCGACAAGGAAAACCTGCGAAATGACAAGATCTGTGAGGCATCTTTCAAGCATTTTGAGGGAACTTTACAGATTTTTGTTCAATAAAAGGACAAAAAATGAAAAAAAGCTCAAAATAGTACAGAAGATGATGCAAAGTTTAGGGTGTTAAGATAAGGTGCCAAATAACCCCAATAAAGTCCTAAAAGCACTAACAGCACTGCAAAAACCGAAAACACAATGGTAATAATATATTTAGATGATTTTCTTGTTGTTTCTTGAGTTGGCCGAGTGTTAAATTTAACAATTCTTGCGACTTTTAACAAAAGTTTGAAACCTTATTCTGACAGTGAGGTGATAAAGAGAGTAGACGTCACATACAGTCTCTATAGAGTAGGTTTTATGTCGATCATTCCTAATCAAAATTAGACGAATCTGATCTTAGAGGCGACTTTCAAAGTCCCTCAAAGCGGTTCAGTCTGGTTAGTTGTTCAAACATCTGCTGCTGATTTAAAAAATCTGGATATTGAGTTTGAACAAGATAAAGTTTTAACTATATTGGACTCACAATAGAGTTTTTAAAAAGTAACTGTGGGACCACGTCTGAGAAAAAAAGACAAGTCAAGTCTGAAATAGTCGGCGGTCTCTCTGGTGGTCTGGTCTGGTGGTCTGGTCTGGTTTTGTATGTCATGATAAATTTAGACCAGCTAGAGAGACGATGTCGACTCTTTCGCGGTACTTTGTGAAGATAATGCTGTATATAAAGTTTAGAAGCACTTTTTTTGACCTTCAAGTTTTGGATTTGTTGAATAAAATAACTTGATTTCACTGATAAACAGTAACTCACCTCTTCTTTTGTTTGTTTTTTACAGTCCGCTCATGATAAGTCTCTGTGAACAGGGGATTTCTCTTTCTTTTGTTAATGATTAAAACTGTTGATAGGAATCTTTCAACTCTACCTTTTCCCCCTTAGCTTTCATTTCTCTCGCTCTCTATCACGTCTCAGCCCTTTGACAACTTCCTGACACACCAGCCCAGCACTGGTTTACAGCCCTCAAACACACCTACACATGCACACACAGAGAGACGAGAAACCTGCTGATACGAACGCTTTCAGTTCAAGAGGCACAGCTGTACGCAGAGCACGGCCAAGGTAATCCTTTTTCTTGTTTGAGTTTGTGTTTCATGAAGACGTAACATCAACTCATTTTAGAGCAGCATCTATTCGACTGTAACCAATTGTTTGAAATGTGGGCAAGTAACATCGGCGGCAAAAGTTTCTGTCGTTAGCCAGTCACAAAAAGTCAAAAAGTGACGACCTCTCTTGGTATCCAAAAGATGAACTCATTGAGGGGTCGATAAGATCTATAGATCGTCACGATGAGTACAGATTGTGACCCACATGAGTCTGGAAAAATCATTGATGGTAGATTTAATCTTTAACTAGAACTCTGAACTGAATTGCGAAGATTGTGGTAATCCCTCAAAGTGTTTGGAGTTCCCAATGAGTTCCGGGAGCCGAGACTTTCCTCAAGGGTCTGGATGTCTAAGTTTCCACAGGAATCTAAGGGTACATAGTCCAGAAAAAGGTCCAAGTGGTTTCAAAAGTAGTTCTTAGAAGATTCTGCAGATTTCTGATAATCCAGGCCTTTCTAAGAGGGTCCTGAGGCAACCGGAGATTTTCCAAAGAGGTCTGGGTGGGCATGGGTTCTAAAGGGAGTCTAAGAATCTAGAGTTTCCAAAGAGGTTTAAGGGTCCAGAGATCAGAGACGGAGGTTTTCAAAGGTTTTTGAGTGCCTGGAGTTTCCAAAAGGCTGTGAATGTCCAGAGTTTCCAAAGAGTTCTGACCATCTAGACAGGGATGGGAATTGACAAGATTTTATCGCTAACAATGCCTTCGATGACAAACTCTTCGTAGAATTAAGCCACGCTTTAGATCGTTTCCATGCCATGCTTTTTTCTTTGTCTCTGTTCTCGTTCATGCCAACTGGCACTCGTGAAACTGCTTTTCAAGGCACCCGGAAGAAATGACAAGAATGTGAATGATGTCGATTGAACCATTGGGAACCGGTTCTTGTTGCCCATCCCTATGTCCTGAACTTCCAAAGGGGGTCTGAGTTTCCAAAACTATCTAAGTGCCCAGGGTTTCCACAGGGATCTGAGTCTTCCTAGTTTCTGAGGAGGACTTAAGACCTTGCTCTTCCACAAGGGTCTGGTTATCCAGAGTTTCGTTTGACGTCTGAATCCCCAGAGTTTCCAAAGGGCCTGGAGTATACAGAGTTCCTGAAGACTCTGAGTCCGTAGTGTCCACAGAGGTGTGATCACCCAGGGCTTTAAAAGAGGGGCCTTAGGTGTCCGATTGTTTCCCATAGGCGTCAAAGGGGGTCAAAGTTTGAGTTTCTCAGGAGGTTCAAGTTTCTAGAGTTTCCAAAAGGGTTTGAGTACCTTGAGAAAGGTAAAGAAAAACTAGGATCTACTGAAAACTCAAAAAGTTTTAAAAGTGAAATTGTGCTGATGAAGGGAAAAAAGTTTTTGTCATAATCAGGTGACGTCAAAAATATTCAAAAGACATGAAAAACTCTTAACTCTTTATTAAACAGAACAAAAACATGTTTTTTGTTTTTTCTAGAGGGTGCAGACGAAGAAAAGCCTCTGCAGTATTTCTGCAGCCGTCTACTGGAAACAAAGCGTCTGTGAGGAAATCTGAAATGATATATGAACACATAGACAAGTACGCACAGACGTTCCCACTCCCACTCCTCCAGTGGTTTCACTTCCTCCCACACCTTTGTGGTTTTTGCTTTATTGCTTTGCAGTCAAAAGTCTGTTGGAACCATCTTCTCTGCTGTAACAGAAAAGCTGATATTTTGTCCCGAAGCTCAAAGACATGCTGTTGTGACTGTCCGGGTCAGATTCTGGATCATATCTGCTGTGTACCGGTGCTGATTCTTCTGGTGGGCTCGCCAGTTTGTTTTGGTGTTTTTCCACCTCTGCATCAATCTGAAACTGAATTCAAAAGACAACTAGGACATGTTGCAGACAGCTGAAAGTGCCTTCATATGTGACCCTTAAAGATCAGCTTGAATAGAAAATGTGATTGACCTCATCTGTGGGTTAAAGATATGAGGTTCAGAAAAATCACTGTTCCCGTGTCATGTCCGGTGAAAACTAAAAGATTTCATATTTGAAGGTCAGAGGAAATCCTGTCAGCTCAGACCTGTTTTGGAGCCTTAAACTGATGATAATAACATTATAATAATGTTGAATATTATTATAAAAACTGTACACATACTCAGTGTGTCTGCGATTAACCCCTACAGCCCCTCTACACCATGTTTTCGTCCTTTCCCTGACAGTTATTCACACAGGAAATGACTGCATTCATGGTGTTACTCACCCACCTGTTAACCAGAAAAATATCCAAATTGAGGCCCCGGTTACCACGGTTACCACGGTGACAATGAACCCCGCCATGCCAGGAAGCTGTTGTGTTCGCTGTCATGCTGCTGATTTGACTGATTTGCATCCTTTGTCACTCTTCTGTTGTTTCGTTTTTCATTTGATTCGCTCTCTCCTCGGAGCTGGAAGGAGTCTCTCTGTTTTTGTTTTACTTTATTTATTCTTAAATTTAACTTTCTGCCGTCTTGATGCGTCATAGATGGAGTTTGCCTGCAGTCATGTTGTTTGTAATTGGAGGCCTGACGGAGCAGGTAAGTGCGATTATGTATATTTTTTAAGTGTGGGATTTGTAAACGCATGTTTGTTGAATTTTTACACGTACGGTATAAATCACAGAAAATGAAAATCTACACAAACAAAAAAGCAGACAAATATGGGATTAAGCCAGTTTTGAATAATACCCTTTATTGAAAAGCTCTTTGCGGTTCATTCAACTTGGAAATCCCACTTTGGATGACTCATTCAGCTTAGCAGCTGTTTCTCGGTTTTCTTTCCTTTATGTTGGATATTTAACGCTTGTATTTTAACAAACTTTGTACACCGCAAAAAAAACTCAAATCTTAAGAAGTGGTTTTGTCTTACGCCTGACAAGTCCAGAAAAATGTTTTATCTTAATATTCTACATACCAAAAATAAGAGCTGATTTATTTTGTAAGAAGTACAAAAAATAGATAATAAAATTTTGAAAAAGTGATGAAAACTTTCAGAAAAGTTTCAAGTGTCATAAAGTGAGAAAATGACATTTATGTGACAAAGTAGTGTTCGCCCCCTATGTGTTATTGTGTTTTTCTGTTCCTGTATCTGTTTTTTTTTTATTAAAAAAATATAGTTTAAATTAATAAATCAAAATGACAAGTTTTCTTCTTATTCCTTTCTTATTTTTATATATATTCCTTTCTTATTCCTTTGGCTTATTCATTTTTAAACTTATATCAAGAAATTCAGGTCTCATTTTTGGCATTTAATAGGTTGGAATATGATATTTTTCTGGACTTGATAGTTGAACACAGTTTACATGAAGCTTAAAGACACTTTTATTAAAATAAAACCAAAATTAAGATATTTCAGCAGCATCTTTTAAAAAATTAGTATTTTATTGAACCATGAGTGCCATTGAACCAACTTTGAATTGTGTATTTTCTACAGGTGTTTTTCTCGACCATGAATATGACAACCTGACTTTTAAACCACAAAAAGGTGATTATCCTCCTTTTACACACAAACACACAAAGCCTTTTTAAAGCTCCTCAACGGTTGTTTTTCTGATTCGAGTGTCGATGAAATTCTCCAGAGGATCGCAGAGAAATAACAGGAAAGCAGAAACATAACAAGGTTTGCTTCTCTCCTTTCCTCAGGCCTGCCTCCTCCCCCTTTGCCTCCTCGCCGCCTCAGAAAACCCCGACCGTCGTCTCTGCCGTTACCCCCTCTCCCTTCCTTGCAGTCTCCACTTGTTCCTCTTTCCCTCCCCCCTCCTGTCCCACCAAGAGGTGAGCTTTATTTATTTACTCTTTTACCCACAAGCGAGTCTTTCCAAGGAGTTATTCCCTTCTTCATATCTTTGTCATAATTCACAGAAGACAAGCTGGAAGGAAAGAGCAGACTGACCGTCAACACGGACGTCAACGTCAACGTCGTCTCGCTCAGTGTAGGAAAACTGGTCGACCTCAGCCAAGGTAGACCTGCATCCACGTACACCGAACATCTGTGTGGTTGTTTCTCTTTGGACCTCATCTCTTAATCTCTTTGCATAAACAGCCTCAGGCCTGGAGAGCTTTCAGAGCCCGGTGGTTTGTGGGAAATGCAGTGCAGCCTTGTCGTGTCTGAGTTTCATCCAGAGTAAGGTAAGCACCACTTCGTCATGGTCCGACGATTGATTGAAAGACTCCTCCCCTTCTTCTCCTCTCGCTCAGGTGTGGGTTTGCGAGTTCTGCGGGCGTGAAAACAGCGTCAACGACAGCGTGGAGAGAGTGTGTGTCGGCCAGCTCGCAGGTGTGCACAGCGATGACATCTATCTGCCCGATCAGAGCGACGACCCCTACCAGAACCTGGAGGACACTCTGGTGGTCTTCTGTGTGGACATTTCCGGCAGCATGAGCGTCACTACAGAGGTGTGTGTCCGTCCAGAACGGTCAAGGTGTCGAGGCGTATAAAAGGTCCAGGATGGGAATCAAACCAGCAACCACCGCAAGACTTTATGTAGGGAACCCAGACCACTGGGCAATGGGCACCCTTGTAGTGCTGAGAACATGCCAGGTGGTCTCAGTCCTCTTAAGACTAGAGGACTTAAAGGTAGGGTAGGCAGATCTGTAAGATCCCCAAGCGTCCCCCATCGTTTATGTTGACCCGGCTTTTTAGCTCTTGTCCGGTCTACCTCCGTTTTAAGCGCCCGTTATTCCTCCAGAGTCTCCGGTATTTACTTTGTTCTCTTGCTTGTGTCGGCAGTCGTGGCCAAAGGAGGATTCAGACAATTCTCCGAACTTTCTGGTTGGTTTCTACTGTCCGATATTGTAGCACGCTAACTTTGTTTGGGCACCTGAACGACACGGGGGAGCAGCGTCTGCCTCACAACCAATCAGGTCGGGGGAGGCGGAGAATGGTTTTGTTTACAGTCAGAAAGAGCTGAGCGCTCCAAACCTGCATTTGTAGCTGCAGTGAGTCCACAGTGGTTTTTGGGAGTTGGTTTGAGTCTGTGCGGTGTTTCCACTCCAAAGTTGTGTCTGTTTTTAGTGGTATTACCTAAGGATGTTAAAATCCTGTCAGCCTTGTCTCTTTTTTGATTGAGCTTTCTCCATATTATTTAAAAATTTAATGATATTATTGATGAGAATTTTTTTCAACTTTACACCAATAAACATTATTCTGAAATCGTCAAACTCTTTACCCACACAGTCTCTCACAAAGAGGGGAACTTCTCCCTATCTGTACTTCTGAAAGACTCAGCCTCTCTTCGTTGCCTTTTTTATCCAGTTGTTTCACAAACTTGATGCAAATTTTTGTAAAATGTTCCAGTTATTTTTGCCATTCCAAAAATTTTTTGATTTTTTTTTGTCCCTTTTCCAAATTTTTACTTTTACTGTATTTGAAATAAGCATATAGCTTGTATGAAACAAAAACATTTTTCAGTACTAACATTTGATATGATGTTTTGGCACAATTTTCAAGTTGAAAGAGTTTTTAATATTTTCGTTCTCTTAGTTTTGGACGTTTTGTATCTAAAATCAGCTCCTAAAAACTCTCCTATCTGAAGACACTCTATGTTTTTTTTCCCACTATTTTTCTTTTTCAGGTCGCAGCAAGCGATGGATCACAAACGCACATTTCAAGACTACAGGTAAAATGTTTTATTTTTTTGTTTCCCTTTTCCTAAAGCGCTGACAACTGCAGGATTAACTCCTTTATCACATGGATAATCAATAAAAATTCACTGTATATGTTACTGTTTTTTTCCTGTAGGGTATGCAAGATGCCCTCCAGAGGGCGCTAACGTCTCTGCTGCAGGAGTCCCCGCACAGGAGAGTGGCCCTGGTCACATTCAACGATGATGTAGGAGAAATAAATCACTTTCTGAGTTAAATGCACTGAAAGATTTTTTATTTTTAAAAGGTTTTATTTCATGATTTTATTTGTTTGTAGTTATTAGTCTCTGTTTTTCCTGATGTATATATTTACTGGATTGAATTTATCTTATTTAATTTTTTTAAATGAAAGTGCTGAAAACATTAGTCAGTCAGATTTTGTACAGGTGCGGTTAGTAAAACCAAATTTACACTTTCAATCCTTTTTTTAAATTTTTTAGGTCAAAGTTCAGCTACTTTTACCTGTGAAATACTTGACATACTTCACATATTCAGGTCAACAGTAGGAACTTTTTGACAGACTGTCTGAGACGAAATTCAGAGGTTTGAGTTGGATTGTTTGAGTCGAGTTGATGTTGATCAGGGGAGAATAAGAAATCAGATTTAACCTCTTGCAGCCGTTCCTTAATTTAAGAAAATATACAAAAATCAGTTGATACAGAGAAATCCTTCTTTGAATCATTTCTGTGAACTTTTTTTTCACAGGTTGTGATTTACGGTGATGGCACCGGTACTCCTCTCACTCTCAGGGATTGGGCGTTGGTTGACTATGACCATATATGGCAGCAGAGTGTTGGTTACACCATCCCGCACTGTATCGCAGAGACCTACGACCAGCTGATACAGAGAGTCCTGGAGTAAGTCACCACTGAGAGTGTTATTATCTTATTATTTTTGGGTGTGTCAGAGTAAATCCTGAGTGTTAAAAGTTGGATTTTTTGTCGTGTTTACAGCCTCAGAGAACACGGGGCCACCTGTCTCGGTCCTGCAGCTTTGGCATCAGTGGCCTTAGCGTCGAGGTACCCTGGGTCAAAGGTGAGCAGATGATACACAAGGGTTAAAAAAAAACAGTCTTCAGTTTTGTAAAATTTTCAAGAATTAGATAAAAAAAAAATGTAAACCAAGATTTCTGAAGGTTTCAACAAGTCAAATTTTAGAATTTTTTTAGGAGCAAAATGAACAAAATTTAAAATCCATTTTACATCCATACTGGCAAAAAAAGTACAAAAGACATGAAGGGAAATTCAAACATTTTAAACTAACATCAAATCGATCTTTATTTGTAAGTAACATCAATACATTTTTAAGACCTTTCAAATTTGTATTTAAGACATTTTAAGAGATTTTAAGAGAATTTTAAACATTTTTAGACTTTTCTAGACCCATCAGAAACCCTGTAATGCAGCTCTTTTACATAAATTTTTCATGCAAGAATGTAAAAAAACCCAAATTAATGAAAAATTCCAAATTTTCACATTAGAGCATCAATACATTAACAAAGTAATATCAATACATTTTTAAGACCTTTCAAATTTGTATTAAAGACATTTTTAAGAGGTTTTAAGAGAATTTTACAACTTTTCAAGACCCAGCAGAAACCCTGTAATACAGCTCTTCTACTCTTTACATTGATTTTTCATGCAAGAACATAAAAAACCCAAATTGATGAAAAATTCCAAATTTTTACATTAGAGCTTTTGCGCCTCTTAATAATGAAGACAAAACATGTCAGAGTTATCCCACCATTACCATATAAAATATTTCAGTAACTTTAACTAACACTTATATTCTTGTAATTTGAAATTTTCTGTCAATCTGAAAGACTGAAAAGTTTGACTGACTAGTAAGAGAAGTGACTAAGACACTCATGCTTTTTGAATTTTCTGCTCTGCAGGTGATTTTGTGTACCGACGGCAGAGCCAACATCGGGCTGGGTGAGATAGAGCAGACCTCCTCTCTGTCCTCCTCCTCTCTTACCTCTTATTTCTACAGGAAACTCGCTCTCCAGGCTGTTCAGAGTGGGTAAGACATCAGACCGGATTACCGGAGTATCCTGGTCGATTGTAAATAGTTGAAACTTTCTTAGTTTCAGCAGAATCAGCCATGTCTGCTTAGAAGAAAAACATCTACTGTCTTTTTTTCTTCTTTTCCCTCAGAGTCATTATATCAGTCATGACTTTTGAGGGAACGGATTGTTGCTTGGCGGACATCGGGAGACTCGCAGACACTACAGGAGGACGGGTGAGACACACACACACTTCACACAATTCAATGCACATTAAAGTCAACAGGCCAGCGAGACCGTTAGAAGGTCAACCCTTGATAGGTAAAGTTACAGGAATGGTGCGTCTCAAGTTAATATCACAAGCCCCGCCCCCAACACAAGCCCCGATTGGTCAGTGGAAGTGGAATTGATGAGTTTGAGGGTGTTCAAAAAGTTGAACGATTGAATTGCAGTGGTTTGGTATAAGGATTAAGTCCTTGTCATCAGCGTACAATATAATGCACACCAGAGGTGGGGGAAAGTCCCTACGTTGCAAGTCCAAGTCGAGTCTCAAGTCTTTGCTCTCAAGTCTCAAGTCAAGTCCAAGTCAACACAGACAAGTCCCAAGTCAAGTCCAAGTCCTGAACTTTTTGTTTCAAGTCCCAACCAAGTCCTAGGAATTTTGCTCCGAGTCCCAACCAAGTCCTTACCGTTTCTTTCAAGTCAAAAACAAGTCATATCAAAGCCATAAACCATTTGTTATATGTGAAGATTTACATCAATCATGAGCATTTTTCACTATTTGCATTTATTATTAAACAAGAGTTCTCATATGTTCAGTCCTCCCGGTGTTGTCGTTAAGAGGGAGGCTAGAGTTTGAGATAGTGTTGCCAAGTTTCGTGAGAGAAATAAGGAAACAGACCTCCAGAAACAAGACAAAAACAAGCAGACTTGGCAACACAACACGGTGTTACCAACGGCTGTAATTCCTGACTGTTAGTTGATGTGACACTTTTTAAACGGTTTGGGCTGTAAGGTATTAAGTGACTTGAAAAGACTTGACTTGACTTTTCAAGTCACTGGGCTCAAGTCAAGTCAAATCAAGTCCCAAGCGAGTCCAAGTCATTTCTTGGTTCCATCAAGCAATTCAAAAACGGGACTCAAGTCCAAGTCGAGTCTCGAGTCGAGTCGTCAAGCCCCCACCTCTGACGCACACAAAATGACATTAATGAGACTTTTCTGCAAACCTATGTCGAACAGGTGAATACGGTGAGCATTGGCACAGTTGCTCGAGAGATCAAGTTAGCCTCCATGGATAACATCCTTGCAACAGGAGTCACGGCAACCCTGCTAGCTCCTGATGGAGTGTGAGTTCTGCTCTAAAACGACTGCGATAACATGAACTTTTCCACTGTATTATGTGTAAATTTGACATACATTCATCTTAAATATGGATTTGCATGTAGACCTGAGTAAGAGCCCTTTTCTGTGCAGGTATTTCCCATATGAGAATGAAAAAATTCACAAACTGGTGAATGAAATTGGGAATGTCACCAAAGGACTGCAGATTACCGTTCAGTTTGCCGTAAAACCAGAGTTTATGGGAGGTAAAATTATCATCCAAATAAAGTAGATTTCTTTTACTCAGATTTCTGGGCAGCCTGCCGACATTGTGTAGACAACTGTCAAATGTTTAAAATTATCGTTAATGTGTCTGACAGTTTTTCTCCAGAAGAACACACTTCCATTTCAAGTCCAGCTGAGCTTCAAGACCAGAGACCAACAGAAAGTGATGCGTGTCATTACTGAACAACGTCCAGTTTCTACCTGCAGGTAAACACTTTCAAAATTACACACATTTGTAATATTTATAAAAATTTGAAAAGTTATAATTTTGATAGTGATCTGCTTTGTACTCTATATCTAGTCAAAGTGCAGTCTGGGCAGGAAGCCTCAACACTGCGGTTCTCGGTGTCCACTGCGCTCAACTCTGCGCCAGACTGACCATGGAGGGTCGAGTACAGGAAGCGCAACAGCAGCTTAAAGCGCAGCAGGACTTGCTCGATCAAATCAGGTACGAGTCCCTCAAACCCTGGTTTCTTTTTGGCCTTCTTTGGTCCTTTTGAAACAGTGCATGATGACTTTAACATACAGAACAGGAGAATAAAACGGAAGATTTATACGTTTTAAAAGTTCACACATATGCAGATATAGGAACTGCTTCACACATATTTCTGTTTACATGACATTGTGGGGACTGACATATTTTTGCTCATGTATGGGGACTCTTTTAGCATCCATGTGCAACAACCTGTTAGACTACTTATTCTTGTATTTTCTTTTTATCTTCATGTTAAAATTTGACTTTTTTTATTTGACTGAGTTTTGGAACAAATGTAACTTGACGGTACACTAAAAGTTCCTTTTTTTGTCTCATAGTAAGCAGAGGACAACCCCACAGGTAGAGAATATCTATGGCAACTGGATGGACACCATGACAACAGTCTTCGACGGCATCTCAACAGAATCTCAGGTTTTGTCCAACCAATTTAAGGACATTTCTAATCAATTGAATATGAGACATAAGGAATTAGTCAGTCCCTGAATTAAATATTGTCTTATTGATTATATTAATTCTCTAAACCCTCCAGACGCTCTCTGATGAAGCAGCTAAGGTGATGTACCAGATGAAGAGAGCCAGCAGTGTTAACAACAACAACAACAGCAATACACTTGAGACTCAGAAGAAGACTTTAAAGAAGAAGAAGAAGAAATTCCTCATGAAAGCACTGTAAAGAAACAACAGATCCACTCAGGATATACAGACTTGACATCACACTGACTTCTTTAAGCTGACCAGAAAAGCTCAAAGTCCTTTAACATTTCCATCCCCTGAATCCTCTAATGTGGTTACCTCAGCCTGAACACGCCACGTACACGACATAGACTGTTGACACAAAGACAGATGAGACCAGCTCAGGTATAGCACGTCTTCATTTTGCGTTTTGACATCTCCTACGTGCCTCTGTGACAGCTAAGGAATCTCTAAGGTTACAAGTTTAGTGGAACACTGCATCCCAGCTGTCAGCTTTAAGTACTGACAAAAATGTCAGTCATGACACACAAACCTAATTCTGAAACTGTCTAGAATCTAGATACACGTGTGATCGATTTTTTTCTTATCTATATCAGTATTCAGTTTTAAATAAGACTTTTAGCCGCTATTATTGCACATAATGGCACTGTAGCATTTTCAAAACAATCAAATATATCAGTTTTGAATGTTTGTGAGTCCGGTTTTTTTTCTTGTCCTCAGAGGATATTTTTATATGAGGAAGTAAAACTTGACAAAATCTCAATTTTAAACCAAAATATTTAATAACTTGTGGTGTTGAATGTTATCCAATTTGGTAAAAACCGATGAACATTTCAGTTTTCAATTTTCTGCACTTATCAAGATTATTTGCATCACTAACAATTAAAAAGCGATTCAATTATGACTATAATTTATTTCTTTATAAGGTTTCGTTTCTCGAGAACAGGTTCCTGAGAGGTGTATCATAGCGCAATAACAAAATTCCAAAAAGTTAAAAAAGAGTTAAGATCAATTACAAAAACTAGCTAATAAAAAAGTACAAAAAATATGTAAAAGTTTGTTAGAAACAGGGTTTCTGCGCAATAAGTTTGATCAATTTCTAGGTCTCAAAAAGTATGGAATGAAAAATCAAGTATGGAAAAATATTTATGTTTCTAGATCTAAAATAGAAAAGTAGATTTTTCTAAATATAATTCTAAAGGTTGGGTATTGAAAAGTATGAAAATTCCAACTATGAAGGAATCCTGTAGAGTAAAATCATAAAAGTTGAAATGTGGTTTTGGTGTTTTTTGCGAGTCACAGTTCAGCCTCTTGTTAAAAATCCACAGGACTTCATGTTCCCTGAAGTCATTCGCAAACACTTTTCAGAGACCAGAGAAACAGGTTCAGTCTCAGCATCTCAGCATCTGCAAAAAAAAGTGTGTCAGTGAAATTCCTACAACTATTGTTATCGCTTTGCTGTAAAAGTTCTCACTGTGAGACATCACAGAGGAGACAGTGAGGAATGTATGAAAGATCAGCAGGTATCTAACTTCCCTACCGTAATGGGGAAACATGAACGTGAGTCACTGCATAAGATTCGGGAAATACACTTGTGCCACAGTGAAAGTATGTTTTATAAATTCAAGTACTGTGGGCACACATTCAACAGCTACATTCATGTTATGCTGCTTCAAACGTTAACATTTTTATACATGTAGATTCAGTCAGCAGCTTTATGTTCTAGTTACTGATCAAGACTGAAAACGTTTTTTTAAATTTGGAATTTTAAGAGGTATAGAAAATTAAAAGCACTAGATGTTTGTAAAAATAGAAAAAGTTGAAATCAAAAACTAGAAATGCCATAACACAGGACACCATACTAGAAAATGCCTCCAAGTACAAAGTTATACCAAGTGTATGATAATGGATAAAGGTTGACACATCAAAGGGGTCTAAAACATTTGTAAAAACACACAGATGATAATAAGTAATATCAGCATTGAAGAGGGGCTTAAAACAAAAAACAGTGTACCAAAAAAAAAAGAAATCTTGTTTTTACATATTCAAAAACTAAGTTGAGATGATCCGACTAAAACTGAACTTTTAACAGCAAATTCATTGATTCAAAATTTTTTTCAAGTTCAACTGCAGACTGAGACGTGGTTTCCACACAGTTGGAATTTTCATACTTTTCAATGCCCTACTTTTTAGAATTGTATTTGGAAATACCTCCTTTTCTATTTTAGAAAAGAGTAATTTTTTTGTGTTTTTACTGTGGTAATAGTCTTGAAACCTAAATATTTTTAAATACTTTATTTTTCATTTACCATACTTTTTAAGAATTGTTGAAGAATTGTTTAAGAACTTGATCAAATTACTTGCATACTTTTTCATACTTTCCATACTTGCGTAGGAACCCTACTGAGAAATTCTGAATATTTCTGGTGAAGTAGATTTATTCAACAATACCTCGACTTAATTTTCAATTAAAGAAGCTAAAATTTGGAGATATAAAAATCAATGTCAACACCCACTACAAACTACTTTCTTTTCCCACAGGGTCACTCACCCGTACCTTCAGGGATTATTTGAACCTGCTCAAGGTTCCGATTACAGATAAGCTGAGTGAGTTACATTCTCTCATGTGTCAACTGTTTGAAATGAAACATCATCCAAGACCTAGCCTGAATCTTTCATGATTCTAAAATTATGACATTTTGCAACTTTATCATCATCATGTCTGGCTAATATTTGTATGATCCGTTTTACTGAATGAAGGTGGATGTTGTTTTAAGTATTGCCAACAATTTTTCTGTTTTGGTATGAGGACATTTTTGTCTTCTCGGTACACGTCGTCTTGAATCTCTGATTATCTCATTGGAGGTTGCGCCTCATTTAGCAAAAGGAATGACAAATGTGATAAAGATGCCGTTGGTTAAAACAGCAACAGAACAGAGGTAAACACATGCATACGAAAACAAAGCCACATGAGAACACTGGGTCCGAAGGAAGTTGAATCACATTAACGCGCACGTGGTGGTGGAAAATAACCCACACAGAAAAGCTTGTTTTGGTTCTCATGCCACTGGTGAGCCTGAGTCACGTAGATAACGTACGCATGACATGTGACCATAATAGTTTAGCCAAAATAAGAAAAGAACTAAATTAAAAAACTGAATGAAAAGCAACAAAAAGAGAAAAATCCAAAAGGCAAAATCCAATATAAGACACAGGGGAAAAACACAGGGAGACTAAGGCCTTGGCTGGAATGTATATGTCATTTAATTTATTGAAATTCCCAGCTACGTGTGCACATGGCCCAAAGATTCACACATTGACTACAGAGACAAGTGTACACACAGACACATAATGAACCAAACAGGACAAAGGGAAAGACAGGGACTATATACACACTGGGAAACAAGCAACAGGTGAGGCAGACGAGACACAGGTGAAACTCATCAAGGGTGATTAATGAAGGAGGGAAAACTAGGGAAGTAAAACCAGACTAGAAACACAAGGAATCAACTTTTACAAAATAAAACAGGAAATAAACACTGAAAACTGATCTAAAGAATAAAACACAGAGAACAGGAGGGAAACAGGGTCTGGGACAAACCGAAAACTTACAAGACATGACTACAGGGGGACAGGAACAATAAGAAAAAAAACAAAAAATTAACTGAACATATCATGACAATCATGGATCCAACACAAAGCTTGACATGTCCCTGTTCCAACTTTTTAGACATGTTGATGGCATCAATAATAAAGTCAGCATCCTTTTTTAATTAAAAAATCTTTCATTCAACATTTGATATACTTTTGATTTAAATCTGAGACAATCAAAAACACATTTTTACCTGCATTTTCACTGTCTCCCACAGTTTTTCTTTAAACTCAAGATAGTGCCGATACTTTAACTCTATCATTTTCTAACTTTGAAAGAGGCAGCAGTTCATTTCTTACATCATCTACTCTCTTTATCATCACATCAGATGTAAACTCTCTTCTAAAATGTAGATTTTACTCTTTACATTACTAAGCGAGGTTATAATGCTGACCTGCTTCCAGGAAAGATTGACCTTTTTAAAAGAAAGGGAAATGCAACACAAGGAAGCAACGATCGGAGGGGACACGTCTGCTGACATTTGACCTACTCTGTCTGTGTTTCATTCCCACAACTTAACCAGTTCTGCCACATTCACCGTCTAAACAGAGCGACTTGTGTGAAGGGGGGCGTGGAGTGACTGCCCCACATCACTAAATACAAAAATCACCACCTTGACACACGTTTACACAACCTGACCACAGCAGCAGACACGTTCCTTCAGAACCGGATTCAGCATGGACAGCTAGATCTGGATCTCCTTTCGGATAACTTTTAACGTCAGAGCCGCTAACAAGAAAGGTATCTGCTTTAACTCTCTGTTTTTAGATTCAATGCTCATCGGAATTCTGTTACTTTGACTGTTTTATGTGCAAAAGAGAGATCTCGTGAACTTTGTGAATTGTATTTTTATAATTTGGTTTGCAATATTTAACTGATGTGGTGCGAAAAAGGTGATATTATTTGATGTCAAAACTTTTCAGTTAACACAGTTTTCCTAAAAAAGGACTTATTCAACTAATTACAACTACTACTTTCAAATGTGATCTATCATTTATTAGATTTTAAATATCATTTGCAATCAGATGTCTCGTTCCTAATGAACAACTTTTAGTATTTAAAAAAAAAAAAAAACTTTTAAGAGAAAAACTTTAGTTGAATACTGCCACATGGCTCCATCATCATCTATCCAGAGTCCAACGACCCTCTTGACAACACATGTGAATGGGCTATGTTTAAAATTGACAACTATAAACACTTGTTACAAACATAATTTTACTAAAAATTTTGCTAAATGTGATTCAACTTAAGATTTTACACAAAAGGATTTGGTCTCTTCAACATTAAGAAATAGTTTGTTCAGTGCGTCTTGACGGAGGCCAGAATCTCGCCCGACTTCATTCCCACAGTCCTCTGACCGGTCTTATCTGATTGATGGTGACAGGGGTAGATTTCGCATTTTTGCTTATTATATAATACATCCGTTTACCTCCACCAGTGTCTGTGTTCTCATCAGTAATCTCATCGAAGCTCTTACATTTCAAACAATCCAACAGCTTGAGTGTAGCCAAAACAGACTATCCCATTGTGAGTTGCAAACCTAAAAGCACCGGGTAATCTTCCTGTTAACTGTAGTCAACCGGTTGGCTGAGAGGCTGAGCTCTCTCCATCTCCAAGTAGATTCATGCATTATGATGTGAAAATAGACGAATCTGTGAAATGCGCTTTTTGACCCAAAAGGACAACATATGTGACTTAAGAGGACCTGAAAATCTATCTAACCAAGATGAGGAATACTGTGATGTGTTGGTTGGGTGTTTATTATTCAGTAGTATTTTTGGAATCTGTAGTTTTCACAGACTTATGGGAGGTACCACAACTTCTGAGTACTCCAAGAGGGTAAACCCACTCCAGTCTGTACCCTTCCTAAGACCATATGGCGTCCTGGTCGTATATCTCTCATTTGTTCTCCACAGGATGTCAGTACACGGCAGCTTTCTGTCTGATGAGCAGTTCCAGTGCTCCATCTGCCTCGACGTCTTCATCAACCCTTCGTCCACACCATGTGGCCACAGCTTCTGCATGGCCTGCATCAGCAGATACTGGGATGGATCCAAGGTGCGTACATGAGTTCATGTTCAAAACCTGGAGATTGATGGGTTCTTCTAATTCCTTAATCCTTCTCTGATGTTGGCATACTTCAACCTGTCTCCTTTTCTTCTGACTGTCCTCACAAATCCACGTGAAACCTTGATTCTCTCCTCCATATATACCTCCTCTCTCAGGTCTGCCAGTGTCCTCTGTGCAAGAAGACCTTCCAGAAGCGACCCGACCTCCACATCAACCGGACTCTGCGAGAGATCACCGAGCAGTTCAAATCCTCAAGAGGAGGGGGAGGATCTGGGAGGGACAAGAGGGGTGGAGGAACGTCAGAGGGCTTCTTTGAAGAGCTGAAGAAGAAGCTTCCTCGACCTTTGCCAAAACTGCCACTGAAGAGGAACATTGAGACCACAGGTGAACGGAGCAGACGACACCTTTACCGAACAAACACTTGAGTAGGGTTTTAAACTCCATCTAGCCTAAAGGGACCACCGGTACTAAAAGGGAATGAACGAGTGAAATCTATTTAGATTCATGCACAAATAACGTGAACATCAACCAGAAGTGTCAGAGTACTCCACTGGTAGCAAGAAGTTCAAGCTCAGAGTTAAAAGACATATGCCACGAAATTTAGACTTACTGGGGCAGTGGTGGTGGAGTTACCTGACACTGGCTGTGTTACCGTATAATTTCAGCACAGTCTTGGTGGTCTGACTGGGCTGCGAAGGCCAGGTCCTACAAAGGATCTTACCTTAAATCAAGACATAGGTATTGTCTGGATTCCTAACAGACATGCAATACCAAAACTTGACTAACTTACTAACTTTGCTTAAGTATTGCGCAATTTTCTATCAATATCAAACGCGTGGATTCTGTGGTATTCGTTTCCCTGATGTCTCTTGTTAGGCCTCCAGTCCCACTTAAAATTAGTCCCAGAGATGACATGTCCTTTGTTCTGATTTGGTATTTTTTCAGCTGACGCAACTTTGTTGGCTACTTCAGTGCCAAACCCCAGTCCGCTTGCTACCATGATCACCCCCATAGGACCTCCTCCGCTACCTCCCCCTTTTTGTCGCTCCAATGGCCGCAGAAGGTTCACGGTGACTGGGGCAGCAAGCAGCAACAATCTCCCTCTTTGCGAGATCCACCACAGAGGACTACTGGTACCAATATAATTATTATTATTACTTCTACTCTTGGTACTTTGACAACTAGTTCCAGGTGTAGTACTACTTTGACACACTCTGTTCGCTGATTCCAGATGTACTGTAGGACCGACAACGTTTGTATCTGTCCGGATTGTGCAACTGAGGACCATTACGATCACGACACAGTGAATATAGAAGATGAATGGACAGCCACCAAGGTGGGAAATCAAACGATACATAGAAGCTCCTGTGAGGAACTTCTGGTTTAAGTCAGTTTTGGTGTCAACTGTGGACAAAGCAAGTACAAAATTAGTTTATTCAAGCAGAGGAACAGTTGTGTGTTTGTGCGTTTCAGGCCCAGCTGAGTGTATCGGAGAGGGAGATCGAGGATATGATCAAACAAAGAGTCAAGAAGATTGAGGAGATCAAACTGTCGGTGACCGAACTGGAGGTAAGATAAAAACATTCTTCTTACAAAATACCGAAGATGAGTGGACAGACCAGAGAATCCTCCTGTTGGGATATCATCAAAAACAAAAAATTCAGAAGTCCTCTCAAAAGGTATCACTTTTTGTTCTTTGGTTGCCTTATTTCAACAGTTCTTCCGTCTTGAAAATACTTTATACTCATAATTTCCCAGGCGGCGATCGACCGAGAGACAGCTGGCAGCGTTTGCCTGTTTTCTGTGCTGGTGTCCGCCATCGAGCGCTCCCAGGCAGAGCTGATGGAGGTGATGGAGATGAGCCGGAGGGCCGCCGAGCATCAGGCCGAAGTGATGATACGACAGCTAGAGCTGGAGGTGGAGGAACTGAGGAGGAGAGAAACCGTTCTGGCTGAGCTCAGCCAGTTGGATGACGCCCTACATGGAGTCAAGGTTGGTGCCAATGTAACCCGGATCGGTTTAAACATTGACGGTAAACCTGAGGAGATTGGCTCTTGGTCATTGCGTACCTCTCTTTCAGACATTCCCAGCTCTCTCCAATCATCCCCCTTCCAAAGACTGGTCTTCAGTGTCTGTGAACACCGACTTGGGGACGGGGACCATCTACAGATCGCTGGCAGCTCAAGTGGAGAACTTCCATAAAGAACTGAAGAGTGTAGCGGAATCAGGTCAGTCTCCAAAAGGTGGTTCATGCTGGTTTGATCCTTCTGTCATAGAATATACACTGGTCAATACTGCCCTCTTGTGGTAGATTATGATAACGTCTGAATTCAGTTTATAAACATTACTTGATTTTTTATGTATCTTTCTTCAAATATGGTGTTTTGTTCCCTTCCAGGTTTTCCATCTATGGCACTGGAACCAAGTCCAGTTCGGGGTCACCCCAGTGAGTTTCTATCCCCAATCCACTTCAAGTTAGCCAATTCACCCCATTCACCCCACCAAGACAGTAAAAATATAGAAACAAGTTAAAGGTACGTCATTTGTACGATGCATCGGTGTGTTTTACAACATTTTATCTTGTTTTCTGCAGGGATAAAGAGAGTGCAGGAATATGCAGGTATGGAATCAGACAAACTTATAAAATATGTGTCGTAATGAATGAAAAATCTTAAAATAATTAACATCCTTTTTACCCCGTAACAGTGGACGTGACTCTGGACTACAACACCGCCCATCCCAGGCTGATTGTGTCGGAGGACATGAAGAGTGTAAGTCGTCTGTTAAAGGTCGTTATTTAACAGTTTGTTTCCCGATGAATGGACAGTATTAAACATTATTTCTTGTCGCGTACAGGTGAAGTGCGGCGATAAACACCAGATGCTTCCAGATAATCCTGAGAGGTTCGACAGAGTCGTCTGTATCCTGGGAAGGGACACGATCACCTCTGGGAAACACTACTGGGAGGTAAAGACTGATGACCAATATCTCAGATCCAAGTGTCGTGATTCCGTCCTGCATGTCCGTCCACCCTCTCATGATATCTGCCTTTCTGAACAGGTGGAGGTTGGTGGAAAGACGGACTGGGACCTGGGGGTGGCGAGACACTCCATGAACAGGAAAGGGAAGATTGACGTGACCCCAAGCAACGGATACTGGTTCCTCAGCTTGAGAGACAAGTTAGTTTTCGCTTAACTCTCTAAAAGCTAAAAAGTCAGCTACGACTGATGAGCTTTTGCATTCCTGATGTAAAATTTTATGCTCTTCTCGTCCTCTGTATCACTTTGTCTCTCAGGAATAAGTACGGCTGTCGCTCTGAACCCTCCATAGATGTCCAGATGAGCCTTCGACCTCAGAAGATTGGCGTATTCGTGGACTACGAAAGAGGACAGGTACAGAACCGGGGGGACGCAGTCTCCTCCTGCTTGTTTCTAAAGTCTATGATGTATCCCTCTGATTTCCTACAGCACTCATTCTCCTTGTTGGTCTGCAGGTGTCTTTCTACAACGTGGACAGTCAACTCCACATCTACACCTTCAACGACAACTTTGACGACTGGATCTACCCGTTCTTCAGTCCTTGTACGAACAAATCAGGGAAGAACGAAGGGCCGCTGATCATCACACCAGTGATCATGACCGAATAACTGAGATATCGGTACTACTCTGTAACTCTCTCTCTTCTTTTGTTGTGAAACTTTGTTCCCAGAAGATTTTCTGCTACGATTTGTTGTAAATTGAATGATTCACTTTATTAAAACGAACATTACTGAAAACCTCGATGTCCAAAGTTGATTTGGGGCGTTCAAAAACTCATTCAAATAGTAAAAAAAAAACAGCTTCGATATCGACATGAGGGGAGACCGTTGTTGTGCACCGCCATGTCTCTGCAGCAATGAAGTCAGACTAGTAAAATTCTGACGTTTTTGATGGTAGAAATTTGTCATGTGAAGGTTCGTACTCTTGTTTTGAAAGGCCATCACCATCCTGTTTGGACCTTCACTCCAGGAAGAGTGAGCAAGTGGGTGCCCCAGTCTAGTATATTCTCCTGTGCATTCTCAAAAGTGCAGAAAAGGTGTTCGAAGAAGTTTTGGCTCAAGGGTCTAGGAAGGTGGTTGGAAGGCAACTCAACACACTGCTGTTTTCCCAGAAGAGATTTTTACGAATACAGGTTTCATAAAAAACTAGAAAATCACTCGGAGAGCGCAGACTTCCGTCAAGCAGCTCATGTCCCTCCTTAAACAAGAAATGCCCTAACCGGAATGCGAACCCAGGACCTTCTGGTTGTGAGGCAACAGTGCTAACCACTACACCACTGTGCCGCCCATTGGTTATCTTTCAGCATTGAAAATTCCAACGACATCCTTATTTTTGTGTGTTCTGGATCACAGTATCCAGAATTTTGTCTGGATCACCACCAAAATTTAATGGGATCCTCCTGGCGCTGAGATTAATTTCAGGACAATCCGTCTGTTACTTTCTCCGTAAAGTTGCTAACAGACAAACAAACCAACGCTACCGAAAACATAACCTCCTTGGCAGAGGTAATAACAAACTTTTCCCAAGATCAAACAAACCTTGAGAGCGATTCTCCTCTAGACACAAATACACGGGGGCGGAGTCATAAGTTAATTTTGTAGACTCGGTAAGTCCACGTGACACAAACTCGAAACTTCCGTACATAACCGCGGACATTTGAAGGATTTTATAAACTTCCCCGAACAAAGTCGGAAAGCCCCCGAAAAGAGAACATGTCCGGGTAAAAAAGGACGTATGGTCACCCTATGTTAGTTGATGTCATAAAAACAGAAAAACAGAGACTGAAATCGTCCTTCTTGAAAACTTCATTTGAATTTAATCACAGATCCCGACGATAAAGCACATTCATGAAAAAACAAAGTGAAATCACAGAGATGAGCCAGATGACGTGAAAGCGTTCAAGATCAAACATCTGTAAGCGAGACGGACACACATAAAGCTTTTTTTTAATCAACTCATACATGTTGAATCAAACGTTTTTCTAAAGAGACTGAATCAAAGTGCAAATGAAGGTCCTTCACCCATCATCACCTAAAAATAGCTTAAGTTTTTTACCAGCGATAATCTCTCTACTTCTAAATCCCAGAAACACGAAACGCCGCCTTCAGGTGCGTTTTAGAGAAAACGATTAGAAGCAAAAACTAAACTTTTAGACTTTTACGTAAGATCTGTCTGTTAACAGGAGGCTACGGCGAGCATTTTGAGTCAGCACTGGGACCGGAAACAAGGTTGAACTGGCTCTGTGTACGAAAAAGATCCACTTTAACAAGCTGATTGTTCGGCTAGAAAATACCATAGACTGTATATAAGATGGACACCCTGGTTCCGCCTTCCGCCTGTATACGGATTTGAAGCCAAAAAGCGCTTGGTAATTCCGGGTTTTTCTCCACTTCCTTGAAACCAGAGTTGCGCAGTAGCGATGTGCGCATTCGGCCGCACAGACTTCAGTCCACAGTCCCATAAGCTTTGCTGGCGGAGGCGGGATTCATGACCTGTACTGCAGCCCACCATCAGAGGGCGCTGTTCTCGGAGTGGCTTCACCCAGCGAGGAGGCAGACTCTGTCCATCTTATATACAGTCTATGGAAAATAACCTTCAGATTCGGAAGTTGTGGTTTCCCAATGCTAAGCTAACTGGTCTCAGGATTTAACTTCATATTGACAGGACAGACGGCGTTTTTGTCTTCGCTCTGAGTGAGAAAGTGAATCAAATAACTGTTTTTGAAAAAGGTGGTTCATCAGACGTGACGGAAATGATCGGTTTGACTCAGATATGAAACTTACAAAAGAGAGTGAAGACACATTTTGGACACTGATAGAGTTAATTTGGTTGAAAACGCCACGAATATCGACGACAAAGAGCGATTACAGCTTATAAATTAAAACAATAATTAAAAATTTTGGGGCACTAGTTGGTGATTAAGTACCTAAAGCAGCTAAAAAGCGGGAGATTCGGCCTTTTTTTCTGATAAATACAGCAGTTTAGTTTCCAGTTAATAATTAAAGTTTCGACGCCTCTCTGATGGACTTATTCCTGTTTCAATTAGCGGCGTCGTTGCACTCAAAGAAAGTCCCGGATCCTTCAAACCCTCAATATTTGTGGACTTTTGTATTTTTTTTTTGGTTTTCACAGCTTGACTTGAGCTCCTTCTTTTTGAAAACAACTTTGAAGCATGCATAAAAATCACGTTTTTGAACTATGAGGGAAAACTGATTCCTGTTCCACTTGATTGTAAACAAGTACATTAATTTAAATTCTGTACGCATCTACAATTAATTCTAAACTGATTCCTCCTCTCAGTTGCGCAGAAACTGCACCGCGTTGTTTTTCATGTTTCCTTCAAACTTAGAAGTTCTTGCGGTCGATGCGGTCCTGCTCCATCTGCGACTGCGCCTTCTTCTTCTGCAGGAGGATGTGCTCGGCAAACTCCCTTACCGCGCCCTTTCCCCCGACGCCGCGGCAGGTGTACTTGGCGGCGTTGATGGCCATGTTAGGGGCGTCTCTGGGTACGGCGCTCATACCTGCCAGGTTCAGACAGTTCACGTCTTGTGTGTCGTTACCTGAGAGGAGAAAACAGCAGGTGTAAATTTAAAAACACGTTTTTTTCCGTTTCAACATCTTTGACTCTCTCGAGGCCGTTTCTTACCCATGTACGCCACATCCTTCCAGTCCAGCTTCCTCTGCCCCACCTCCAGCTTCAGAGCATCCAGCGGCTCCTCTCCCACCTGCATCACCTTGCAGCCCGTCCTCTGACTCACTTTTTCCGCCAGCTCCTTGGTCACGGGGTCCAGACTGGAGGTCAACAGCACCACCTGGTGGAGCGACACAGAAGGTAGAATGAGTCCTCGAGACTGGAGTCAGTTCGCCGAGGTGTTTATGATGAAGAGTCGAGGACTCTGGACCTCCACGTCTGCTTTCTGCAGCATGCGGATGCCCGTGGTGTCTCTGGTGTTGATGGACACCATCTCCTCCCCGGACGCAGACAAGAAGATCCGCCCTTCTGTTAGACATCCGGAAACGTTACAGAACAAAAGGCGGACCATTTCAGGCGTGTTCCGGCCGAAGTACCCGTACCTGAACAAAGACACAAGAAGATTAAATCGAGATGTAGAGGCGGCGGAATTCATCTGCGTGTTAAAAAGTTCCTATGAGACATCCAGGAAAGAGCAGACGCAGCGGAAACAGCAGAGGACCCAGGACAGAACCCTGAGGGACACCAACCTGCTGAATTAAAGGGATATTCCGGCGTAAAATTAATTTAGGGTCAAAAACACCGTAACACCAAGTTAGACACCCCCTTGAGAGATTGATGTTGCCGACCGCTTGCTTCTCCAGTTATTCCAGTGTTGTTTTTGGCAGGCATTTTAGATTTAGTTTTAGTCTTAGTCATTTTGACGAAATGCTTCTTCGTTTTAGTCCCATTTTAGTCATTTCTATCCTTGATAGTTTTCGTCTAGTTTTAGTCCGACGAAAACTCAAAAGGTTTTAGTCTAATTTTAGTCGACGAAATCCTTTTTGAGGTTCGTGGTGTTCTTTCCCGACAGTTTGAAGCCGCAGCATGAGGAAGCTGTGGCTCCACAACTGTCGTCTGTCTCGTCTCCCCGTCCCCGTACAAGACATTGTGTTTTATTGTCACTTGGACTGTATCTGAAGTAGGACCATAAACCATCCCTCTTTTTTCGGCCACCGGGTACCGCTGCTGTGCCTGCCGCCACGGTGTGTGTTTGCGCGCGCCTCGTCCACCTGCCGCTCTTTGTATGTGTATGACTGTGTGCGCGCAGCTGTGCGCGAGCGAGGCTTTTGGTGCGTGTGTGATGGGGGCGTGACTGTTAGGACAAAAAAAACCATGTTTTGAAACTTTGTTCGTCCACCTAATAACAATTTAGTCTCGTCTCGTTCTCGTCTGACGAAAATGAATATAATTTTCGTCACATTTTAGTCTTTACAGAGCTTTGGTGACGTTCGTCTTAGTCTCATTTTCGTCAAGGAAAAAAGGGGTCTGACGTCGTCATTTAAGTTTTCATCCTGCCTGACGAAAACAACACTGAGTTATACCAACTTTAGTGACGAGCCATAAACAAACCTCAACCAAAACGCCACAAATAATGTTCAGAACAGCACCTAACTTCATCAACAGGACATATAGGGTCACAGCCATAGTACTAGCCACCAAACATCTTAACTTTAGAAAGTCAAGATGTTGGTATTAAATGTTAAAGTTGGTTAAGAAAGTTAAGAGCCAGTCCATTACGGACGACAGCGGAGTTTCGCAGCTCAAGGAAGAACATTTATGATCATTTCTTCAGACCGAGACGCTAAGACAGAAGAACTACCGCGTCTGCAGTGCAAAATGATTATTATGATGATTATTACTTCAAGGAAATGATGAAGAAATGATCATAAATGTTCTTCCTTGAGCTGCGAAACTCCGCTGTAGTCCGTAATGGACTGGTCTGGGTTCTCACTACAAACAAGCGGCTGCTGGAAGAGAGTAGGTGAGTTGGCGGTCGGCAACATTCATCTCTGGAGGGGGGGGGTCTAACTTGGTCTTATGGTGTGTTTGACCCTAAATTAATTTTACGCCGGAATATCCCTTTACCACACCATGCCCCCTAAACCCCGTCACTTCGGCTCACCTCAGGACCCTCTGCTCTGCTACAGGCCAGTCAATGTCCACGTCGATGTCCACACTGTACTCTGGCAGCATCTCAAAGTACGTGACCTTACCACCCTGAAGAAAGAGAGACGAGTCACTGTGAAATTTCATTCATTCACACACAGGAAGAGTCCATCGGCACTACTTTATGACATCATGATACCAAAAACCAATGCCTAAATACCTGTGAAAGTCGGTGAAATAATGAAATACCGTATTTGAGTGTCAGTAGATTACCTGCATACACTTCGCCCTCTCAACGAGCTCTTTGGAGGCGAAGTAGAAGGAACCGTTCTCGCACAGCTCCCCGTCCCAGTCCTGCCGCCGCGGTCGGTTTGGCGGGTCCAGGTTGAACGGACGAGTGAGCTCATTAGCTAAAAACAGAGCAGAAGAAGAATTATGACGAGGGTGAACACAGGATGGCCTTGACAAACATCACTCTGGAGTGGAAATCACTGCTGTCTGTGAACACAGTTTGTTTTGGTTTTGGAGGTTCAAGTATTTGTTGTTGCAGGTGAACCGTTGACTTGAGTCTGCAGCCTTAAAACGTTCCAGTTCTTATCTAACTCTTGATAAAAAAGGGGCATTGCAAAAATTATCTCACCAGGACAAACATATCAGTGTCAATATTTCCTGAAAGAGATAGTGCATATCTGTGTAGAAAAGCACTAGTTTTGGCTTCAAGTAGAAGTCCTCTGCCTGTCTCTGCACAGTTTGTGATATCAGTGCCTAAAGTGAATTAGCTCTTCCATCAATTACGGCAGTTTTAATTCCTCAACCAACAGGTTTTCTTTGCTCTCAGGGTTGGGTGTTACCTAAACATCCCGGAGAAAGTTGTGTCACTGAAACTCCATACAGGGAACTTACATCCTGTTTTGACCTCCTTCCAGCGGAACTGATGCCTCCTGACCACAGAGAAGATCGAGTCGTAGCCTTTCTCTGTGATCAGCTCTAGCGCCCCCTTCAGGTGGAACGGATGCAGACAGGGGGATGTGGCCTGAATGTGACAGATGACATCCACCTCTACAAAAAGACAAGAGTCAACAGAGCGAGCTCAGTTATCAGCTGCTTTGACACTCATCAAACAAACACCAGCAGGCGTGGAAGGAGCACATCCTGGTAGTTCAAAGACCTGATCTGACCCAGACTTGCATCCTGCTGGGCGTGCGTACCTGGATTCAGCCTCATAAACTCCTGGATGGTCTCCAGGGATGAAGAAGAGTCTCTGGAGACTTCGGGACTTCTGCGGTGAACCTTAGCACCCCAGGCTTTGGCCACCTTCTCGATTTCATCATGGTCTGTTGATACCCACACACTGAGAAAATCGAGATTATTACATTTATCGTCATGTCAAGGATTATTTGTTCTTATTTCACAGCTTTATATATGCAAAAAAAACTTGTTTTATAGGAAATCCTACAAGTGTGTTTCTCCAAGAAAGACTGTTTTACTCATCCAAATTCAGATCATTGAACAGAACTGTTTACCAGAACTTCTTACTTCAGATTGCAAAAAATCGACTAATACACAATTTTGTTGAAAAAAACAAAACAATTAAGGCCACAAAAAAAAAATCTTTTTTTTTTTTTTTTTTTACTTTGATGTTTTCCTCAGAATTCTGTCATTGATCTCAAAGTTCTGGAATACAATATTCATCTTCTTTAGCGAAGAGACCAAACACAACTCACCTACTCTCTTCCAGCAGCCACTTGTTTGTAGCAAGGCGGAGTTTCGCAGCTCAAGGAAGAACATTTATGATCATTTCTTCATGGATATACAATCAGACCGAGACGCAAAATGATTAATACAGTGATTATTACTTCAAGGAAATGATAAAGAAATGATCATAAATGTTCTTCCTTGAGCTGCGGCACCCCGCTGTAGTCCCTAATGGACTGGCCTGAGGTCTTGCTACAAACAAGCGGCTGCTGGAAGAGAATAGGTGAGTTGTGTTTAGTCTCTTTACAAAAGAAATAAGCCAAAGCTAAAAAGATGTTTGATGGCTAGTGCTGTGGCTAGGACCTTATATGTCCTGTTGATGAAGTTAGGTGCTGTTCTGAGCATTATTTGTGGCTACAGAGTGGCGTTTTGTTTGAGCGCGTGGCTCTCTGTATTGCTATCATGTGGTCGTTACTAAAGTTGGTATTTGAAGCAAGCGGTCGGCAACATTCATCTCTGGACGGGGTGTCTAACTCGGTGTTACGGTGTGTTTGACCCGAAATTGATTTTACGCCGGAATATCCCTTTAAGGCCACCAAAAGAAAAAAAAAAAAAAAATCAAAATTTATCCTAACTTTGATGTTTTTCCTCAGAATGCAAAGAAAAAGGCACAATTCTGAGAAAAAAACAACAGACTTCTCAGTTTATGTTCACACTGCAGGTCAATTCCGATTTTTTTTAACCATATGTGACACATATCTGATTTTTTGAACGACTGCACAAAAAGATCGGATTTAACAAAAAATCGGAATAGTGCATCATAACCTGCAGTGTGAATGTAGCCTCAGATAAGAGTTAGAATTCTGAGATCAATACAACGGAATTCTGACCTTGATCTCAGAGTTCTAGAATGAAAGTCAGAGTTTTAGAATTCTGACTTCAAAGTAAAAAAAAAAAAAAAAAAAGTATTTGATTTAAAGTCAGAATCCTCAGATGAGAATCAGGACACCCACTCTTTCCTGGGAAAAAAAAAAAACGTCTCTAGAACTCTGACTGAACTGTCTTGTTTTTGAACGGCCTTAAATCTTATTTTGGAAAATGTCAAAAAAGAAACAGGACTGGTTTAATTGTTAAAGCTTCTGCCCTACAAGCTCAGAGTTACAAAGACAGCTCAGGTTTTCCTGTTTGACGACACTCACACCCTAAATACAGAGTACAATCTGGTTGCAGGTGTGCACCACCCCGGGGTAAAACCAACAGATTGAAGAAGTCATTTGTTCTCTGTGCCACTAACCTCCTAAAGAGCGTCGTGTCACTCTCTGTGCTTTAGTGATGTTTGCACTTCTCTGCTCACTTATGGTTTGTTTTATTTGTTATTCAGGGACCGTAAACTTTATTCTGAACCTTGAACCTAGTAAAACACTTCGGTTATCATTACATTCATTCAGACAAACACTCTTTTCTCTTACGGTTACTGTTTATTTTCTACTTCCTTCTACAGTAGTAGTTTTGTGACTGGGTCTCGGCTTCACTGTCGACATACGTTTGTTTTAGGTTACAAGAAAGTTTACCTTGAACCTTGCTAAACACATCTGATAGCAAAACTTCAGATCTATGCACTTTTCTACTTTAGTGTAGGACTGGGCGATAAAACGATAACAATATAGACAATAAATTTCCGCTGATATCAACATAAAACATGGTCAATACGCTTTTCGATAGTCGGCATTCTGCCATGTTTTGGTAGACCATACGAATAGTCAATGAAAAGGGGAGTTGCTCTGGGTCCGTTTCGGGTTGAACCAATCATGTGTTGAATTAGAACCAAGTGGCAAACAACTGTAGCAACATACAACCATAGTGTAGAATAGTGAGAATCTCTTCATACATTTAGGTTAAGAAATATAGAGTAATTATCTTTTAGTAAGAAGCTACAAATAATCTAGGTTGGCCTGCTCCTGCAGCCCCACGACCCTGAGATTGTAAGCAAGGCTGTCTTGCAGGAGCCCGAACTATCTGTCTTTTGGAACATTTAATCTCTGCAAGGGTAAAGATGAGCCTAAACAAAGTGTCGTGGGGCAGACATTTCATCATGAGCGCCCTTCTGGAGAATTCACACAAGGGAGTAGAAGAAAAGCTAGGGAGGCTTCCTTTGGTCTTGCTCAAGACTCAGTTTGTCATCTGTACTGATTTCTACATCTGTACGATAAAAGACGCCCAGGCTGTTCTAAAGATCTCATCCTGTCTCCTGTGCATTGTTTATGCTGGATTTTCCACAACAATAGCACTTTAACACGTGAAGCCGACAGCACAGAAAATGAGTGCTACCCAGGCGACGACATCGTCGACAACATTGGTGCAAAAACGTCATTGGTGTGGAGGTATTTTGGTTTTTTGAGGTCGGACATGAAGCAGAGTAATGTGAATTATGTCGAGTACATGTTCCCGCAAAGTCCGGGACTACCTCAAATCTTTTTCACCACCTGAAGCAGCACCACGTGGCAGAGCACGCGCAATGCAAAAGGTTACAAACCTCGAGCGGAAACGCTGGTGACTCAGGTGTGACGTCATTTTCAGCTCCGACATCTGGTTTCCGAGGTAACTCGAATGCACCACTATTGTATTGCCAAAGACATGCTACCAATAAGCACGGTTGAATTTCATTTAACAAGTGATTTTTTTTACCGTGATATATATCGATATAGACTGACATTGAAAAAATATATCGTGATTAACTTTTTCCCATATCACCCAGCCCTACTTTAGTGTTATTAATATTTGCTTCATATTACAGCTACAGCTATTTTTGTGAATGGGTCTCAGCTTCACTGTTAACACAAGTTCTGTTTGGTCGTCAAACTCACTTTACACCTTGAATTTTTACACATTATGTACGATATATTTGCACATTTCTAGCTTATACAGTGATTTTGTAGTAAGATCTCAGCTTCACTGTTAACACAAGTTCTGTTTTGTCTAAAACTTGCTTTAGACATTTAACTCAAACACATATCAGATGGTATATTCGCACATTTCTAACTAAGACCCATTCCTTTACACAGTGATTTTATGGTGAGGTCTCAGCTTCACTGTAAACACAAGTTCTGTTTTGTCTAAAACTTGCTTTACACCTTGAATTTTAAAACACTACGTACGATATATTTGCACATTTCTAGCTTACAGAGTTCTGTTTGGTCATAAAACTCACTTTACACCTTGTATTTTAACATATGTATGATATATTTACACATTTCAAGCTACAGAAATTTTGTGGTTAAGTCTCAGCTTCACTGTAAACACAAGTTCCGTTTGGTTGTAAAACTCACTTCACACCTTGTATGTTAACATATGTATGATATATTTACACATTTCTAGCTAAGACTTGTTCCCTTATACAGTGATTTGTGGTTGGGTCTCAGCTTCACTGTTAACACAATTTATGAGTCTGTTATTTTTGGTCGTAAAACTTGCCTTACACCTTCAACTTAAACACATTATGCATGATATATTTGCACATTTCTAGCTTATACAGTGGTTTTGTAGTTAGGTCTCAGCTTCACTGTTAACAAGTTTTGTTTGGTCATAAAACTGGCTTTACAACTTCAACTTAAACACATTAGGTTTGATATATTTGCACATATCTAGGTTATACGGTGATTTTATGACTAGGTCTGAGCTTCACTGTTAACACAAGTTTTGTTTGGTCGTTAAACTCGCTTTACACCTTGTATTTAAACAAATTATGTACGATTTATTTGCACATTTTGGCACAAACAAGCGTCTGGTTTGCTAGTCTCTTTATTTCAATGTTAGGTGTCTATTTTGGTCCTACCTCTGCATTTTTGTGTCTGTAGTTTTTACTAAATATTTTTTTAATAATAATATTTCATGTTTGTTGTACCTGTCGAACAGCTCGGAGTCCACAGCCGCCCTCAGCACCCATCCTATCAGCGGAACTCCCGCTAACATTTTGATGTTTTTCAGAGGAATCCCTTTACTCCCTCCTCTCGCCAGGATCAGCGCGCTTATGTGCTTCTTCTTCCCCCCGCTCCATGACTGCTTGGCGGTCGGCACCAGTCCGTCCTCCGCTCCGTTATCACCGGGGAGGTTTCTCTTCCGCGCCGACATGGTGATTTAATGCTATATTCGTAGATTTAAGCACCAAGAAGTAAAAATCGGAGTAAAACAGAGCGAGTTAGAGAGAGTAAATCTTGCAGCGGTTATAGTAAAGGAGTAAAAAGAGGCGGTCGTGTCGGTACACCCACTTTTATAGAACAATTCCGGCTTCTTCTTCCGCTTCTTCTTCGTGTGTTTTAATGCGGCTGCAGCACGAGTGAAGGAGCTCGATACAACCCCCTCCGGACGAAAGGTGAACTGCAGCGTGTCAAAGTGACAAATTTAATGATAAAAGAGTAATTTTATTAAGGATAACGAAAGGATAAGTTTTTTTTAAAAAAAAGGATAGAAGATTAAAAAAAATACACATTATTTTGTGGGGGCAGTTAATTATCAAAAGGAGCCTCTACAGAGTCCTGAGAGCATAAATAACAATAATAATATTAATAATAACAACAAAAACAACAACAACAACAATAATAATGATAATAATAATAATAATAATAATAATAATAATAATAATAATTATTATTATTATTATTATTATTATTATTATTATTATTATTATTATTATTATTATTATTATAAAAAGACAGCCCAAATAAGATAGAAGTAAAAGAGATAAAAGATGACAGATTAAAGATTAAAGACAGCATCACATAAAAGCAAGTCTGTAAAAATGAGTAAAAAATGAAGATCATTGTCCTGAAGGTCGGCATTTCTGGGATATAGATCTTTTCAGGACTTTCTAAGTTTTGCGCTGCACTTTTAATTATCTTATAATTTGTGTACACGTTATAATGATGCCAATCCTCACAATTAAACTCATGGTGTGCAAAAGTGTAGGAGATAATTATAATCTGCAACAAGATGAATTAACCATGCTTACAAATTCTCATCTTGTAGAGATAAGTGAATTATCTTGTGTGCACAATAGTTTGCAGAAAACAGTTAACACCTAAATCAAAACAACTTGAAATCATTTGGGATGATAATCTGGGCGTTGAATGTTGCAAGGTCTTTATTTTTAGTACCTCAGATACCAGATTAGTCTCTGTGGAGCTTCTTAAAAACCACAAACAGAAGAAAAGATCCGACTTAATGATCAAAAATGCGGCTCTTAATGAACGGTGTTTGTGTCTCATAATTACTGGGTGTGTAAACAGGCTTCTGTGTGGAAATACGACGTCATAAAAACTGGTTTCTGTCACTAAAATATGACCGCGACTTATGTTTATTTTATTTAAAGGGCGCACCTGTAGAAAAAATGTCACCTGATTGCTGCTTTAATAGAAACTTAATTTGACAGTTAAGTCTTTGCAGTACCTGACTGACCGGCTCGGCCCGGTGGTTTAAAGGTCAGATGAAACTTTTAATACCTTGACTCTCTTTTCTTAGTTTTACTCTTGTAGTTTAAATCAAATTTATAGATTTTTCACTTTTACTTCACTGCTCTCCCAACTTGCAAACACACATCAGCTCAAATCTACTGAACTGACAGACACATGCTGTCATTTTACATAAGTGTTTTTTTTTCTTTTGTACAGTAACATACGCTGACAGGTATGCTACCCGACCAGTGCTCCCACCCACTGCCGAGAAAACAAAGCCTGTAAAAATTAACTTGATAACATGATGTTGGCAGCGAGCGGGCGAGAGAGAGAGAGAGAAATTAGGCAGCATCGAGAGTCGAGAACCTGAAATACAGGTAAGTAGGTCAGGGGGAAATCAGCTGTGAACAGTTAGGACAAAAATAAAACAATTTCAAAGATCTCTAAATGATTTTATGTGTTTATTTCAAAGTAGAAGCACATCATGGAGCAATAAGCAGTTAAAGGGATATTCCGGTGTGAAATTACTTTAGGGTCAAACACACCGTAACCCCGAGTTAGACACTCCACTTTGAAGTCAGAATTCCAGCATTCTAGAACTCTGACTTTCATTCTAGAATTCTGAGATCAAGGTCAGAATTGATCTCAGAATTGATAAAGTAATTATCATAAATGTTCCTCCTTGAGCTGCGACACCCCGCTGTAGTCTGTAGTGGACTGGCCTGAGGTCTCGCTACAAACAAGCTGCTTCTTCTTTCGTGTAGCGTCAGAGGTCCAACTCGGTGTCGTGTAGCCATGCCAACATCTCTGGTCCTAGGTCAAAGAGGCTGGTTTCTGAAGGTGGTCTGTATAAGGGGCAGGTGGTGATGATATGGTCAGCAGTCTGCTTAGGGTCACCGCACTCACAAGCTGCACTGTCCACCAGGCCCCACTTCCTCGTTGATCTTTTGAAGCGACCAACCCCAGTTCTTAGGCGGTTAGTGTTGTCCATTGCCGGTGTGGTAGGTCGTCTCCTCCTGAGTCTTGAATGTAACGATGGATGCGAGAAGGCCCAGCTGACTGCCACTCCTGCTTCCAAGCTGCTGCCAGACAAGCATCTCTGGAGATGTCCTCAGAGGTGGAATTGAGCATCTCTTGCGCTGCCTTGTTGTAGGGTTGTGCAGGATATGCCAATCATGCCTTTGTGCCTTCCTGGCCAGCGCAAGGGTGGCGGCCTCCTGTTGGAGGCCAGCTGGGGCTATTCCCGCGAGGACTGGCAAAAAGGACACTGGTTGAGGCTTCAGGCATCCAGTTGACAGCCACTTCAACCTTGCAATGGCCTTCCCTGTGAGTAACAAGAGACGGAACAAGACCAAACCAAACGGCGAGCTGGCAGACCTAGAAACGGCAGATGAGCAACCATCCCTACAGTCGAAAACCAAGGCCTGTGAGTGCGTCAACTCGACCCTAACTTAATTTACGCCGGAATATCCCTTTAAGAAGTGGAGGTTATGTTCAGCAATGTGCAGTTTTCATGCAGCCGTGCAGCTCATTCTTGTCCATAAAGGCGGCTGTAGCTGCCTCTAATGTAAACAAAGCTCTGGGAATTAATGTTCTTGATTAAAAAGAAACTTTAAATATGACAGATGTTGTTGAATAAGGCGGTAAACTCTTAACAGAGGGGTGCAGCCGAGTCAAAGCAGCTGATTGGCCGACTTCGACGCTGTAGCTCCATCGTTGAGCCTACTTGTTCAAATTAAAGTTTACATCTGGACTGTTGAAGTCAGAAAAAAAGACACTAATCTGACAAACTTCCAAGAGTTCAGACTTAAGTAGATGAGCTCAGCCTGTTTTCGAATTTTAAGGGGCCTTTAAGTAAAAAACTTCAACACGACTTTGAGTTTTAAGGATGATTCTGCACTCCCAGGTGTCTCATAATCAAAATAACGTTCCTGCAGAGATTAAATGAGGACATCAATCAGGTTCAACAAGTGCGGTTTATATTTGAATGATGTTATTGTCCCAGGTGTCGCTCTTGAGCTTAAAAGAGCTTAAGCGTAAACCTCCAGGCTGGTTATGAGTCAGAGTGGGAACGATGGTGAAATGTTGACAGTCTGTCTGTTCCCTGCAGATATCTGAGGTTCAAACATGTTTCAGAAGACGTGCGAGGGTCAAAGGGGAAGATGAAGAAGGTTAAAAGTGTCACTGACAGTTAGAAACAAAAAAAAGACGAGGAAAAAAAAAAGGAGGGGGCTGGCTCGTCTGCTCAAACTCCTCCGACAGCTCGGACGGCATACCGTTCATTCATTCATTCATTCATCCTGCGCCACTCCTCTCATCACACACCTCTGCTTCATCCTCCTCAGCTGCTTCACACTCTCATTGTGTCTTCAAATACAGACACTGACAAATGCTTTGTTTTCTGATTTAGACACTAGAGTTTGTTTATCTTCACATGCAAAACAGGAAAAAACAAAAACGCAGGTGAAGAACTCGCTCCAGCCTCATGAGGGCGGAGGCTGACGGGATCTTTACAGAGAAAGTGATTCATGCAGGAAACCAAACAATGAGGAAAAGAGAATATCAACTTTGTTTGTTTGTTAGTTTGTTTGTCTGTCTGTTAGCAATTTTACGGAGAAAGTAACAGACGGATTGACCTGAAATTTCCACCAGAGGTGCGTCTCAGCCCCAGGAGGATCCCATTATATTTTGGTGGTGATCCGGATCACCTTCTGGATCCAGGAATTTTTTGAAGGATTCTTTATCATTGTGAGACAGGGCAAATTTTGGAATTTTTGCATTTAACTCTATAAAAATGTCCAGAGTCTTTAGTAAAAAATGACACAAAAGGATCTCAATGAGTTTTATGAGGTGTCAAAGGTTGATCCTGATCCGGACAAAATTCTGGATACTGTGATCCAGAACACACAAAAATAATGTTGTCGTTGGAATTTTCAATGCTGAAAGATAACCAATGGGTGGCACAGTGGTGTAGTGGTTAGCACTGTCACCTCACAGCCAGAAGGTCCTGGGTTTGAATCCGGGTCAGGGCATTTCTTGTTTTAGGAACATTATGAACAGTGAACATACCAGTTTAAACACAAATAGAAGTTAATAAAAGACACGTAACAGTAAAAGTTTTGGTGTGAATCACAATATAAGGGGGACATGAGCTGCTTGGCGGAGGTCTGCGCTCTCCAAGTGCTTTTCTAGTATGTTCTGAAACTGGGTAAAACATAATCATTAAATCTTATATCATATTTTATCATATTAAATCATTTTGTATCATATAGTATTACGTTGTATTGTATTGTAATTTATCCTATCATATGATATTGTTTTATACTATATTGTATCTTATCATGTCATGTTGTATCATTTGGCATTGTACTATATCTTACCTGATTGTATCATACTGTATTGTATCTTACAGTGTCATTTTTATTGTAACATAATGTATCATATTATATCTAACTGTTTTGTATCATATCATGTTGCATCATATTGTATCATATCAATTCATATTGTATTGTTTGTATTGTATCTTACGTTTTGTATTGGATTGTAAATGTGTATGTAAACGGCGATTTTCTATTTATTTTATTTCTTTGCGAATAAATTAAAATAAATAAGTGTTGCGTTTTGTCATATTGTATCGTAATGTATCGTGACATAATGCATCTTATAATAATGTATACTATAGGATTGTATTATACTGTATCACGGTATCATCTTGTCTTTTCTTGTCCTTTATTTTATCGCATTTTTACTCCTACTCTGTCGCTGAAAAATATCAGACCTCTTAAATCATACATTATAATTCTTTATCATACTATGTACATTTCTACTCTTTTTTTATCATATTGCACTGTGATAAATTGTTTTTTTCCCACTTTATCCTCATTATATTCTCTTTATTGTTTACAGTATTTGGTTTGAATGTTTGTTTACATCTTGAATCATATATGTTTTTGTATCATATTTAGTCTCAATGCAGTATTTTCTCATTTTTCTCATTATCCTCATAGAAACCTGGTATGAATAAAGAGGGTCGTTAATGTGTGTGTGTGTGTGTGTGTGTGTGTGTGTGTGTGTGTGTGTGTGTGTGTGTGTGTGTGTGTGTGTGTCAGGTTAATTACAAAGACCAGAGCCCTGTGGAGAAGCAGGAGGGGGTTGTAAACACACAGCAGGGAGCTAAAGGAGGGGCTGACGGACTCATTCACACATGAACAGACTGATATTTGTCTTTTTATCTCTGATGATAATCGGCTTTAATTAGTGTGAAACTGTCATTAACTACAGTATCATTGAGATTAACACTCAGACTCATCATCTGGATTGTCTGTCGTTCTCAGTTTTAATAAGACGTCTCTTTAAGTCTAATGAAGTTAATGGCAGCTTTGTTAAATGACTTGTTTTGGCTGTCAATCATCTGGTGTAGCTCCGCCCCCTTTAAAAATCATAACAATGACATGATCAGACTTGTTTCTGATGGTTCAGTTTGCTTTTTAAAAAGGAATTAGTGTCAAAAAACTACTAACTGCACCTTTAAGAGGGACTCGCAACTTTTTGAGAAACATCAAATTTTGTAGATCATTTTAAAAAAGTTACAAAAGAGGCGAATGGAAAAACATTGGTACCGGCTGATCATTGGTTAACTAGTTCCAAATATCGGGACTAGTGTCGGCTCTAATTTTCACAATTGGTGCATTTTAAGTTTAGAGTTTAGTGAAACTGTTTTCCTTTAAAATTCAGGGATTTGACTGCTTCATATATATCAAGACCAGGTTTGATCAGGTCCAAATCCAGAACCACAGTGTGAAACCTCTCAGATCTGGTCTAAATTATTCTGGAGATGCTACAGTATCTATAAAATAATCTGTAACCTGGGCTGAATTGGTATAAAAATGTGGGTAAAGTAGTAAATCTGTTTTATTTGTAGTTTTCCTGAACTGAAGTTTGTCTAGAAGTGATTCAAACCCGGTCTAAGAACCCCAGGTGTTGGGGTCTTGGTTCAAGAGCTGGTTTCATGTGGTCAAGACAAGACTTAATTGCATTTTCAGAACTCCAACAAAGGTTATACAAATTGGAAATGTGATATTTAGGAAATTTGTAGACTCCCTTTTGGCGATTAAATCCAGATTTGTTGGACGAGTTAGACACCCCCTCGAGAGATGAATGTTGCCGACCGCTTGCTTCTCTAGTTTTACCAACTTTAGACCACAGATAGCAATACAGAGAGCCATGCACTCGACCAAAACACCACTCTATAACCACAAATAATGTTCAGAACAGCACCTAACTTCATCAACAGGACATATAGGGTCACAGCCATAGTACTAGACACCAAACATCTTTTTAACTTTGACTCATTTCTTTGGCAAACCCACTGCGCGATGCAACGTCGAAATGACATTTATTTAACTTATTTTTTGGACATTGAGGTACAAATGTGGACATCCAAAAGAGGTCCAATAATGACGTCTAAATCTTGGATCCATTTGTTGTATGTTGTACCGACGTCTGGATTTGGTCTTCAGATGATGTCCAAATTCTAAACGTCAGAGCCACGTCTAAAAGAAGGTCCAATTTGGATGTTGAAATTTTTAATCTATTTTGTCGCACTGACGTCGAGATGTGGCCTTTGACAGACCGACCCAATACTGACTCTATCTGCACGATGTTTGGTGGAAAGAGACTGAACACAACTCACCTACTCTCTTCCAGCAGCCGTTTGTTTGTAGCGAAATCTCAGGCCGGTCCATTACGGACTACAGCGGGGTTTCGCAGCTCAAGGAAGAACATTTACGATAATTTCTTCATGGAAATACAATCAGACCAAGACGCTAAGGCAGAAGAACTACAAATGTTATATAAATGTTCTTCCTTGAGCTGCGTCACCCCCTGTACTCCGTAATGGACTGGCCTGAGGTCTCGCTACAAACAAGCGGCTGCTGGAAGAGAGTAGGTGAGTTGTGTTAAGTCTCTTTGCTAAAGAAATGAGTCAAAGTTAAAAAGATGTTTGGTAGCAGACGCGGTAGTTCCTCCGCCGTAGCGTCTCGGTCTGATTATCCCTGACGTTAAACTCTCCCTGAATGAATCAAGATTGGTTTATTTCACCCTCATTAATAAGACGTCCAGATTATGATCATGTCGGCCATGTTACACCTGGTAAAGTCAGGGCAGAGTGAATCTCTATAAATAGATTCTGACAAACTTCCAGATCAAACTTATTGAATCCTGTTCTGGAGGTTTTCACACGCTGGGTGGAGTAAAGCGCAGTAATGACAATCACTCTCACACACCCTGTTGACTGTTATGTTCAGACAGTTTCAGGGCAAATGTGTGTGTTTGTGTGTGTTTGTTGTGTGTGTGTTTGTGTACCTGCCCTCACACACGCTTTATTCCCCTAAAAGTCTCCTTGCCATTGGTCCACACCTTAAAGCGGAATGGAGAGGAGGTGGAGGCAGAGATCGAGGAAGGAGGGGTAAACCGGTTCAGCAGGTATACTGAGGCCTAACCCGGGCTGCCTCCAGCTTGTTGTCACCGTTATTTCTCACGCGCATGCGCGGTGGCGCTTGTTTCCTGCTTTTTCAAATGAGTACCTGTGCTGCCTTTCCTGACCCACCTCTGTCGACTCTGCGTGTGTGTGCGTGTGTGTGATATCTGTGTGTGTTTTCCTCCCTTCCCACCCACTCACACACTCTCCCGTTATTTCAGAGCGGCTGTGGCTGATACTCGACTTTACCTGTCCGGGTTGCACACCTGAGCGGACTCACCTGTCCGGGCGAGGACGGACTTTTCCACACCTTCTGGATCCGGAGCTGCAAAGAAAACCAGATTGAGAGGAAAGAAGGAAGGAAGGAGCGCGAGGAGAAACAGAGAGATAAAGCGGCTCGAGACTTACGAAACGAGGAAAAAAAGGTGTCAGGAGGAAGGAGAGGGACCGACACTCACCTTCCATTTTTCGGCTTCCATATTTGGAGTTTCCTGCTTTTCAGAACCGAGAAGACGCTTTCCCTCCCGCGGGAGAAGTCTCGGTTTTTACCGGAACATGCCGAGGGCCTTTCTGGTGAAAAAGGCGAACGTTTCGCCGGGAAAGCGGAACTGGAGCGAGCTGCCCGATCATGAACGAGGCGACGTCTACATCCCAGGTGAGTCCACGCTGCAAGAAGTGAGACACAATCGTGGTCAAAATGGGAGAAAAGACGGTTTAGATGTCGGGTTTGGCGCGTGTTTTGGCGCTTTTTACGCACGGATCTGAGGGTTTGAGGGACTTTTTGGACGAAGGAGGAGTGTTGAGAGAGTGGCTGGTGGGGAGGGGGTCGGGTTGGGATTGTAACGGGGCAGCTGCGAGTCCGGGGAAACCGAATAACGGGAAACACAGCGGGCCGTGGAGAGCCTGATGGAGCGGCGTAATTCCGCATTTTGGCGAATTTTACTACAAATTTAAGACGATTTACCTTAAAAATAATTAAAAAACATTACAAACTAAATATAAAGTATGCTATTTCAGAGTAAAAATAGTCATATTTTAATTCTGGTTTCATATATTTATATTTTTTTGACATTTCAGTGGGTGTTACGGCCTTTAAGTTATCAGAAGGCCCGTTGCTTTTCTCAGGTCGACCTTCAACCCCAGATTGCAGCTTTCCTCCTTCTACAGCTCGACTCTCATACAGACATAATCCAAACTTTTAATGTCCACAATCAGGAATGTTTGAGGATTAAATCTCTGAATATAAATGTTTGATTTTGGCAGAATAAAAAGGGGAAATATTTTATGTGCAAAACAAGAAGATTTGGAGTTTCTGTTTTTATGATGGTGCAGAAACGATTGATACAAAAGAAAGATATTGATTTAAAAATTAAACTTGAATAATTTAAGATTATGAGAACAAAAACTGGACAAATTAAGTATAAAATCTGTTCAGGAAACTTCGCTAAAGTGTGCAGAAGTTAAATCGAAAAAGAAATCCTGAGTCAGCCTGTCAAACCGACTCTCTGCATCTTTAGCATGTAAATGAGAAGTAAAGCGAGTCCACCTCTCCGAGAACAATCCTCTTTGTTGCCACCGGCGCAGGTTTTATTGTAAGACCACGTCCGTATCAGATAACAAGTAACGGACTACACCCTCTACCTCTCTAACCATCCCCCCTTCCTCTCTCCCTCTCTGTGTCCATCACCGTTAGCTTTTAATCATTGACTTGTACATCCTCTCCTCTGGACGAACCGAGTGAATTCTGGAAGAAGTGCTTGGAAACGAAAGAAGGAACCGTTTCATAATCTTTGCAGAGGCGTATCGTCAGTTTAAGAGAGTAAAAACAGGTTTTGTAGCGCCAAATTTAAGCCTCAAACTTCCTCAAAAACACTTAAATGAGAATTAGAAGGTCAAACTCATGAGAACACGTCCGTAAGTCTAAAAACGAATCTGTGCGTCTGTGCGTAATTACGCGGACTCAACACTCCCAGCAACGGTTTGAGCTCCAGTTTCAGGTATGTGCCGTTACTTGACGTACCTGCCTAACGTGTGTTTTTGTGTTGAAGGCGGACACACACTCTCACACACACACTCACATAAGCACAGTGACACACAGAGAGGTATGATAATTGGCCCCATGCAGAAACAGACCTGATGATGATGATGATGAGGAGGAGGAGGACTTTGGCGAGGCCTCAGATGCCTCCAGTTTGGACAGTGTTTTTGTGTTGAAGTTTATTTTTAAAGCCTGAACCACAAACATGCGCCAGAGCCGGTTTCTGTTGGGTCACAGGACCGAAATGAGCCGGGTTCAACCCTCCCAGACAACCAACAAGAGGATCAACAGCTTCTACCTGAACAGAGATGGTTTATTAGAAGTCAGTCCTTCATGAACAAAGAGGCACAAATGTAATTATGTTCAATTTTAATGTAAGAAATAAAAATGTTTCTATGTAAATATTTATCTTACAGAAAACTTTCAATATGAGTCATAAAAGTTTAATTTTCTGTTATAAAACTGGGCATTTAATTGGTGTTACAGCAGGTTATATAAGACACTTTTAGAAGCATCATAAAACTATTTAAGCAAACAGAAAAAAATATAATCTAATAATAAAGTTCCTGCAATAAAAGGGTCCAAAGGTTTGGTATAAGAACAACTGAGCATCATTCTTATGAGAATGAATTGTTACAGATTATTTTTACAAAAAGTTCTTAGTAAAAAGAGCTCAAAATTTGAATCAAAAAGTTTAAACTTTTTGATTTTGATTTTTTTTCATGACAGAAGATTAGAGTTATATTAAATAAGAAAAAAAAGATGTCAGAAATAAAATCGTAGAATGAAAAAATAGTTATATAAAATTTGGCAAAAAGTTTGAGTTTTCTTCAGACATAAAAAGTTATATTTTTCAGAAAATAAAGTAGAAATTAAAAAAGACAAAATTGGAAAAGTAACTAGAACAAAGTTGTAAGATTATAAAAACAAACTTGTATCTTTCTTTCCTTTTTTTTTTATTTATCTCAAACTTTAAAAACAAAAAAAAAAAAACACCTGGAAACAAAACCACCGAACAATATAGTGCATATGTACACCGAACAACTGTACATTTTAAAAAATAAACAGTTTTTAGAAGGAACAGAATGAAGCAAAGAGCTTGTATGAAATTAAAATTTTAGTTATACAAGATTAAAGTCTTAATATATTTGGAAACAAGATGAAAGTTTTAGAATTCAGTGATTTTTTAAAAACGGCTAAAAAAAGAACTTAAGTAGCAAAATTTTTTATAATTTTTTAGCGGGTGAATGGCTGTTATGAGTTTTAGGATGAAATAAAATATCAGTATTTATAACCATCTATATTTTATACATAATGTGTCTATGGCCTTAAAGTCTGATGTTTCAAAGTGTTTTCAAAAAACATCCAAAATTTTTCAAGTCATTTCAACAAAAAGTCTTTAAATAATTTATGGAATAGATCCAACACTTTATTTTTTGTTAACTCAGTGGAACTAGATGAGCATAAGTGCTAAAAACTGCAGTTCCTCAACTGTCCACTTGGGGCTGGCTCCAGTAGTTGAGGGGTTCCCATTGACTCCCATGTTAAATCGTCCACTTTATCAGCAGCGTTTAACGGGTTTACAGACCAGTATGAAAACGGTTCTGGTTCGAGAAGCTCATTTATTTATTCACACACATGAAACATAAACTTATTAAATTAATATTTAATCAAAACTTTCATATTTGTTCGTATTCTCTGTTTGAAACTGAGCGTCTCTGTTCCTCGAGGTTAGTGTTTATTGGCTGGGTGGAAATGTAACGGACCCTATACTGACAACCTCCTGCTGGAGACAGTACGCCTTGAGCAAACACACTCTAACACACACACTGACACACACTAACACACACACACACCTAATGTTTGGTCAAGTTATCAGCCTGTTGTTGGCTTTTATTCCTCTCGGAGCTCGTCTAACGGATATGGGAAATATGAAAGAGGACTGTAAAGAGCTGAACCACCTCTCCCCTAAACCTCGGTCTGAAAACAGTCAGGGGTACTTTGAACCTCTTTCACACACACACACACACACACACACACACACACAATTACTCATGCACACACACACTCTTAATTTATCGTGGAGGGAAGAAGGCGGGGCGAACAAACAATCCAAGATGAGATTAAATGTCCGGCAGTCGTCACCACAGAGACTATCAGCACAGAGGAATAATTAAGAAAGATTTAAAGAGCCGTGAGGATTAAACTCTATCAGCTAATATCATATAATCACTGACAACTTATTGATTAAGCTCAAGAATAAGATTATTTTCCTTATTAATCTGCATTTGGAGGAAATTTGCAGCATTTACTGTTGTAGAAAAACTGCAGTGTCGCAAACTCACATGGAAATCTGAACTTTTGCAGTGTCAGCACAAAGTAAATTTTAAAAAATGTTAAAACGCACAAGTGTGGTACCTGTAGAAGCGATTTTCTTTCTTTTTTAGGTGCAAAAGTTGAATAAAAAAAAACAAATCTAAGTTAGAGTGAGTCGCAAACACAGTAAAAGTGCGAAACGTTGCAGTGATCTTACAAATTCTAGGTTTTTATTTCTTCTGATTGCTAATTTATTTAGAGAATCGATTCAAAAACACTCATGAGGCTCTACAGCAGGTGTCAAACAGACCGACAGAGCGGTCCCTGTGTCCTCAGCGTACCGTTACCTCTCCATGTCACCACGTCATCTCCTCCTCCTCCTCCTCCTTCTCTCTGCGGAGCTTTATTTGCATCTTCATTTGACTTTTATCTGATTGAGGCTCTCAAGTGTCAACTGATTCATTGTCTTCACTGTAACCTGACTGTAAGCTACCTGAACACACAGACACACACACACACACACACCTCGTGGACAGCTGATGAGGTAATGGCCTTTGGGCACAGACATGCAAAAGTCCTCCTGTGGTCCTAAAATAGACTCCAGGTTGAAATTGAAAGCTGATTGGTCCATTTTTGTTCTGTTATACATCATTTTTGCTCTGATAGAGTCTTATCCTTTCTTTTTTCATGTTATTTTTCTCCTTTTATGTTTTTCTACTTTGACTTTTTACTACTTTGAGCTTCAATCAGAAGAGCTCCTTCTGACTTCTTCAGAAATCCGTCTTTGGCCTTAAAATTTCTCTGACCTCGGTCTCTTCTGAGTGTTTTGACATAATTCGCTCATAAACACACACACACACACACACACACACACATAGACATAGACAGTCAGGCATCCACCCTGCGGAGGTGGATTGTTTGAGGAAGGTACAGATCTGGTGCCGCAAGACCGTCTGGTCCGACGAGTCTAACTGCAACTGCAATGCGCTCTGTGTGTGTGTGTGTGTGTGTGTGTGTTTGTTTGTGTGTGTGCGTGTGTATGTGGGGCATGTATGTGCGTGCAAAATAAGCTGCATTGAACAATAGAGATGTGCACACCCACACCCATGCACACACACACATACATGGACTTATTGAACTCGGCGTGTTTGCTAATTGAGAGATTGTGTAAATATGAAGCAGTGCAGAGGAGCGGAGTATTGTGAAAGTCTATTGTAGGAGAAATCTCATTTTCTGTCCCTCTGTTCTCTCTGTTTTCTCTTCTTTTGACTGACGCTCTTATTTACGGGCAGCTGGTGCAGGGCCAAGTCAAAGGACCCCGAGTATGAACCAATCAGAAGCTCAGTTGCTGATCAGTCCTCAAGTATCCTCGATAGATGGAGCGATCTGATTTGAGATTGTTGAAGTCTGAGGGCGCGTTCGCACCATCCTCGTTTAGTCCGGTTGAACCGAACCCTGGAGCGTTTACCCCCTTGGCGCGGTTCGTTTGGGTCGGTGTGAACGCTGACCTCAAACTCTGGTGCGGACCAAATAAACGAACTCTGGTGCCGCAGTTGGCGCTCACAGGCTAACGAGCCGTTCATACGCGCGATCGACTAGATGAGTAGCAAAAGCAAAATCAGCCTACGATGCTCCATGTCACGTGACTTCCGGTTGACTTCTGAACCCAAACCATGCCAGTTAACCAATCAAAACAAATGTATCATCTTGCCTTGGATTCGAATCAGGAAACTGACCTTTAGGTGTGAACACGACCTTAATCTCTTCCTCTGTCTCGTCTTGTCTTGTAGTCTCCATCTTCCCGCCGTCGTCTCTGGTGATGGAGGTCGAAGCCAGCCCCGCGGAGACGGCGCCGCTCTGCCTCACCAAGCAAACCCCAACCGATCAACACACGCGAGCCGAGCTGCCATCCAGCACCATGCTGGGCAGACCTCAGAGCGACGGGGTGCCGCCCGCGGAGAGGTCGGACGTCAGGAGGAGGGCGCAGAGCAGCTCCCCGTATATCCGCTCCAAAATCAAGGTAAGACGCGACCGGACCTTTACGGATCAGCTTTAATTTAATTTAATTTAAAGACCAAAGTCCAACAGTCGCTCTAATTTCTCCTCCGCAGGTCACGACAGGCGAGTTACCTCCTCTTCCTCCTCCTCATTCCCTCTCTCTTCCTCCCATCCCCACCTCACCGTCTGTAACCACGCACGCCACTGTGATACCGGTCGCCTCAACAACAACAACAACAACAACAACAACCACCCCTACCTCCCCGGAAGCCGTCTCTATGGTAACCAGATCAACAGGTCAAAGTCAGAGTCCGTCACCTGGGGCAAACGGGACGTTTGTGTGCCAGGTAGGTCACCCGACTGAAAAAGGCAGAATACACGAATTTACAGGTGACAACCCAGACTGAGCTGGAAGATTCATGTTTTAATCGCTTTTTAGTTTAGATTCTCGCTCAAATTTTTTTATTCACACCTGACAAAAAGTGTAGAAACTCAGAAAAAACTTAGAATTGGAGATTTTGGATCTAGAAAAAAATAGATGTCAGGATACACAAATTTCAGTGTGTGCTGCGTTCAAGTTATGTCAGAAGTCAGATGTCGGAGCTGAAAATGACGTCACGCCCAAGTTACCACTGTTTCAGTTAACAAGTCGGAAAATGGAGGCCTGAAACATGATGGCTACATCTTTGAAAGTTAGTTTAGCACTGGCCTTGTCCGGACATGTGGCAAGCACTAAAAAAACGTTGTAGATGTAGCCATCTTGTTTCCACCTCCGATTTTGCTTTTTCCGACTTGATAACTGAAACGCTGGGAACTTGGGTGTGAGGTCATTTTCGTCTTCTAAATCTGATTTCCGAGGTAACTTGAATGCGGCATTCGTCTTACTAGTGTTTGACAAAAAAAACCCAACCAGAATGCACCTTTTAATGTTCAAAAACTTGGAACTCAGAAGTCCGAGCTGAAAATGACGTCACACCCGAGTTACCACTTTGGAAAAAAGCAAAATCGGAGGCAGAAACAAGATGGCTACATCTACAAAAGTTATCTTAGCGCTTGCCTTGTCCGAATATTATGCAAGCGCATAATTTTGCCTGTTCTTGCTTTCCGATTTTGCTTTTTTCCGATTTGGTAACTCAAGTTTGACGTCATTTTCAGCTCCGACATCTGACTTCCGAGGTAACTCGAACGCAGCATTAATGTCAGTGTGTTAAGGTTAAGCGGAATGTCCTTGTGTTGTTGCCGTAGATCTGCCAGAAGGCCTTCCAGTACCAGCGGATGTTAAACCGACACATCAAGTGTCACAACGAGACCAAGAGGCACCTGTGCAGCTTCTGCGGAAAAGGGTTCAACGACACCTTTGACCTCAAGAGACACGTCCGCACGCACACAGGTGAGGACACACAAACACGCCGTCAGGTTAACTCGAAAACGCTCAAATATAAAAACAAGTATGTGACGATTAATTTTCATGTGTTCATCCAGGAGTCCGTCCGTACAAGTGCACCCTCTGCGACAAGGCGTTCACCCAGCGCTGCTCCCTGGAGTCCCACATGAAGAAGATCCACAGCGTCACCCTCAAGTACGCCTACAAGGAGCGCCGCAACAAGCTGTACGTGTGCGAGGAGTGCGGCCACACGGCGGCAACTCAGGACGAGCTGCTGATCCACCTGCACTCGCTTCATCCCGACAGCCACCTGCTCAAAGGAAAGGCCGCAAGGAAAAGTGGAGGGAGAGAGGGCGGATCGGTGGGAGGGTCCACGCCTTGCTCTCCTCAAGGCGCCGACAGCGATGATACCTCTGGATCAGGCGACCACTGAGAGGAAGATTAAGACGACAAACTCAGGGGGGGAAAGGATGAAGGATGTTTACTGACGGACAAAAAGAGGAAGTGATGCGAGAGAGAGGTGGAAGAAAAGAGCGGGAAAGTGTGTGAATAATATACGTGTGCGTGGATTTGGGTTTTTGTACATAATAATGAAATAATCCAAGTGTGACTCTGGCTAACATATGTATATTTACACGGGTTGTGATGATGTGAATGAGCGGGTAAACGTGTCTCTCCATTTGTGCTGCATGTAAAAATATCCTGTGGGCTTCGTTGTACAGTACTGACAGGTTTTATATGAAAATAAGTTCATTAAAGGGAGTAATATATTACAAAAACAGACTGTGTGTCATTGTTTACATCAAATAATGCCACAAATAATGCTCAGAACAGCACCTAACTTCATCAACAGGACATATAGGGTCCCAGCCATAGTACTAGACACCAAACATCTTGTTTACTTTGACTAATTTCTTTAGCAAACCCACTGCACGATGCGACGTTGAAATGACATCAAAACCCATTTTTTTCGACGATGAGGTACAAATGTGGACGTCATTTCAACATCTAAAAGAGGTCCAATAATCACATCTAAATCTTGGATCCATTTTGCACGTTGTGTCAACGTCTAGATTTGGTCTTCAGATGATCTCAAAATTCTAAACATCAGAAGGTTCAATTTGGATGTTGAAATTTCTAACCTATATTGCTTGTCGCACTGACGTCTAGATGTGGTCTTTGACGGACCGACCCAATACTGACTTGATCTGCACGTCTCTTCGACGTCCGATGTTTGGTGGGAAGAGACTAAACACAAATCACCATCTCTCTTCCAGCAGCCGCTTGTTTGTAGCGAGACTTTGGGCCAATCCATTACGGACTGCAGCGGAGTTTCACAGCTCAAGGAAGAACAATCATGATCATTTCTTCATGGAAATACAATGAGACTGAGACGCTAAGGCAGAAGAACTACCGCGTCTGCAGTTCAAAATGATTAATATGGTGATTATTACCTCAAGGAAATGATAAAGAAATGATCATAAATGGACTGATCTGAGGTCTCGCTACAAACAAGTGGCTGCTGGAAGAGAGTAAGTGAGTTGTGTTTAGTCTCTTTGCTAAAAAAATCGAAGTTAAAAAGATGTTTGGTGTCTAGTACTATGTCTGTGACCCTATATGTCCTGTTGATGAAGTTAGGTGCTGTTCTGAGCATTATTTGTGGCTATAGAGTGGCGCTTTGGTTGAGGTTTGTTTATGGCTCCTCAGATCACTGTGTATTGCTATCCTGCGGTTGTTGTTCAAGTTGGTATATTTAGAGAAGCAAGCAGTCTGCAACATTCATCTCTGGAGGGGGTGTCTAACTCGGTGTTAAGGTGTGTTTGACCCTAAAGTGGGTGTGTTTGAAAAACAATTGTCTTAAAAGGAGAGACAAATGACGGTTTAATCCTCAACATTTCAGAGGAGAGAGAATCTCGGTTCTAGACATGTTAATGCAAATCCATGTGGACACATACTTGTCATTTCACTTCAATGAGTCATATCTGCCACATCAATGTGTCCTCACTACCTCAGAAGCTAGGTTTCATTTCATTACAAACGAGTGACAGTTTCTCTTCAAACTTCATGTCTCGGCACTCTTGAGGAGGATCTTTAGCTCCTATTATGCAACATTTACTCCTCAAGCTTCTGGCTGTGTGTTTTTAAGACAGAGGGGTTGTGGTTTGGAGGGAGAGGTTGGATTCTTGTCTCTGTCGGGTCTTGTTGGAGGATTCCTGCAGACTCTCTTCAGCCTGAGGACACATGGCGGCGGACTGAGGGAACAAACACATAACGGTCTGGGAAGATAACCTACGTTTTGTGGCTCATACGCGATTTGGATCAAAAGTGGGTCTTTTTTGATGTTGAAATCTTGGAGACAACATCTAGGATACTAGCGCCAATTTTTTTAATCAGTGTAATAATTCACTGAATTTGACAAGATACTTTAGGTAAGGCCATCTTGGTTTTGGGAGCTGGCACAATGAAAAGATTGGCGAGGTTAACTACAGTCAAGATTTCCTTCCCCAGTACAAACACACTAGATTGATTTTTCAAAAGGTATATTTGATTGATTAGAGCAAAATAAAGAAGATAAACCCATTTTGTACCCACTTTCAATAGGTGCTAAAAATTAATAATGATTAAGTCCAAAGTATTTACACATATGAACCAAAGTCTTGCATATATTAATAGCTATAAAATTATCATTCATCTTAATTTGTAACTTCCTTGAACATACAAAAGGAAGGTCTGATATTGACATATTTTCTAGACCAATCTCCGAATTGCACTTTGTATTAACTCTAAAAGCTTTGATGGAATAAAAGTAGGTAGCATCTGAATCGGATACATTAAGTGTGGCAAGACATTCACTTAAATAATTGCAATTCGGCCGAGTAAAGATGCCGGTAAATTCATCCATCTTTGAAGGTCTGATTTGATTCTAGTAATGAGGTACAAAATTCAGCTGAATTAAATCAGAAAGCTCAGGCGGAAAGAGGTATTTGGACCCACTGTAAGTCACCTTAACAGGTAGGTATTCTAAACCACTGCCAAGAGGTAATGCCAGGGACTTATCGTAATTTATTCTATATCCAGAAAAGATGTCAAATTTAGAATAAGAATAAGAAATAAGATTTAATATTTCGTTTTCGTTTCCATCTCTATTATATATTCTGTTTTGAGCTGAAAATACAAAAACAAACACTATTTTTTAATTTTTTGGTTATACAGGAAAACTGATGAACAAAATACTGACTCATTTATTTCAACTGGATGTTAAAGTGTTTAGAAAGAAAATCAAATCTTATGAGTTTAGTTTCATCAGTTTGGTGTCAAATTTGGGGCACTCTGGGCAAACTAGGTGTTAAAAAGTTACCAAAAAACATCCTAAATAGAAGACCTGACCCTTAAAGTTAGATAGTTATGCAAATTCTACTTAAATAATGTCAAAATTAGCTCCAAATTAACCTAAATGTGTGCCTAAATTGCTTTCACACAGCTCCGCCGGTAGATGTCGGTAGCCATTTTTAACCGTCGCCATCTTTGCCCCGCCTTGTCATGATCACGTGACTTCTGTAAACAAGGAAGTGCTCTGTATCTTTGAATATAGCGCGCCAGTAGCTGCTGTTGCTAACCCACAAGTTACAGGTGAGTGGTATTTTATACTTAATGTGTGATTTTATTCTCTGTTTCTGTGTCAAATCGCTCGATATTTACCCCTAACTGCTTAAACGTTAAAAAACTCGAATGTTTATTCTTTACAAATACTAGAAGAGGGTCTGCTAACGTTAGCTTTGTTAGCAGTAGTGCCTTTAATCCGGGTTTTTTTCGGTGTTGTTTCTATCCCTCTTGGTTCAGAGGGATGCCATCCTCGGAGCCGGTCCGGTTGGGTCGGAAACGCGCCCTGCCCGTCTGTCCGAACCCTCTGTTCCTGAAGTGGCTGACCGAGCTCCGGGACGAGGCTAAAGAGAAGGGACTGAAGATCCAACACACCTACCAGAAGGTAAAGAAGCCAGAAGAAGTGATTAAATAAAGATTTTTATTAGTGTCTAGTAGGTTAATAATCTTAGATATTTCTATACCTAGACATCCCTGAATAAATAAAAGTGATATTTTTAATCTGTTGTGTATGTTTCAGCATCATTTAGAGTCAAAGTGGAGCCAAAAATGAAATTAAATAGATGAGAATGTGGAGGAACAACCCTAAACCATTTTCATTTTTCCACTTTAAGTTTTATTTTTGTCTTTTTCAGGCCATCAGCTCTCTCAATAAATATCCACTACCTCTTCAAAACGCCAAAGAAGCGAAGATCCTCCAGAACTTTGGAGACGGCATCTGTAAGATCCTGGACGAGAAGCTGCAGAAACACTACAGAGAGAACGGTGAGGACGTTTAGACTCTAAACTCTTCATACTCAGAGCTTTATCCTCAGATCTAACATCTCTCTAACTCTCTCTCCAGGTCCAAACGCTCCTATCCACTCTCTCCCTGAAGGAGCGCCCCCTCCTGGCAGACTCGACAACAACAACCTGGCTCCTTCCAGAAAGGTAAACAGACTCTAGCCTCCCCTGGTGCTCCATCTAGGCATCATCTTAGAGGCTGTGCTCTCTAACTTGTTACGTTTTTTTTCTGTGTGTTTCATGTAGAAAAATGCAGCAGGAGATCAAGCCAAGGACAAAGGAGGGGGAGGAGGAGGAGGGAGGAAGAAGAAGAGGGAGTACGTCCCTCAGAAGAGGTCTGGAGGTTACGCTGTGCTGCTGACCCTCTACAGACAGTCTCAGGTTAGACTTTCTCCTTCATACTTGGTTAAAATTTCACATTATGGCCTCAGTGATCGACCGTGAACGTCCCCCTCTCTTCTCTCTTTAGATCCCGGGCAGTAAAGGTTTCATGTTCAAGATGGAGCTTCAAGCAGAAGCTCAACTCCTCTGTGATAAGTCCTTCACTGCTGTAAGTCCTTCTCTCGAGATCTCGCTCTTCTCCCTGTTTTATTCACGTCTTGAACTTTGTTTCTGTCTTTTCACAGCCTGATCTGGGCAGTAAGTACACCGCCTGGTCTTCAGTCACCACTCTGATCCAGAAGAACCTGCTGCTGAAGACCCACAACCCTGCGAGGTACAAGGAGCTCCAAACCCAAATCAAGTAGACTCTCAAAAGTTCGCTTCACTCTCCTCTTCCTCTTCTTCTTCCTCAGGTATTCTCTGACAGACGAGGGTCTGGCTTTAGCCGAGCGACTTGAATCAGCAGAGCTTGAGAATAAAGGAGACGAGGTCAGGAGTGAAGGAGCCAAGGAGGAAGAGAAGGAGGAGGAGGAGGAGGAGGAGGAGGAGAACGGTCCTGGAGTTGTGGATCTTACAGCCAGTGATGACGAGGAGGAAGAGGAGGAGAAGGAAGGAGAGAGAGCGAGGTGAGTGAACTCCAAACAGTAACTTTGTCTAATTTCTTTAGCAAAGAGACTAAACACAACTCACCTACTCTCTTCCAGCAGCCGCTTGTTTGTAGCGAGACCTCCAGCCAGTCCATTACGGACTACAGCGGGGTGTCGCAGCTCAAGGAAGAACATTTATGATCATTTCTTTATCATTTCCTTGAAGTAATAATCATCATATTTGTAGGAGCCATAACGTTGCTTTGCTTATCGGTTATCCTGTGTTCGGTTACTTTTGTCTGGTTTCGCTGGGTTTTGGTCACGTGGGCGCTGTGTTTGAAAGTCGTTAAGTTATATAAGGGGCGGTCTCACCTTCACTGGGGTGGAGAGGTGAGTTTAGGTAGCCGTAATTTTTGTTGACCGCGCTTTATGTTCTTTGTTTTGCAATGATACACGTCACAAAGTGTACACGTATTATATCGGATGTGCGCGTGTAAATTATTGGCGATTTTTCCTGATATTAAAGCTCCGAACACTTCAGTGAAATGTGGGCGCTTCTTTGGAATCATTTTGCACTGTTGACGCAGTAGTTCTTCTGTGTTAGCGTCTCGAGACCTTAGGCCAGTCTGTTTCGGACTGCAGCGGGGTGACGCAGCTCAAGGAAGAACATTTATGATCATTTCTTTATCATTTCCTTTAAGTAATATCACCATATTAATCATTTTGCTCTTCCGACGCTGTAGTTCTTCTGCCTTAGTGTCTCGGTCTGATTGTATTTCTATGAAGAAATAATCGTAAATGTTCTTCCTTGAGCTGCGAAATCCCGCTGCAGTCCGTAACGGACTTGCCTAAGGTCTCGCTACAAAATATGACCCTAAATTAATTTTACGCCGGAATATCCCTTTAATGATAATCTGGTTCTTCACAGTCCTGTAGAGAGTCCGCTGACTGAGACTGAAGGGACGAGTCTGTCTGGAAAACCTCAGAGTTCAGCGAGCGGAAGAACGCCGACTGGAGGAAGTCGTCTTCTTCCTGGAACATACGAGATAATCCTCTGCGTCGACTTCATCGAGACGACAGGGTAAAAAAAAAAACGAACATCCACACACTCGAGTTATCCAAATTTAAGATTGTTTATTTTTGTTGAGTTTAACGTCTGTTTTATTCACGCAGCGGCAGCCACCACAGGAAACAGGAGCTGGTCAAAGAGCTGCAGAGGAACGGCGTCAGCTTCGACGTGAGGAAGCTGAACGTCGGCGACTTCCTGTGGGTTGCTCGGGAAAAGGTCGCACCAGTTCCAGGTAACAAACATTAGATTATAGTTCAAACTCTTTTAACGTCTGAGTTTGGAGGCAGATAACCGAACATCTCCGAATAACTTCAACAATTTATCGTTCATTTTGAAAATCCGGTGACGTTTAAATGAAACACGGCGAGACAACGAAGAAGAGAGCGAACTCTCTTGGACCGACTTTTGATTAAAAAGGAGAGTTAAAGTTTGAGCAAACGAAGTCTCGCTCTCTGTTTCCAGGTCAGCTTCGAGCTCCTGCAGGTCGGGAACTGGTGCTCGATTACATCATCGAGAGGAAGAGGATGGACGACCTGTGCGGGAGCATCATCGACGGACGCTTCAGGGAGCAGAAGGTGAGAGCGAAAGGACGACTGTTTCTCTAAAACGTCATTATTGACAGTCGACTTAATCGAAGCCTCTTTTTTCTCAGTTTCGTCTGAAGAGGTGTGGTCTCCGGCGGCCCGTCTATCTGGTCGAGGAGTGCGGGAAGGCGGCGTCTCACCTGAGTCTACCTGAAGCGACACTGCAGCAGGCCATCGTCAACACACAGGTGGGCGACACGTGTCAGTCTGGTTCGGTCCAGATCAAGATTTAGATGAAGAAGTTATTTAAGGATCATGAATAAATTTTTGTGTTTAAATTTCGAGAGTTCGGAATTTTCCGATCTTAGTCGACTTTCATGTGTCTCAGGTGGTTGATGGCTTCTTCGTGAAGAGAGTTCAGGATGTGAGAGAGTCGGCCGCCTACCTCACCGTCATGACGCGATACCTGACCAAACTCTACCAGGTGAAAAAAAAAACTCGCTTCTTCACGAACTTTTAAAACTCTTTAACTTTTTTCCGATCAGCCGTGATCGTCTTCTGACTCTGTCGTTTCAGAACCGAACCCTGATCTGTCGCTCCAGAGAGCTGGAGGGCGATCGTGGGATTGAGGAGGAGGAGGGCGGAGGAAACCCGTCCTGCTCTTTGATTTCTTTCGCCGAGTTTAACCACGGCGCCGTCAAAAACAAGGTGAGTCCTCTTTGTTGATGATTTCATCAGTCTGTAAAAAAGAAAATTCGTAAAAAGGGTTCGAACCCTAACCGGAATACGTGGAAATACTCCCGATCACTTTTTTAAGGATCCGTAAAAATTCCAAAGTGTCGTGAAAACACGTTTAGAAACAAATCTGGTAAAGCTAGGGTGATATCGTTTTTGTTTTGTGGATTTGTTTGATCACTCTTCTGCGTTAAAGCGTGTTTTTAAAAACCAAAACTTTTTCAGAGAGATGTTAAAGAAGAGAAAATAAAAATTTGTTTCAAGATAAAAATACCGAGTCGTCGCGTATCGAGAGACCTACAAGAGAAGCTCACAAATTTAACTTTTTGAGGTCTTTAAAGGGTCTTCAAAAGTCCGAAGTGTCTCCGATAAAGAAGTTTAACACATGCTCATGAAAACGTGCGTAAATACAAATCTGGTCAAGTTAGAGTGACATCATTTTGGTTTTGTGGATTTGTTTGATCACGTTGCAACAGTAAAATGTGCTTTTAAAAAAAGTTTGAGAAGAGAAAAGAAATTCAGTTTCAAGATAAAAATACTGAGAATTGTCGCGACTTGTGAAACCTGCGAGAGAAGCTTCCGAATTTAACTTTTTGGGGTCTTAAAAAGTCTTGGATTTGGCTTTAAAAACTCTGTGTTTAAAGAAAATGTAAAGTTTTAACCGTTATCTAAAAAAATCAGTTTCTGCCGAGTTCACACTCCTCTGTTTCTCTCTCCAGTGTCAGACGGTGAAGGAGGTTTTCGCCCGTCAGCTGATGCAGATCAGCGGTTTGTCTGGAGACAAAGCCGCAGCGATCCTGGAGCACCACAGCACACCTCACAGGTGAATCCAACAACTGTTTCTGATTGTCTCATGTCGTTTGCTGCGACACAAACATTCCTCCTGGTACAAATAAAATTATAAATCTTTAAAAATAAACTCTTTTCTCTTCTTCTCTCATTTTCAGTCTCCTGGCAGCTTATGACCGATGTCGAAGTGAAGCAGAGAAGGAGAAACTCCTCTCCTCTATCAGATACGGGAAACTCAACAGGTTCGATCCACGAATTTGTACTTTTATTTATTTAATGTTTCACTTTTCTAACCTCTAAAATCTAAAAGTGGAGCTGAGAAAGCGTCCAGGTTTTTCCTGCAGGTGTTAACTCTTTCTTGTCGTGGTTTGTTGTGCAGGAATCTGGGTCCAGCTCTCAGCAGGACGGTCTATCAGCTCTACTGTACTGGAGGAGCGCTCTCCTGAACACTAACTACCTCCTCTCATGACGTTTCAACCTTCACAGTCATTAACTTTCACTTCCTGTTCCACTTGAATCCCCTTCTGGGTTGTTTAATTTCATGGTTTTGAAGACAAGAAGCTGCTGCTATATTTTGATCATGATGTAAATATTGATTCTCAATAAAGTGTTTTTTTTGTACAGGATGATTTCAGCCGCTCAGAGTCTCTTTTATCTGACACTGAACAAAAATATAAATGCAACACTTTTGTTTTTGAGAGAACGCCGTCAAATGTGAGCGTTTGGAGACGGTTTATGGAAGAGAAATGAACATTTAATTCACGGGAAACAGCTTTAAGCAAACTTGCGCCTTTTATAGTGTCCACAATAAGTCACACCTGTGCAGTCATCATGCCGTCTAATCAGCGTCTTGATTCGCCACACCTGTGAGGTGAAGCATTCTGAGATCTTTGAGTTCAGCTCAGGAGAAAAAGTGTTGGGTTTATATTTTTGTTCGGTGTTTTTGTGGTTTTTAAAAAAGGACGTGTTTCTAGAGAAGTGAAGCAGACTTGGGGCAATGTTGAATGATGGTGAATTCATGAAACGCTACAAACTTCAGGAATCATCATGTTTGTGGTCGAGCTCTTTTGAGACGCTCTTACTTCTCCAACCCAACCCAACCCCACAATGCAACACCACGCGAAAAGACAACCAGCCAACACGGCTTCTTATAGGCCGGTCAGCAATCAGAGACATTGATGACAGCTGAGCCGATTTACCCTCGTTAAGATCAAACGGAGTTCAGATGTTGAAAGTGCAAAAATGATTAAAATAAGCAAATAAATAAAACTATAACTATGTGACGACTGTTTTCACACTAGGTTTTCACTCATTTTAAAGGATAATTTTTAAGTACAATAAACCATGGAAATGTATTGTATTCACCAAAAAACAACAAAAAATAATCTGTTATTGGTGTGAAAAACAGCAAGGGGGGAAAAAATATTAGTACAAAAGAAAAACAGATAATAAAATAGAAAAACAAAAAACAGAATCAAAATTTGTCCAAAAATCAGAAAAAAGGGGAAAAAAAACAGAATAAAAAAAAATGTCTGAAAAACAGAAAGACAAAAAAAAAATTGTATGAAAAACTAAGAGATGAGGAAAAACAGAAAGACGAAAGAAAAATAGTATGAAAAACAACAAAAATTTGCCCGAAAAACAGAAAGAAGGGAAAAAATTAGTCAGAAAGGCAACAAAGAATAAACAATATTCAAAAAAACAGTTACCTTTTTTTTGTAAGTGAATGCAATACGCTTCCGTAGCTTTCTATTCATTCAAAAGATTTTTTCTTCTGTGTAAAATATTTTTTACAATGACTCAGTCTTCATTAGATCAGATTCTACGATTAAGTTTACCAATTTGAGGGTCCATCCTTTGCCCATTATCACTAAAAGTATATTTTTTTTATCGAGCTTTTAGCAACAACTTATCAAAAGCTAAGAGTCCTAGCTAAGAATTTTTAGGTTAATCAATTTTTCTGAACGTCCTAAAATCGCAGATTTGCTCTCGCAGTCTCTCACAGTGTTGAATTCTTTTATTTTCAGTTCTGACAGACTCGGCCTCTCTTGGTGCCGTTTTCATGCCCAGTCATGTTACTCACCTGATGCTAATTAACCTGATAATTAGCAGCAGGTGTTTCTTAAGGTGTTTTTGAAGCATTACATAACTCATTAAGTGTGTCATTGTCCCTGTTTTACCTTTTTTTGGAGCAAGACGCAATCGTAAATTTTTCAGTTTCAAACTATTCGCACTCAACCGACTCTAAGGACTGAAATCTACCTCAGAAAACAACCTTAGCTCTCTTTAAAACGGTTTAATATATAAACGACATCATGCAGTTTCAGGGTGAAATCTTGAGTTTAATGCTAAAAATAAATATATGAACACAACAGTGAGGATGTCTGTGTGGGCAGCTATCACCAGAAGAAAGTCGAGTTGTTCTGACTTGAATTGTGAATAAATCAGACAGCTTTAATGGAAAAAAACAGGGTGAAGAGGATATGTAGAAAAAAAAACGTACACAGCAAGCTGGACACTCCAGCGAATCAGAACGAAGGAAAAAAAGAGAGAAACGGGTGATTGTTCTGTTCTGAGTAAATCTGAAGACGGGGAATCAGGAGTAATACTCTCTATACGTCAGGAGTGGATTTTCATGACTATTAGAATCATTACAGCCGTAAATGTTCAGAGGAGAGCGGAGGAACATCCTGGGCTGTGATTCAAAGGTTGTCCGGCGTGATTTCAGACAAAGCGAGTGATTGTTTGCAGAAATTCAGCTTGTATCGTGGTTATTTTTCTTTCTGTTTCAGCCGTCTTTAACATCTGGTCCCTAATATTTTTTTTTGAAACATCTGATATTTACAAGGAAAATAAAAAGAAAAGAAACACAAAACTCAAAACTGACAGTTCAGACAGGAAGGACTGCTCCTGGAACAGGTTTGACAAAGTGCTGTTTCAGTTGTTCTCTTTTGTTTTGTTTTTTTTAAAGGAAAGGTTCAGAATTTTTCAGGTCTCGACTTTTTGTTTGTGGAGTGATGGAGTGATTTTATCGATATCTGGATCGGCAGATACGAACGTTTCTGCAGAAATACTCGATCAAGTCTGTGCACGTGATGTTCGGAGTGCTTAAAGTGTCGGAAACAGACGGCAGACGTGTTACTGGAAAAAACGAAAACGTGCATTTCTCATTTAGAGTTGGATCAAATGTCACGATCGGTAGAAAATCTGCTACAGGAGAAACTTTGGGATCTTCGCTTTAAAAAAGGAGTTTGTAAATATCGGAAAATATCGCATATTAGCAAATATCTGATATCGTCCATGCTTACTTTAGAGTCTAAAGAGGAAATTGAGACACTTTGATTGTTCTTTAAGGTCAAATTATTATCCAATCCGCTGGTCTGGACTCTTATCGGAGAACACCTCAGATATTAAAATCCTCACTTAAAGGGATATTTCAGCGTAAAATTAATTTAGGGTCAAACACACCGCAAGACTGAGTTAGACCCCCCATCGAGAGATGAATGTTGCCGACCGCTTGCTTCTCTAGTTATACCAACTTGAGTAACGCCACAGCACTGGCCACAAAACATCTTTATAACTTTGACTCATTTCTTTAACAAAGAGACTAAACACAACTCACCTACTCTCTTCCAGCAGCTGCTTGTTTGTAGCAAGACCTCAGATCAGTCCATTACAGACTACAGCGGGGTTTCGCAGCTCAAGGAAGAACATTTACGATCATTTCTTTATGGAAATGCAATCAGACCGAGACGCTAAGGAAGAAGAACTACCGCGTCTGCAGTGCAAATGGTGACTATAACTTCAAGGAAATGATGAAGAAATGATCAGAAATGTTCTTCCTTGAGCTGCGTCACCCCGCTGTAGTCCATAATGGACTGGCCGAGTCTATTATGTATTATATGTCCTGTTGATGAAGTTAGGTGCTGTTCTGAGCATTATTTGTGGCTATAGAGTGGCGTCTGGGTTGAGCGTGTGGCTCTCTGTATTGCTATTGTGCGGTCAATATCAAAGCAAGCGGTCGGCAACACTAATCTCTTGAGGGGGTTTCTAACTCTGCGTTATGGTGTGTTGACCCTAAATTAATTTCACGCCAGAATATTCCTTTAAAGATCCCGAGGTCATGTCCAGATATTTCTCTGCATGTTTACGAACATTTTCGATCTCACGTTCCTCACGACGCTCTTCTATATCAAACTGAAAGTGCATAAATAGTGCTACAACGGTCAGAGGTCGACTATTTCACATGGACAACTCCAACTTCTCAAGAACGAGGATTTCTTTTCGCTCATTTTGCAGTTTTTTAAAAAAATCCGAGGGACATTTTCAGCGAAACTACTACAGTATTTTTCGCACTATAAGGCGCACTTTAAATCCTTCGATTTTCTCAAAAATTCTCAGTGAGACTTATGTATGAATTCTGGTTGTGCTTACTGACCTCGAACTGATTTTATGAGGTACACAGCGCTCAAAAATCTGTCAAAATGTTTTTATTACGACTTCAGTACGCTACAAAGCCGCACAGCCTGATGGCTTGTCGGAGCACTTTGTTCGGCTTAATGCGCTTTATAATCCAGTGCGCTTTATGAACCAGTGCGCTTTATGTATGGAAATAGATGCGTTCATTGATGGTGCGCTTTATAATCTAATGCACTTTATGTATGAAAATAGTTGCGGAAAGATGCGTTCACTGATGTTGCGCCTTACACTCAGGTGCGCTTTATAATCCGGTGCACCTCATGCATCCAAATTGATGTGGAAAGATGCGTTCATTGATGGTGTGCTTTATAATCCGGTGCGCTTTATAATCTGGTCCGCTTTATGTATGAAAATAGATGCGGAAAGATGCGTTCATTGATGGTGCATGTTATAATAATTCGGTGCGCTTTATAATTTCATGCGCTTTATGTATGAAAATTGATGCGAATAGACGTGTTCATTGATGGTGCGCCTTATAATCCCGTATACTTTATTATCATGCGCCTTATGTATGAAAATAGATGCGGAAAGATGCGTTCATTGATGGTGCGTGTTATAATAATTTGGTGCGCTTTATAATCCGTGCGCGCTTTATGAATGAAAATTGATGCGAATAGACGCGTTCATTGATGGTGCGCTTTATAATCCGGTGCGCCTTATAGTGCGAAATATACAGTTATTTATCTCCAGCTGTAGACCGACACATTAGGAGATTATTACGATTATTATATCAACAACGCAGACCTGAAAAATCCAAACCTTTCCTTTAACCACACTTCCTCCTCCTTTTCTCCACCCTCGTGGTCCAAAGTCAGAACAAGCGTGAAGGTTTTTTTTTTCTGATCCCAAATTCAAGCGAAAAGTCTCTCCGATGGTCCCATCAAACGAGAAAGGCAAGAGTCATCTTTGATTCATACACACCTCAAAGATCTACGGTTACAGAGTCAGAGGTTTAGGTTGAAGTCCGGGCAGATCCAGGGTCTCCGGTTCCTGTCAGTGGGATCTGCTGTCAGTTTTCCTCTTCAGAGTGGATCAGAGTGGGAGGAAGGAACACAGTGAAACTTCAGGTGGGAAACAAAGCAGTCCTCTGTTTCTGATTCAGTTTTTTCATCCTCGACAGTTCGCCTTAAAAAAAAAAAACAGTAAGAGGATTTTGGATCCGATCAAATCCACCATCTTTTCGGTGTCACCCCAGGCAGCCACGTTGATGCAGAGTTTTTGGGTGAGCAGACAGCAGAGGAAACCGAACCCCCGTCCACTCTGCTGGTTGAGCTCCAGAGCCTGAACGCCTCAGTGCGGCAGTCCCGCCCCCGTCAGCAGGGAGCTTTAGTCCGGCATGTCGATGCAGAGTTTAGGGGGCGGGACAAAGTACTTCCCCGGACTCTGCGTGATCACCACGCCTGTTTTCTTGTGGAACATGGGGGCGATCTTTGGAGGAGGCTCCGGAACGGGGAGATCCTCGGCTGCCTCGGGGTCCTCGCTCCTCTGGAGGTCGTAGGAGACGTTGCCGTACTCTCGCAGGAAGGGGAGGAGCTCCAGGAGGAAGTGGCAGAAGTCCTTCCGGATTCCAAACCACCCTAAGTGAAACCCAAGGACAGAGGAGAGTGAATAACGACTACGATGTTTTGAAAACGCCGCAGGGCCAAGAATGGAGGCGGTTAATACTCACAGTGGTTCCCTCCTTTCTGACCAAACGTCGTGGCCATGAGGGTGAGCAGCGAGAGCCAGAGCGGGACGAACACACAGACGTAGCTCAGACTGTTGTGACCGTCCAGCTTGTGCACCAGAAGGATCTGAAGAGAGAGAAGAAATAACGAGTCTGAGGATGTTAGACGAGGCGAGGAAATATGGCGACACCTGATGATCCAAGACAGATTTAAATGAACGCTAAAAACACAACTGGACGTCAAGATCAGCAACAAGATAAAGGAATATAGCATGAGGGATTAATTGATCTTTTTTCGCCAATATCAGGTTTTAGACTAAGTCATCATTTCTGCAGCATGTAGTCGAATTAGATTTTTAACACAGTTGTTCACAATTCAGGCCACTAGAGGGCAGAGCAGGCATATTTTATTATCCCAGAGTTGAGCGTGAGTTTTCCCCTCACTTTAAGAAGTGGATAGTTTTAATGGGGGTTATTACTACTATTTCAGACAAGAAATCAGAAGTAAGTCTGATAAATGTTTAGACCTTAAAATGCTGGACCGAGGCTCAGATGCAAACCAGGAGCTGCTGGGATGCAAATTCAATGAAGTATCAGCAAATTTGCTTAAATATATTTAAGGGGTAAACCAGTCTGGGGCTGTCTTGATCTGAACCCACAGCACGTACATCACTCACAATGACATGTTTTCTATTTGCTAGCTCACTCAAGGAAGTAGTACGACGGAGTATTAGGTTTCTCAAACAAGAAGATACGTAATCTTTTGGCACATCAGCACCACATTATCAGAAGTATCATAATGACTCATGATAATGTGGTCACTAGGGGAAGACTGATTTGATTCTCGTAAGTGATAACTTCATTACGACTTTATTCTTGTTAGAATCTCGAAGTCCACATTTTTTTTCTTAATGTGGCTCCAATACTCCGTCGCAGAAGTAAACCATTTACAAACAGTGAAATTCGTGTCATGAATCCACTAAACAATAACATGTTAAAGCCTCCCCTCTCAATTCAGTTCAGTATATATGATTATAGACATTGAGATGTCAGGATTAGAGTGCACAGTGCAGCTCTGCTCAGTGGAGATGATGACAGAAAACTGTGCAGAGCTGTAGGACTCTGTGGGCATGTTGTTAGTGCAAACTACTTTGTAAATTAGACCCTTACCCCTAATTTCCACCGCATCCGGAACGGCTACGAAAAGGCCGTATCCGCCGATCGTAGCTGATCGGAACCATCCAAGTTAATGTGTCAATTTTCACCGTATTTATGTTTCAGCATCGTGGGTTTAATCCTGTCACATGGAGTACAGAGGAGTGACCAAATATCGGCGCTTTAAACTCACCTCAAAAGTGAGAAGAGGGACGACGATGGTCATCCAGCTGATTGCCATAGTGATGTGAGTCCGCCGTTGCTCGGCGATGATGTCGATGGAGCGCAGGAAAAGGACAGACCAGATGATGTAGTAAAGAACGACAAGGCACAGGAACGACATCAGGATCCAGAGCGGGACACACACCACCTGAGAATCACACAGAAACGTCACAGATTAAAGAATTAAACTTGAATGTTTGTGAAATATAAGCAGGAGCTAGTTTGAGGTCTGTCTCACCAGCCAAGGCCAGTTAATGATCCTATCCAGCCTCAGAGCGATGAAGATGAACTGAAGGATGTTTACTGAACACAACACCTCCAGCTAGGTAGAAAGGAAGAGGAAAGATGATCAGTAAATCTAACTTTTCAACTGCAACATTACAGATTTTAGTTTTACAGACTCCTCACCTCAAGGGAGCGGTCGTGTCTGAACCCCCACACACAGGCTGCTACAGAGACGGGTGACACGAAGAAGAGAGGCATGAAGACCAGGAGCCAGAAGTAGTTTCCTCTCGCCACGCGGTCGCACACAAGCACCTCGAACATCAGCAACAGGACGTGGAGCCCCACCGCGATTAGCATGGCTTTAAACTCCACGCACGTCTCCCCCTCAGCTCTATAGTGTCAGAAGAAAAGGACATGTATAAACTGTTGATTTCTCTGTAAACATTAAAGCTTTTGACAGTAGAGGTTTTTAAGAGAAAGGCAAAGTCTATCCACCTGTACTGAGGGTTGTGCGCCCACACTCCTGTGCCCACAGAGGCCCCGATGATGACCAGCAGCTTCCACAGCCATATGGGGGTGAACACCGCCCAGTAGCTCCACTGGATGACTCCATCAAGTCTCAGAGACAGCAACACGGAGAACAGCAGCAGACAGGAGTAGATGAGGAACTTACTGCAACAGGAGAAGACGAAAATAAAAGACGTTAAAGGGCGTTATTCCGGCGTGTTACCGATAGCCACAAATAATGCTCAGAACAGCACCTAACTTCATCAACAGGACATATAAGGTCCCAGTCATAGTACTAGACACCAAACATCTTTTTTTACTTTGCCTTATTTCTTTAGCAAAGAGACTAAACACAACTCACCTACTCTCTTCCAGCAGCCGCTTGTTTGTAGCGAGACCTCGGGCCTGGCAATTACAGACTACAGTGGAGTTTCGCAGCTCAAGGAAGAACATTTATGATCATTTGCAATCAGACCGAGACGCTAAGGCAGAAGAACTACCACATCTGCAGTGCAAAAAGATTAATATGATGATTATTACTTCAAGGAAATGATAAAGACATGATCAGAAATGATCTTCCTTGAGCTGCGAAACCCCGCTGTAGTCAGTAATGGACTCACCTGAGGTCTCCATACAAACAAGCGGCTGCTGAAAGAGAGATGGTGAGTTGTGCTAATATCAAGCCTGCTGCCTTCACTCACAGGGCAAGGTATGCAGTTCGTTCATTCAACAGTAGTATTGGATTGGAATCAGATATTGGTCGATACGCTCAGCCCACATATCGGTATCGGATTGGATTGGAAAAAATAGGATCAGTACATCTCTAGTTCTGGGCATTATTTGTGGCTGAAGAGTGGCGTTTTGATTGAGGTTTGTTTATGGCTCCTCAGACCACTCTGTATTGTTATCCTGCAGTCGTTACTAAAGTTAGTATAACCAGAGAAACAAACAGTTGGCAACATTCATCTCTTGAGGGGGTGTCTAACACGGTGTTAAGGTTTGTTTGACCCTAAATTAATTTTATGCCGGAATATCCCTTTACGTTCCAATTTTGTCAATTATTTCACAGTTGATATTGTTCTTCAAAAAGATTATTTATGGTAATATGGGTGATTGAGGGAGGGATGAAGATAGTATAAAGTCATTGTGGAAACACCCAGCACTCCTAACTTCTATTATTACTCCTACTATTTTAGGTTTGACCATATCTGTGTGCCATCTGCTTTCACACTGAGCTTTAGAGTGTTTTAGTCTATTAATTCACAGATTCAGCACTTTATCCTTTTTATTAAACTCACATTTCGTCTTGTTATTGTTTTAACTTGTGGTGAAAGACTAAAGTTAGCATTTAGACCAACATTGAAACCTTGATTCCCGTGATTGTCTCTCATGTGGGTGTTCAAACATATCTACTATAAACAAATGTGCTCGATAATAAACCTAACTTCGACTTTTTGAGTCTGAAATGTCAGTTGAACACTTTGTGAAGAAGACTGACAGCGTTAGCAATCTCAAACCTTCCCTCAGTTAGCATATTAGCCGGGCCGCAATATATGTTTTTTTCGGAGGATGGAAGGGAAGGGTCCCGCCTCCTTCGCCTCTGATTGGCTGTGAAATGTCATCGCACGCTCAAGCCGAGCGCGAGTTGTCGACTCTGTACATCGAACAGAACATTCCAGAACATGATCACAATTCTGAATCTCATAAAACTAACTTTATTTTCTAGATTTTTTGTAGTTGTTCCACTTTGCAATATACTCCTAACCCTAACCGACAGACGATGACGTTTGACAGCCATAAGGAATAGCCAATCAGAGGCGAAGGAGGGCGGGACCTTCCCCTACAAAAAAAATCCTTCAGCTGGGCCCAACTATGTCAAAATCACTCTTTTCGCTTCACCTACGGTCAATATACTAACTTCATAACGTGTAGCGTTTGTCCGGCTAACAGGAAGAGGCCTGTCTTGTATTCACACATTCATAAAATGACATATTTAGCACGATGTAGCACTCGGTCGCACCAAACGCTTCCCAGGCTAGCAGTGCTAACCAGCTAGCTCAATGCTAAGTCACAGTTTACGTTACCTGGGATTGAAATCCTGGAATAGTCCTCTTAAATTCATGATGTTTGAGGCCGGTTAGCTCGCCAACATTAGCTCTCGCGTCGTCAGCTAATTCACAACCCAAAATTTTAAGCTACACATTTTGGTTTCGGTGAAACTCTTGGTTCATGTTTTAGTTTCATTACAGCGATGTGCTAGCCTCTGTGTTTTGGTTGTTTTTTTTTTTTCAACCTAACGGAAGTCACGTGTCTACGAAGAATGCCCGGACGGCCTGACGTCATTTTTTATTTCCACGACGGTTTTTATTTTTTAATTGTTATATTCACTTAAATGATTACTCATCGTTTAAGCTAACACACAAATGAGCCAAAATATATTTTAAATACATCAAATAACTTTATTATTGTCTTAACTGTGAATAAATTTATAAACATTAGTCGTTATCGCTTTAAAATGTAGATTTTTAGTCAATACTGAACTGTTTTTCGGCCTATATAACGGTTACTCGTACAAGAAACGACTAACGCATCTTCACTTTTTCACTAAACGTAGCCTAAAAACAGGGTCAGTCGATCAACCGCAACACCAACACACACAAAAGACATTTTGGTATGATATAAGGCAGTTTTTGCCTCTATGAAACACATCTTTGTCACAGTATTAGCTTTGGATTTGATTCAGACTTTCACTTATGGTATTAGTTTGTACTTTGTCCCATGTACTTTCATCGTCTGTTGTCACAGGCACTCTCTTGAGTTGAAGTTTCACCCTCATGCTTTTGGTTTCTCCAAAGCTTCCCACCCACAGATATCAGTAACTTTATCATTGTCTTTACTGTGAATAAATAAACATTAGTCGTTATCACTTCCAAATGTCGATTTTTAGTCAATACTGAACATTTTTTTTTGGCCTAACCGACATTAACTGGTGGAATTAAGTCGAATATAACGGTTAATCATACAAGAAACGACTAACGCGTCTTGTATCCATGACAACTACAGACGCTGTTTCACTAAAAGTAGCCTAAAAACAGGGTCAGTCGATCAACCGCAACACCAACACACACAAAAGACATTTTGGTGTAATATTCAGCAGTTTTTGCCTCCATGAAACGCATCTTTGTCACAGTATTAGTTTTGGATTTGATTCAGACTTTCACTTATGGTATTAGTTTGTACTTTCACCGCCTGTTGTCATAGGTACTTTCTTAAGTTGATGTTTCACCCTCATGATTTTGGTTTCTCCAAAAGCTTCCCAACCAAAAGATATTTTTAGCATCAAAACAAACACAAAATATTATCATGACCAATATCAGTTTCTGTCTGAGTATAACCAGGTTACTTATTAATGAATCGGCAGCTCAAAATCTATAAAGAAATTGATATCTTGGCTTGAAGTCATATATGCAGATCACATTCAAAGAAGCTGTTAGTATTCATACACAACTTAAAACTTGGCTATATGTTTGATGTCAGGTTTTCAGTTACTGTAGTTGGAAAATAAATCAGGTCCCTAGTTCTGAGGTTAAGTTCCTGCAGTGGAAAAATGTGACATTCAGGTCTAAGTTCTGTGTATTTCCACCAGCAGACAGAGACTTCCTCAGATGACTGATGGGATCTACTCTTTGAGGAAAATCTTCGTAAGTAAGAGGGACATGCAGGTTTTTAAAGGCTGTCATGACTTACACTAAAAAGGATGGACGCTTCCAGTGCATGATATGTAAAAGAAATCAACCAATAAATCAGTCATTGGAGTTCTGCACAAAACTATTTAATTAAACATCATACTTGGAGTGTAATCTTAACATGACTAATAACAGACAGAGGTTAACTCAAAGACGTTAGCTGCTGTTTATCAAAGCTTTGAGAGTAAACACTGAACTTTAGCACAGTTAGGGTGGTGACAGGATATAAAATACACAGTTATCGTTGTCATAGACAGATTTTTACTGTATAAAAACAAACAAACAAAACTTTTTTTCCATTCTAATGTAGTGGTGACTCAACATTTTCAAAATATAAAGTGCAGAATATTTTTTTAGATGATTTAAAACACAAACAGACTTTGAAACTAAATCAGTAAATAACACAGGACACGACAGGCAAAAAGAACATGCCACATTAGGTAGTTTTTAACTCAGTAGTCAAAGTCTTGACCAAATAATCAATGTGATCTACAAATGTGATGATTTATCTGCAATTAGGAGACAGCACAGCACTCACATCTCGATGTAAAACAAAAGAACAAACTATCAGAGGAACAGTGCAAGAGGATTTTTAGTGCAAAACTCACAAGAGGCAATAAGGTCACAGTAAAAAAAATCTAAATGAAAAAAAAAAAGGCCAGCTTTTTTTTTAACCAGTTTTTAGTTGAAAATACTCAAAGTAACAGTAAAAATTCAACTATATAAATAATCTGTTGTTCTTGTGTGTAAATGTATTAATAATACTTTAACTCTCCGCACATTTTCCCAAAACATTCCTCTTTTTGAAAAATAAATAAACAAATGATGAATTACAAAAAATGCAGATTTAGTGCTTCACTCCGTGTCTGGAGATGATGTTTGTTTTCATTCACAGTTAGTCAAAAAGATCCAGGCGTGCGTGGTGCAGTTGGCTCTGTCCTTTCATGAGGCGCTTAGATTATCAATACTTTTATTAGCTGGAAGGAAAAGAAAGAAAAACATCAGAAGAGGAACAAAAAAACCATCCTTGATAATTTTAGTCATGCAGATTTGAGTGTTTTCCTTTTGTTTTCCATCTGATAATATCTAGAAAAATGTTTTAACTCTGACTCACCTTTTCTTCTTCACACTTCTGTAACAAGAAACAGATGACTCCTAAACTCATGACCATCAGGAAGACAATTAAAACTCCAATCAGGGCCAGTCTGCTTCTTGGTAAACCACCTGGAATGAATCCAACAACATTTTCTTCATCAGACTTCCTTCTTTGAAATTAGCGCTATTGTCTTTATGAATGTGCTCATTGTTTCCTTGATGAGATGGGGTTACTCATATGTTACGGTATGTTGTAAAAAATACTTGTTTGACAGCGACTCAGTCAAATGAAGTCATAAAGATTTTTACAACTGCTATCATTGAAAAGGAAACTTTTGCAACGTGTCTGATATCAAATATGAAACACTAAAGACAAAAAAAGAAACAACAGCCCATCCTCACCTGTAATATTTGTTCCTCCCCGTAAATTAGGACTCGGGAGACTTGTGAGTTGCGGTGGTGTCTCTGTTGTTTTCGAAGAGTGTGATCCTGTAATTAAAAAAAGAGCTTTTATAAACATTTGGAACAAATGAAAGAGAGACAAGATAAAAGGTAAAAAATATGGACTGTAAATTTGGTTTTAGGGCAAAAAGTGACTTGATATCAATACTTGAACTCACCAACAACAAGGTGAACAACTGCTGATCGTGCTCTGCTCCTCAATTTTGGAATGTAACACCTGTAACTCCCCTCGTCTTCAGGAGTTACATTACTGATTTTCAAGGATATGTTCCCCTGTCTCAGCTCGTTTGTGAAGAGCTTCGTTCTTCTGACGTACGATGATAGTTTCATATCTGGGACCTCGCGGTAGTCTCGGTATAAGTGCACATATTCCACCCAGCCCTGCTTGTTTGGATCGTACCGGAGGTCCGGCTTTGACCATTCAACCGTCAACCCGGTCACATCAGCTGGAGGCTCCACCTGACACAGCAGGATGGCGTCTTCACCCAGGGAGGCTACAATTGGCTGAGTCGACCCAATCACCTGTGGCTGACCTGAGGAAGAAAGAAAGAAAAAGAAGAGCTAAGACAAAGGGTATAGTGACAGACCTGAGCTCACCACTTATGATTCAACAGCGGTGACTTAATATGAGCAGTCGATACTGTTTTATCAAACTAGATAACCCTCCCTACATGATAAACCAGGTGTTGTGCATGACAAAGCTTCAGACTGAGGTCTAGACCCCAAACCGCAAACCCCGATGACACAGCAGATGGAGTCAGAGAGCATGTGATCATGCTTCAGCAAAACAGGCTCAAGTTTGTTGTCGGAAACAACAAAAGATGAGGTTGAAAGGGGAACACAGGCCTGCTGAGACTTATACCAAAGCTTATCTACAGCAATAAGTCTACTGCAACAAAATGCTCCCAGATAAAATTCAAAAAGAAATCTTTACACAGCTTTGCTGATTATTACAGCACATAAGTAGCTGGATTAATGTACTTATTTATTCTATTTATGTTGTATTTTTTTGTTAAAAATACAGAGACAGACTGATATATCTGAGAAAAGGAGAAGGGGTAAGTTTAAAAAAAAAGGCATAATGCTTCATCCTACTCCTTCTCGGACATGTTGGGTTTGCATTATTAGTTTTTATTTTTTTATTTTTATTTTGCTTTCATTATTGTTATTGTTGTTTTGAATATTCTCACTGGTAATGTTTGTTTGTTTTAAGTTTACTTTTGGTGTTGCATGCACATGTTTGAAAAAAAATAATAAAAATGAAAAAGTGAAATGACAAAAATACTGTTTTTTTCCAACAAGTGTTCATTTCAGTTTATGTTAAGTTACACTGCGAAATTAGAGAGCACAAAAACCGTTTTCATCTTAATTTAAGTTATTACATCTTTTTTTTTCGTCACTTCAAACTCAAAAAAGAGGAATAAAAACACAAAAAATAAACAATGCTTCAAAACACGTCTATGCTTTGAGTCTTCAATAAAAGTTGTAGGTGTGTTTGTAATAGTAGTTCTAAACAGAGGAAAAACGGTCAGGTTAGCTAAAATAACTGACCGTCCAGTGGTTGCTATGGTTCTCAATAACGCTTCTTTGCCAGGGCAACGAGTGTCAACGGAAAACAGTTGAGAAAAACCGATGAGAGACGTTAGAAACACAAAATATCGTTCACAGATTGCATCCGGGTAACTATCCAGTTTAAATTATTAGTTTTACTTCAACAAATGTTCATTTATTTCATGTAAAGTTGCGGTGTAAAAGAAGAGAGTATAAAAATCGTTCTCATCTCAATTATGGTCATTAAATCTCGGTTTTTGTCACTTCAGACTCAAAAAAGAGGAATAAGAACACAAAAACTAAACAAAGCTTCAGAACACGTCTCCACTGAGAGTCTTAAATAAAAGTTGTAGGTGTATTTGTTTGTTACAGCAGCCGAAACAAAGAGGAAAATCGGTAACGTTAGCTGAAATAACTAACCGTGCAGTGGTTGCTATGGTAATCAAAAAGATTCTTTGCCAGGGCAACGGCCAACTGTATCAACGGAAAACAGGTTTAAAAAAAAAACGTTAAAAGGCGTTAGACACAAAAAATACCGGTTGCATCCGGGAAACTATCCAGTTTACATTATCACTTTTATCGCTACTTCGAGTAAATAATTAACTTCGTGACTTACCTTTAACAAACGTTTCGCCAAAAAGCAGCAAAAGGACGACAATAAAAGCTAATTTGCTGAGAGAGATGGATAAACTGGACCTGCCGTAGGCCATCGTTAGAGAAGCAGCTTCAGCCTACGACAGGAGCAGAGACACTGACACACACACACAGACCGGTATCAACATAAACTGTGCCGTGAAGAGCTCTGCCCATACAAGCCTCATACACGTGATGTAATGGGGGAAACCCCATGGCGAGGCGTCCATAAAGAGAAATACACGAGAGGATAGTATGTTGAAAAAATATCCCAAAACTTACAGAATACTTATGTAGATTTAAAAACATAAATATCTGATTCTGATGATAAAACAGTCCCCTGAGGCGGCGACAGCCCTCATTCCAGCTCCATACGGAAGCTCCTAGCGGACGTACATCCGCATTTTAATCTCTTTGTGTACTTTTGGTCAAACTTCAGTCTGTTTTCTGCAGATTTTAACTCAATCTGTTGTTTTACTTTAACAGGTTAATTTCAGCAGTGTTTTTTAAGGTCGTGCTTATTTTTTAATCTTATCTCTTCTCAACAATTATTTATGGCGAGCTCTTTTTTTACACCCTCGTTTATAGACCATAAAAAAAAAATAGAAAAGTCACTGTGATCCGCCAAACCAAAACATGCTGCCATGTCTATTTAAGTGTAGGTAAGTCAGTGGTTTACGTGCTTCTGCAGACAGGCTCTTGAGAAATGGGGAGAAACGCTTACAGGGATTATTATATACAGCGTTATAATTAACTTGTTGGTCGTCTTGCCTTAATGAATGATTGCGCAGTCATTGCAATGCCCCCCTGAAGTCGCATATCCGACTCGGAAAGTTGGACGGTCCAACCCCAACTTGACGACAATGTCATAATCCAAGATGGCAGCGCAGTGCAGTAAAAGCTCTCGTAAAGTATTATTTATTTGCACCTCTGTTTTGTTTTTGTGAAATTCAATAAGTGGTATATGTTGTACTGCCCAACGTCTAACTGTGAACACGGTGCTATGGCGTTTGTAAGAGAAAAATACTGTGTTATGAGTTGTTTACAAATGGTATAGCTAACAACAACTAACAACAACTGACATCCGCTAACAACTACTGACAGCAGCTAACAATAGCTGACAATTGTAAACAACGGCTAACTGTAGGTGTCCATCTTGGTTTTCCCACAGCTCCGACATCAGACTTCCAAGGTAACTGGAACGCAGCATCGGTTTATGGTTTTACGTGCTTCTGCAGACAGGCTCCTGAGAAAACAGCTAAAATTTCCCAGTGAAAACGAAAAGAGTAGTAAGTTTACGGATGTGTGCCCACTGAGAACTTCTGTCTGGACCACAGCTGTATGCTGAAGAAGTGACACATTTACAGTCAGGACACAGTATACTTCTCTTTTTAGAGGGGCAATGCCACAAGAGAGGTAAGTTTCATCTGAAATATTCCAGGCTGGTTGCTGAAACAGATTTAAACAACCTGATGCTTGTTTTTCTTGGTCTGGGTTTTAAGGGGCTTACAGGGATTTATATATATGGCGTTATTATTAACTTGTTGGTCGTCTAGCCCTGCTAAACGACTGTACAGTCATTGCAACATCCTAATTTTGACATGAGTGAGTGTGAGGACTCAAATAGATTTAAAAGGTATGAGAAGTTAGATCCAGAGTTAGCAGACTCTAGAATAGCACTTCAACATGATGACAGGCAAAAACTATCATTGCATAGCCTGAACTCTTCTTACTTCAATTTTTTTATTGCATTTCTTTATCTTGTCTTAAAAAAAACAAAAACACTTATAAACATGATCCTCTGGGCAGGGATTTCCCTCAACAACAACAAATTAACACGTGGTTGTGGTTTCATCGTGCTTATCATATTTCTAAAAACAGAAACATGACTCAAGCCACGATAAACATGTGACTGTTCTTGTTTGTTTATTTAGCTTAATGGTTAAGAAAATAACAACAACAAACTGCTAATCTTGTACCAAAATTAATTTCAGTCCATTTTATGAATTTAAAAGGAATATTCCGGCATAAAATTAATTTAGGGTCAAACACACAGTAACACAGAGTTAGACACCCCATCGAGAAATGAATGTTGCCGGTCGTTTGCTTCTTTAGTTATACCAACTTTAGTAACAACCGCAGGGGTAGCAATACAGAAAGCCACGCGCACAACCAAAACGCCACACTATAGCCACAAATAATGCTCAGAACAGCCCCTCAATTCATCAACAGTACATATAGGGTCCTAGCAACAGCACTAGCCACTAGTGTATTGCTATTTGCGGTTACTAAAGTTGGTATAACTAGAGAAGCAAGCGGTCAGCAACATTAATCACTCAACGGGGTGTCTAACTCGGTGTTACGGTGTGTTTGACCCTAACTCAATTTTATGCCGGAGTATCCCTTTAAAAAATTCCCCACAGGAGCTTTAAGTAGTCAAGTGTATCATTTCATATGAGTTTTTTAATATAGAAAACATACTCTGCTGCTTGGCTGACACCTGAGGCTTTAGAAATTAAGATATAAAAACAGTCAGTCTAAATTGTTTTTGTGTAGCATTAAAAAATCCTTATAGTAGCTTTAAGGACTAGAAGAAGGAGAAAAAAATGAATAAAGTGATCACAGTAGTGGCCCAAAATAAACTTCATTGTCTCAAGCATAAAAAAATAAATTAATTAATTAATTTGTCGTCTGAATCCATAACTCTATTTTATGTATCTTGACTTTGGTGCTAGCTAAGCTCTTAAATCAAAAGTATTATCCTACTTTTCATCTAATTTTCAGCAAAATAACCCTAATCATAACCATAAAGTAGAGACTTCGCACTTAAAATGGCATTTATCTGCACAGCTTTGACTTTTAACCTAATTTAACCAGTTTTGTGACATCTGGGCACAAAAATTACAGCCAGCTGGGAAAACCTCTGAAATGTTGAAATTCTGGCTCCGTTTCACCCTTGTTGTTCTGACACGTGAGACGAATTTCGCCAGCAGGAAAAGAGTGGCTGTAGTGACATGTTGTGATTGTGACAGCGATATATGAGCCTGTCACACACACATACACGGGTTAAGTCGGAAGAGCCCTGTGCTTCCCCCTGAGGCGGTTTCCATTTCCTTAAGCGGGAAGTTTTATTGTTTGACTTCTAGCAGATTAGAGTTCCTTCTCTCTCCAACAGTTTCGAAACATCTGGGTTTTCCTCTGAATGTTTCACAACGTACAGTCAGCAGAATTTACCAGAACTGGGCAGAACAGGCTGAGTCAAAAGTGAGTAAAAACTAAGCGATGAAATAAAACTTTCGAAATGTGTTTTACCTTTCGACGGATTACAACAGTAGGAGCATGTCTTGACAAAGGCGACCTGTGCTGCTTTCAAGGATAGTGGGAATTAATTGTTCTTTTACCTTATGCCTTGGTATTTTGAGCATTAGCGAACGGTTACCCTAGCGGCAGTCGCCATTTTGAGAAATAAAGCTAATAGCGCTAAAAACTGTAGTTCCCGGGTGTTAGCTTAAAGAGGGCTGTGGAAGGACAAAATACACTAGGGGAGAGTGGGGTAAGATGAGTATTTTTTTCATATTTCGGATCACTACATCAAGTCAATCAAAGTTTTGTCTCTAACTAGTGTGCTGCTTTCAAGGGTAGTGGGAAATAATTGTTCTTTTACTTTATACGTCGGTATTTTGAGCATTAGGGAACGGTTACCATAGCGGCAGCCGCCATTTTGAGAGATGAAGCTGATAGCGCTAAAAACTGTAGTTCCCGAGTGTTAGCTAGATGAGGGCTGTGGAAGGACAAAAAACACGTAGAGTGGGGTAAGATGAGCAATTTTTCGTATTTCACTACATCAAGACAATCAAAATTTTGTCTCTAACTAGTGTATCTGCAAACCAACTTAATGAGTGTAAACATAACTGTTTTGTAGGGATGTACGATATGGGAAAAAGTTTTTCACGATAGTTTTTTTTATATCAGTCAATATCGACATATTTCACGATATAAAAAAAAATTACTTGTCAATCTTAAATGTTCCCTGTTACTCCCAAATGAAATTCAACAGTGCGTATTGGTAGCATGTCTTTGCATTACAATAATCTACTGCATCTGTGAGGTCTCTGTGTCTCTTTGACTTTTGTCGTAACGCGTTGTGTTAGAGAAAGCGGACTGAATGGTCAGCTGTTTCGGCTGCACTACCGCGTGGCGCTGCTTCAGGTGGTGAAAAAGATTTGAGGTATTCCCCGATTTTGTGAGAACATGTACTCAACATAAATTGAAGTGCGCATTACTCTGCTTCATGTCCGACCTAACAAAAAACAAAATACCTCCACACCACTAACGTTTTCGCGCCAGTGTTGTCAACGATGTTGTCATCTGTTGAGCCTTCATTTCTGTCGGGGGTAGCACTCACTACCCCTCACTTCTTTTTTGCTCACTGACAGTGCTGTCGGCTTCACGTGTTAAAGTGCTATGCATTCTGCTACTACGTTGCTTGTTTGTTACTCGGTTCTAATTCATCACGATTGATTCAGCGTGGCACGATCTGGAGCAACTCCTCCTTTCTTTGGCTATTCGTATAGTCTACCAAAACATGGCAGAATACAGACTATTGAAAAGTATATTGACCATGTTTTATATTGATATCGAGGGAGATTAATTTTCAATATATCTGTATCATTTTATCGCTCAGCCCTACTGTCTTGATAATATAGCATGCCAAAAAAAGTGGTCTCCTATGCCCATCTCCTAAATATTTGGTCACATGATCAATTTCTTCTACCATTTCCAAGCAACAGGGGGTGGCTCAACTTACCCAATAGCTCAACTTACCCCACTCCTATACACCAAGTATTTTTAGAGCAACAATAAATATGTTTATGACCTGATATTGAAAACCTGATTGTCCTGTTACAACCTCCTGTCCTAATACGATATCTACTGGCTCCAAAACAAGGACTGAGATTTGATCAGGAAGTTGGTCCACCCATCATCTATCAATGCAAAGGTAAATCCAATAAGACGATATCATGTTTATCCACAAGAGGGTGCTGTTTTATTATTTTCAAAGACAACAATGTACTGTAACTTCACATCAACATACAGGATAAATGCTTTCAAAGTAAAATAAAAAGGACTCACAAAAGGATTTAAGGGTGCTACATCTACACGTGCTACAGATGGGCTGACATAAGTGAACAGTAACGATCACTTGAAAGACAGAAAAATTCATCACATTTCTATAAACAGTCACATTAATAAAAGAGTGGTTTCTTTTCCCTTTGGCATGTGGTTAGTAAGCACCAGTTTACGAATAAACCCCTGACACCTTAAAATGTTCTTTAGAAATGATGTAGAGTTCACAGTGAAATGTAAAAGTTAAACTCCTGATTATTTCATGAGAGTAAACATTTCCTAAGTACAAAGACTTGTAAACATACATGCTCAGATAACATTGTCTTTTAAAGAGACAAAGTAAAGAAACAGCATTCACGCTTGATAAAAGAATAGGGTGGCTCCATTTTGGTCTGTCTGTCTCTAAGAAGACGGAGTCACCACAGATCAGAATGAGAAACCAGATAACAGTTCTACCACATCAAAAATGGGCCCTTATATTCAAAGTGCAACAGTATTTCATATGCAGTCACTTTTAGTGCTAATATAATTTATTTTCTATAAAGTCTAAGACATTCACAAAATTCTTGGAAAACTTGTACTGAAATTATCTCCTTTTAAATACTTTGATAATATTTAATTCAGGACGGAAATGTTGAATTTGTTCTTTTACAACAACTGTTGTTGTAAAATGTGCAAAGATTACAGAAGAATCCCTTCTAGAAAATTCTGGGGGAAGGGCTGCTGCTTGCTTATTTGTCGGTGCTTAGCTTGTTTAGTGGTAGAAAGTGCAAAGAGGACTAACTACAAGTAAAATTAACGTGTCCGTCCTCAAAGTAGAAACATTCAGGAGATCAGATGAGCTCCACATGACATTTTACAATGCCTGGTTGGACAATATTCAGTTGATATAGCCCCGTCTAATGTGACTACTGTATTTAAGTAATGCTATCATGATATCTGATTTTTACCTCATGATTATCGGGGCCTGGGTGTTTTCAGAGGGAGTATAATCTCTTCATCTAAAATTCAGGCAAATTACAAAGTTAAAAACAAAAAAAACAAAACTCTTTTTAAAAACAAGAAGAAAGTTAATAAAAGGAAATATTCAGACATTCAGCCAACAACTTATAGACAACCTATGATTGATGTGACCTGCTGTAAACATGAGACTCATGGAGGCTTTGTGTTTAACAGTGAAAAATGATTCAGATCACATCTCATTCAAGAACACTTAAAAAAGTACCGATCAGGTTAAACACGGTACCCTAAAACAAGATAATCCCGTTTTTGGACTTCTCTTAATTCCTCACCAGAGAGCCAGGATAACGTCTAACGACTAACGACTTTATAGTTGCAAGAATATAAAAATGTAGCTCTACTTGAGCTGATAATCGTTATGAAAATGACTCTATAGTAGCAAGAATATAAAAAAAGGATCCCCACCTGAGCTGATTATTGCTAAAAAAATATATAACACATTAGCCTGAACATTACAATATATTTGGTTCCCTGTGCCCTGACCTATGTTTACATGTTAAAGTCAGATCAGTTTACTTGATCAGGCTTCTCTGGCAGCAGCTCCTCCACCTCATCTTCAGACAACTTGGAAAGACTAAAACGTTTTTTAGCCATGGTTGCTGAGGAGTATCTGCGTTGGAGACTCACTCTCTTTGGAGGGGGGTAAGACCCAGACATGCTCATGGAACGGCCAACAGGCTTTTCATCTGTAGGAGAGGCTGGGTGAGGACTGGGCAACCCATTGCCACCTTTGTCCAAGTGAGCAAGACTGCTTGATTGGGTTCCCTGGATTGAAACTCCAGGTACTGACCCATCAGTGCTTTGTAAGGTTGTAGATCCTCCACTGCAGCTCTTTGACACATCAGGAGTTTGCTTGGACCTCAGTTCATTCAGTTCTGGTGTCCGTTTTTGGATGATCTCATCTTTGTCCAAGTGAGCAAGACTGCTTGATTGGGTTCCCTGGGTTGAGATGCCAGGTACTGACCCATCAGTGCTTGATGAGGTTGTAGATTCTGAACTGCAGCTCTTGGACACATCAGGAGTTTGCTTGGACTTCAGTTCATTCAGTTCTGGTGTCTGTTTTTGGATTATATCTTTTGCACCAACCGTTTGCCTCAGATCCTCAATACTTATCTGATGCTCAGCGCTGTTACCTCCAGTGGCGTCAGCGAGGTTTCCACGGTGATGGAGACCATCAGTATTCCCGATTGTGGTACTTTGACCACCCAAACATTGTCCAAATATCATCCACTTTGGTCGCTCTGCTGTGTGATCTGAAAAGCACATGTACTATTAGCGGAAAGACTTTGGTTCTGACTCTGTAAATGCTCAGATAGTCCAGAAAGAAAGAAAAAGATGAATAGAGAAGACAAGGAGAGATAAGTACGAAAGAGGATTAGGGCCACAAGAAGAGAAAAAAGAGAAAAGAGACAGAACTATAAACCACCAGAAAATAAGAAGAGAGGAGTGGTTCTAGGACGGACCCCTGGGGTACTCCACAAGTTAGCTTTGCACTGGATGTTTGTCTGTACTTAAACATTTCTTTGAAGCAGCATAGAAAACAACTTAAAGTCGTTACATTTTGATTTTAACAGATCTATGAGTTACGTCTATATTCACGATTTTTACAGCTGTGAATTATGGGACATTAACATCTGCAATCAGAAAAACATTATGTTTTCTAAGGGGGAACGAAAATGTTCAAGACTTACTGCGGTAGACCCTCTTGCAGAGGTAGAACGTACACAGGCCTAATCCAATCACAAAGGCAATTACAAAAGCAGTGATGATGATGTCCAGGACCTTAGACCTCACTGTATGAGGAAGAAAGAAAGGCAAGTTAGAGTAAGAGCAAAGATATGAAATCAGCTGATACACGTGGATTAGAGTGCTACAGTACCCGGGATGTAAATCTCTGTTGTTCTTGTCTGGTTCATGCTAGGCTCGTGAGCCCTGCAGATGACCCTGTAATGGAGATCTCAATTTTGTAAAATGATCAAGAGGTCTGTGCTCAAAAAGTTCTTTTAAATCTTGTCTCATAAAGACCTGGAGAGCCACATTCATGTCCTGCGGACTTTCACAGACACACAAAACCAACCTGAGTCTAAAAAAAACAAACCTTCCGACCGGGGTCTGCAAAGTCACTCTCCTCCAGGTGTTGAAACAATTCTCATGTTGTGGGTCTTCGCTGGGTTCATGTTTTGGGTTGTCGCCACCGATGTCATCTCCTTGGTCGTTTAAAAAGGTTATCACGGGCCTCGGGTACCAGCAGCTGGCTTCACACTGAAGAGTCAGCCCATCGCCCCCGGCTGGGATGACTGAGAGTTTGGGCTCTGAAGCAGCACCTGTAAAAACAAGAATCAAACCAGGTATAACCTCTGAACTTTAAAATCTTTAAAATCTTTGAAACTGGGTGCTGCTGTTTTAACGCCTCCTCATCTGGTCAGTTTGTGGTGAAAAGCATGACTTTAGTGTTTGACACCAACACGTCCTCTCCTTATGATTGGATCATCTCCCAGTGAAACTAATACTCATCTAATCAGTCAGAAAAACATATCTCCAACCACATTATCCGAGTATGGTAATATGAGAAGTTTGATTTAGTGCTATTCCAGTAAAGCGAATGTGTTTTGAAAGTCTAGTTACGGTCAGAGTAAGGCCGTTCGTCTGGGCTAAAGAGGAACAACTTTTGAGGAACTCCAGTTTAAAGGCAAACCTCTGACCTCTGGACTCACCAACTATGAGATCTACAGTAGCACTCGTCTGAGGATCTGTCTTGCGGATCGTCATGCATTTGTATCTCCCTTCATCAGACAGCCGCACAGGGGAAATCCTCAGCGAGATGTTCCCGTTTTTCAGTTCGCTCATGATGAGGCTGGACCTGTACCAGAAAGCCTGATTCTTCTCGACATGGATCTCACAGCCTTGGCGATACAGGAAGACAGTGTTAGGAACAAGTCCTTCTTTGAGCCACTCCACTGTTGGGAGGTCATCGCTGACACTGATGTGACAGGGCAGAATGACGGCTCCACCGACAGAGGCCACGACTGTCTTTGCTGCATCACTGTCCAGGGCTCCTCAAAGGGAAACAGAAGATGAGAGCGATTCAGTATTTTCATAACGATGGTTAAATCCAAATACAGAGTATGTTATCAATAAGGTCAATTTTGTAGCGTCCATGTAGATGGTTGTTTGGACAGTTTTCTTTATATTGATGGGACATTCAACTGGTCAAACGTGTAAAAATTTCTGAAAAGATATGATGATGTTAAGACTGTACCCTTAAGTCTGTTTAGTCTGAAGCACATTAATTAACCTGCCTTCTAACTAAAGGAGGCAGATACTTAACACCTTATTCCCTCTGTCCTTAAATGGTCAAATACAGGTTTATATCCAACCTTTTAAATTTAATCATGGTGCAGACAAAAGGCACCTCTGCAGTTCACAGCAGCATTACTACTGCAATAAGATCAGGTGTCATGTCACATGTTGTTTGGGGTTTCAATTCTCCTTTGGTATTCAGACCAAGCTTTGATTACTCAACCAACTCAACTAGTTTTGCAAAGAACATGATCATGTCCTGGTATTCTTGCTACTGGCAAGAAGGATATTAAAGCCTGTAGGGTTAATTAGAATTGAGTTATCAAGACAAATCTTAATCTAAAAGGGATATTCCAGCATCAAACTGATTTAAGATCAAACACACCCTAACACCAAGTTAGACACCCCTGGAGAGATGAATGTTGCTGACCGCTTGCGTCTCTAGTTACCAACTTTAGTAAAAACCGCACGATAGCAACACACAGCAGAACCAAAAGCTAAACAAACCTCAACCAAAACGCCACTCTATAGCCACAAATAATGCTCAGAGCAGCACCTAACTTCATCAACAGGACATATTGGGTCCTAGCCACAGTGCTAGTCATCAAACATCTTTTTAACTTTGCCTAATTTCTTTCCAGCAGCTGCTTATTTGTAGCGGGACCTCAGGCCAGTCCATTAGTGACTACAGCGGGGTGACGCAGCTCAAGGAAGAACATTTTTGATCATTTCTTCATGGAAATGCAATCAGACCGAGTCGCTTAGACAGAAGAACTACTGTGTCTGCAGTGTAAAATGATTAATATGATGATTATTACTTAAAGGAAATGATAAAGAAATTATCATAAATGTTCTTCCTTGAGTTGCGTCACCCCGCAGCAGTCCGTAATGGATTGGCCCAAGGCCTCGCTACAAACAAGCGGCTGCTGGAAGAGAGTAGGTGAGTGGTGTTTAGTCTCTTTGTTAAAGAAATTAGGCAAAGTTAAAAAGATAACTGAAAAATGTTATAATTGCCTCAGACAGTGGAACAGACAGGAAAGCATAAGATCAGGGAAGACGTTATGCAGACAGGACATTGTCTATGACATATTAAAACATCTCCTTTGCCGACATGTAGAAGGACTAGTTATCTCTTTCCTTTGGGTTCCTGCTCATGTAGGAGTCAGAGGGAATGAAAAAGTTGACTTGTTGGCAAAAACTGCAATGAACTCACAGGAAATAGACATAGTAGTAAAACTTTCAAAAACATAAGTAAAATCCATTACAAAGAATCACACTTAAAAATATAGCAAGATATTGGAATAAAGCTGACACGGGACGACATCTGTACAATACCCAAAAACATGTTGGCAGAATAGCTACACAGGGCACAAGCACAAAGGAGGAGACACCTGTCTAAGAACTGGAAATACAGGACTCAATCAGAGTCCTGTATTTCCTGTCCTGTATATCCCTTTAATCTACATTATTACCTGGTTTACCTGGTGAGAAAGAGAGAATTGACACACCTCAGTATTTCTAACCCCTAATGGTCTAACCCGACGCAGGTGTTGCTGTTGAAATCAGTGGAAAATCACGTACTTGTGTAGCAAAAAAGAACCGTTTTGACACCGAATCTTTTTAACGTTAGCTCTCAGGTATAAACGGGTTTCTACATTTACCCCCTTTCTATCAGCGAACCCAAATACAGCGACTTTCTCCACCGCGGATAAAAGCTCAAGTTATCGGTATTAGTTGGCCCAATGATGCAACTTATGATGCAACTTACCGAGACTGTGGGACAGCAGCAGCGTAGAAACCAGGAAGAGAGTGCTCAACATGGCAAATACCTAAAAATCCAACACAAAACCGATCAATAATACTTCAAGTGGTCCACTTTAGTTAAAAAACTGTGCAGAAAAGAAAAAAGCACCGAAAAGAAACCGGCCCGAACTGGACGCGAGAGCTCTCCTCCCTTGTTTCTGCGGTCTGCCCACTCTTTTGCGCCGTTCACGGACGAGTCGGCTATAAGAACCGACTCCGAAATTGTAAGCAGGCTTGTACAGAGGTGAGTCGGTTAATACCTTTTGTGTATAAACTCAGGAGTGTCAGTATATGATAGAGAGTTGTTGTTTATTCGAAAAGGACCAGAATATCCACTTCCGGGGCTCCAGCAAGCCCATTTTTTAACAGACTTCGGCATATAGTCTTAACATCTGTGTAATTTTTCAGAAATATATACACGTTTGACTAGTTGAATGTCCCATAAATATAAAGAAAACTGTCCACACAACCATCTACAATTGGGGTGCAAGAAAAAACTGATTCACATAAGTATCACAACTTTTAATTTAGCAATTTTAAATGGATTTTTATGTACAAAAAGCAAAAATATATGTGTTTCAAATTTAAAAATGAATCTTAAAAACTGACTTACATGTGATGTGTATTTATTGGGAGGGAAATATTGCTCCTGGAGTAGTCGAAAGATTATAATAATCATTCAACTGTTTCACTGGTGTTACAAATGCAGACTAAAACCCGAGACACTTGACAAAATCGCAATTTAAAATCGCAGAAGAATCAGGAGAAAAGCATATCATCCCAGCCCTAACCTACATGGACGCAACAAAATTGACCTTATTGATCATTCCTGGTGGTGTAAAGTATATCTGAGTGTATTTTTTATTTGTGGTTTGAAATGACACATAATGTAAATATTTGACTAAACTCATATCTGTTAAAAAACAGGGTTAAAAAAATATACCATTGAAGAACCGAATCAAATGATCCGGATCACTTGAAATTCCCATCCCATTCCAGCTCCTCGAATTTCACTTTCGTTATTAATCATTGACAGAGGTCCCTTCAAGGGCAATGGGAGTAAACTAAACACCTTGTCAAAAACTAAACATACGGTTGATAAATTTAACACACTTAGGCGATGAAATGATATTAAATTGGCTCAGACCAAAAGCCGTAATTAAAGCAGAGAAATTTTAAAAAAGACAAATTTGTAGTCACCTTATTGATTAGAATTGTAGATACACACATTTATTCATTTTCCACTTTAAAATACAGTATAATTCCAATGTGTTATAATACAGAGAAAATTAATAATGGAAACCTCAAATAAATCTACAGTTTATGGTTTACAGGGACATTGAGATCAAACGGACACACAGAATGAGTTATAACCTGCCGCCATAATCCTACAGTCTAAGAGCTTTGTGCCAATAGTATATGATGCTTACAACAACAGGGTATTTAATGCGAAAAAAGCCACATGCTTCTGGCGGGAATGTCTTAACGAGCTGCTGTGATGCTTTTTCTTCAAATAGGCACACAGTCAAGGTGCTTTTCCCAAGGAGAGAGACTTCAGATGCCACGACAACACTGTTTCCAGTTGGAATAAGAGACACATGATAAAAGAAAAGCATAATAGTATGAAGGAAAATCAAAACAACACACGTTTGATAAATAACAAAACTGAAATACTTATAAGAAAATTTAAGATTTACATTAAAAAAAAAGTCAATATACTGCATGTAACAGAAAACAAAGAAAGGTCATAGTATAACTGCATTAAACAAAACTTGACATTAGAGCAGCTTGAACTATCATTCGGTTTAAAGGGGATATGTCACAGAAGATTAATGAGTGTTTTATTATTTTCATCAACATGGGAAACTGAATTTTGTTCTTTTTGTTTCATTTTCCGTAACACATTTTCACCTACATTACAAGATGATGCTTTCCTGTCATGGCGATCAAGAAAAGGACAAGAACCGGGTGAAAATGTGGATTTCTGAAGTTCACTTGTTAATTCTAACCCATGCTGCTGCTGCTGCTGCTTCTTCTTCTTCACCGCCCTCCCTCAGTGCACCAGCTCCAGCTGGCTCGGGGAGAAAGGCAGGACCCCGCTGACGTAGTAGGCGATGCCCAGGGACAACAAGGCGATGACCACCAGCAGCAGCAGGACCCTCCAGAAACCCAGATCCTCCACAAACTCCTGCCAAGTGGTCCTGAAGCTGGACAGGACGCCCTCGCTGCTCTGCAGGTTGGGGTTGAGTAAGGAGTGGCTTTCCATCGCACTGAATCAGAGCGGTAGAAGACGGGAAGGAAAAACAGGAACAGAAAACTTTACTCATCCCTGAAAATTTCTCTGATTTTCTCAATTTCCGAAATAAAGGGAACTCCTGACGGCAGAATAAAAAGTGCTTATATGGAACAACTGTCTGAAACAAGGAGGTAAATCTTAATCAAGAAGTACAGAAACAAGTCAAGAAGGGGTTTAGGAAATAAGATTTTTAGAAATAACAAAGATATCATCAATCCATGGTGTAAGAAATCAAGTATATCAGCACAGTGGCTTGTTGTCTCCAGACACCTCTTTACAGAGACTGTGCAGATGTCAGAAGACCTGTCCCCACACACTCACCTTTCACTGTCGGCCATCTGCATGGTCTCCAGTTTGGAGTGAGCTCCTCTGTTGAAACCTTTCACCTCCTGCTCCTCCAGTCCTTCTAGTAAACGGATGGCATCCTTATTGACTCCACGTCTTTTCGCCAGGACAAGCGGGGTCGATCCGTTGTGGTTACTGTAACATGTGACAGCAGACACACAGTGGTTTAATCACAAAGCAAATGAGGAAGTATAAACACTTGTTGAGTATAAAAACGGTGGCATAAAGCAATGATTCATAATGATTTGAAGGAACTTCCTACCAGATATCAATCTTGAGCCCGTTGGACACCAGGAACTGTATAGTGTCCACATGTCCACACAGATGCAGCGCTGTGTTTCCTTGATAATCCGTCGCCAACAGATCAGCCCCGAACTTGTGCAGCAGGCGGCAAATATCCACGTTTCCCCGAGCAGCAGCTAAGTGCAGACCGGTGCGGCCCCGGTTGTCCCTGATGTTGGGGTCACACCCGGTCTCAAGGAGCCTCTTAGCGAACGGCAGGTCTCCATCGATGCAGGCCTGCAGCAGAGGCACGTTTGTCTGCGACGAGTCGTTGATGAAGACATAGGACATGTCCGAGTGGGTATCAGAAAATTCCAGCGTACCTGCAAAAAAGACAGATACCGGGTTATGACACTGCATGAGCAAACAGTTGACATCATTTACAGGACACAATGTAGGGCTGGGAGATAAAACATTGACGATATTGAAAATTAATTTCCCTCAATATCAATATAAAACACAGTCAATATGCTTTTGGATTGTCTGCATTCTGCCGTGTTTGGTTGACTATATGAATAGCCAATGAAAAGGGGAGTTGCTCCGGGTCTAGTAGCAGGCTGCAGCTACACACAACCATAGAACTTTAACACGTGAAGCCGACAGCACTGTGGGTGAGAAAAAGAACTCCCAAGCTACCCCCGGCAGAAATGCAGATGACACCTCAACAGATGACAACATCGTTGACAACACTGGCACGAAAACGTCAGTGGTGTGGAGGTGTTTTGGTTTTTGAGGTTGGACATGAAGCAGAGTAATGTGGGTGTGATAAACTTTTCACATATCGCCAAGCCCTAAAACAGTCAATACATGATTCATAGGATTCTTAGAAATCTGACATAGACCTAAAATCACATCCAGAAACCGTGGTTTGTCCCTGCAATTTTTTGTTGTGGTCTGATGAATCAAAAATTTTAGTCTTTTTGGAAACCATAGATGCTTCATCCTCCGCTCTGCAAAGGGAAAGACCATCTAGCTTGTTGCCAGTATACTATTAAACAGCAGAAACGGCTTTTAATAATCACATATATACGAAAATAACGGATTTACCATGACAACCATCTGTTTGTTGTGTTTAACAGCTGGCTAGCTAACTGTGGCTGCTAACCGTTACATCATCCTGCTTTAATAATAACAAAGATGGAGGCACCGCTAAACCACAGCTATACACTTTTCCTTTATGCTTTTTCTAAGTCACGATAAACGCGTTTGTTGTATAAAATATGCAACAATAAAAAAGGCTGGCGAACGGTTTTAATGCTGTCAGAGCTAACAAGCTAGCGGAGTACTGTTAGCATTCGAGCTAGCGTTTCTCACAGGTGATAGAGAAATTTCATTAGTCAGATTTAGTATAAAAGAGTAAGTTTGCTAAAATAGGAGTGAATATTCTTTGTTTCTATAAAGGTTATGTTACTCACCTGTTTAGAGGTCCCAAATTAGAAGAAATAAGTAATGTTCGCTTTCCCTGTGAGCTAACGCTGCTAGCTGTGTTGTTGTTTTGAAGCTTCTTCTTCGTTGGTTTGATTTGGGAACACTCAGTTGTTTATCGCCATCTGCTGTCGGTTTTAAAAGCTGTATGTTTGATTTTAAATGACATTTACCGTTTCAGACTGGCCTTTTAAGGTGATTTATTGACTTATTCAGGATGGCATTCATGTATCTAAGTCTTAGGGTGGCCAAGAACTGCCACTGTTGCAAATAAAAAAGGATGCCACAACACAACAGAAGTTAATGACGTAATAAAAAGTGGCGATGCTAAATAAAAATGCGAAAATAAAAGGATGCAAATTAAAAAAGCCACAACGGAAGTGAGCTGCCGCGGACTAATAATGAAAACACACAAGGGGCCTGCATACTTATTTTTATAGGTAAAGCAACAGATTTTAATTTAATTCTGCGCTGTTGTCTTTTTTTTTTTTTAATCGATTACTTCTGTTGTTGTTGTTTTTTTTTTATCTGCACCAATTCTTTTTTTTATTTGCAGCAAGCTTCTGTTTTTTTTTTTTTTTCGTCGTTAACCACTGTTTTGGCTTTTCTTTTTTTTCCTTTTTGTATTTTTATTTCCAGCAGGCTTTGTTTTGTTTTGTTTTTTTTGTTTTTTTTTTGCATCGGTAACTTCAGTTGTGGCTTTTCTTTTTCATTTTTGTTATCTGCACCATTCCTTTTTTTATTTGCAGGGGCAACAGTTTTTTTTTTTTTTTTTTTTTTGTTTTTTATGCATCATTAATTTTTGCATTGCTAACTTCCGTTGTGGCTTTTCTTTTTTTTTTTTTTGCATTCCCTTTTATTTGCAGCAGTGGCGTTTCTTGGCCACTGTAAAGTCTAATTCATTCAAATTACTCTGTTTTTCCTGTGATTATAAGAGAACCTCAGTAGCTTTTATCTGTTGATTCACTTTCCTAAATATTTAAATACACACACCAATTTAACTTTTATGTATTTTTCTAACTACATAATATAACCTGAATTAGAAGTGCTGCGTCCATAAAAAGGCAGTGGTTTATGGGTACAAGAGTCTGCATGAGATACTGACAGTTTGTTTAGAGACTTTATTTCAAAGTGTGTGAGCACAAAAATACAAATTACTGTAACAGACATGTTATAACCACTTTCTTTGTTGTTACACATCCTCTTTGAGGAAATCTTTTCTGTCATTCCAGGCACTTATTTCTGTATGAAAAAAAGGGGTAAAGACCAAACTGACGATGAATCGTTTTGTCTGTTAAACCATCAGCGAATATAATATATTTTCCTTATAAAAACATCATACTATAGGCATTTTCCCCATATTATAATTCAATGTACACATCATTATCTTCCCAGGCCCTCCCATTGCAGTAAATAAAACCAGGGGATATTATCATGACTTAAGTAAAATAATTACAATCTAGATTACAAAACAAAACAAAAACAACAGAAGACAGAAAAAGAAGGGAAATGAAATAAAAACAGGAGGGGTAAAATGTGACACAAAATTAGGGCTACCAGCAGAGAGACACGGTGGTCATAGTGGTTACAAGGCACCCAGCGGCTTTCACTGCGCAAGGATACTTTAAAAAAGAGGAGAAAAACCACATTAAACCGGTTTATATCTGTTTTTATGAAGTAAACTCAATGAGAAAAATCTGATCTGAAAATGGGTAAATTCTCCCTCTTTTTCAATCCAATGACAGAGAAGCGACACAGACTGGAAAAAAAAATGAAAATAAAATAAAGAGCAAACAGCATAATTGACTTTTGATCGATCATACTTTGCTGGGAAACACAGTTAGCACTATCTATGTACAGCAATAATCAACAATCTAGGAGAAAGTGTGAGATTGGCTTCCTGTCTGTGAGAGTAATCAGGTGAAAGTTCACAATAAAACCCAAAATAAAACACTTTTTGGTCACAATGTGGAAATGAAAGCCTGCGAAGGTGGGACTAGTGAGCCTGTTTGATTTTTTTTTCCGTTTGACTTTATTATTATTTACTGTTCGTACCTTTTCGAGTTTACATCAGTGCAATATACAAGTGTACAAGTTTATGACTACAGTCGGCTGTTGAGGATGCTCCGTTGGCAGGCAAGGCGAGCCATTTTAACGCGTGAGCTTTCAGCAAATGATGCCTTTCAAGTCAACTGTCAGGGTATCGTAGCACCGTAATATACAGAGGAGACAGGCGTTACTAAACATGCTTCAGACATCTAAGAAACATCACTGCAGTTAAAGTGGTTGTAATCTGCAGACAACACAAAAGAAGCATGCTTTAACGGTTGCTTTTTGCTAAATATCGTCGAACTAGAGCCATGTGAGGTTGACGTCTACTTCACTTATATCTGTTCAGGAGAGGAAACGTTAAACTCTGCTGTGAATACCTCAGATTAAACCGAAGACCGTGTGAAAGAAGTAGCAATAACATATCTACCGTTCCTCCTCTGCTTCCAAAAAGTCAAATAGTGATGGTGAAAATGTCACACATCAAAGTGGGGAACCGTGAACAAGCGGCAACATTAACCTCTTCCACACGGTCTATGGTATGAACCAGCCTTTTACGCTCTGGGACTCTACCCCTCTGAACCGACTTGTGTGAAGCAGACGTCTGGTTGTGGTGTGTAAGCGGTGTAGTGCTATCCAAAGGGGGTGGCACTCTCCGAGGTAGCCGAGAATGATTCTCGCCAAATACCGTAACGAGAAAAACAGACACAAAATAAACACAGGACATAAACAATAGCACCATTGTCAGTGATAATCTAGAGAAGAGCATTCACATCGCAGCTCTTCTCTTTCCATTCCCTCCTCCCAACTCTTTTTAAACAAGCCATTCATTCCTAAAGAAGATCAAAAAACTGATTTCTGAAACATCAGTAAAGCAGGAGAGGGCTCATATTCAGTCACATGTTCTTTTTTTGTGGATATCCTCATAAATTGACACCTCTTTTCTGTTTTCCTTTGAGGTGTTGATATTTCACCTCCTGACGTTCCCTCCTCCTCCTCCTCCTCCTACTACAAGATCTTGCTGCAGACTTGGCAGCGGCTGGCTTTGGAGCGCTCCTGGCCTCCCTTCAGGGTCTCCTGCACTGGTGAGTAGACAAACTCCTGTCCAGGTTCCACAGTGGCGAGCCAGAAGCTGTACTTGTTGGCGAAGTAGTGGCAGGTGCCTTTGGCCCCGTTGCACTCGATGAAGGGTGTGGCGCGGAAATCCTCCAGGCACGAGCCGGGCGATACCAGGGACTGACCGCCGCCCTCAGCGCCGGCTGCCGTGTGCTGCAGGGACAAAAGAAAAATGAAAGATGACAAGGCTTCTTCACTGTGAACAAATGACATTTTCTCACTCAGTACGTTTAGATGGCACTTGAGAAAACTGACTTATTGCCTTACTCCAATTAAGACCGGACAACTGACCCAGGATTTTCAACGTACGGCAGTTCCTACTGGATCCGTTTGTGAGACGAATTTTGCGGTGGATTACGGACAGCGGGAATCGCGAGAACTCACAACTCACTCTCTATAAAGACAGCCACATAGGCTAACCATATAAGCAGTAGATTGTGTCCTTTCAGAGGAGGAAATCTACTTCTAGACTTCTGGAATCAGCGACTCCTCATCCATCGGGGTGAAATGCTGTCTACAAACCTTTCACTTGTTGGTCCCCGCCCGTTTGCATTGTGTGAAATACGATCCGCCTGAAACATGGAGTGTTTTATTTTGAAAAGAAGCCGGATGTTTTATTTTGTTTCTGTGCCCGGGTTAATCTGTGCTGAATTTATTCGGCATGCTCTGGCATCCGGAAAAATAGAACTCTTGGGATCAGCTGCGGAGTCCAGCGATCCGCAGCTGAACGGAATGAAGCCGGTGGAAATTGACACATTGTCTTGGATGGTTACGAACACGAATTATGAGCTTAGTCCGATTAAGATGTGCATGTAAACGCACTGAGTGAGACCTTAGGATAAAGGGAAATTGAGTGGCAGAAGACTTTTAGGGGATGAACAAGGTTCTGATTGCACTGCCATGTTCCTGAGAAGTGGAAAATCCTAATTTAGTTTGTCAGTTTTATTCTAAGACAAAAAAGTTATCAAGTCTGAAGTTTACCATGAGGAAGGAGTATCCTATCCAGAGACTCCTCCAGCCAGGGGGGCAGGTAGGGATGGTTGTGTCCTGACTGTGGACCGCCACAGCCTGAGATGGAGCCTCACACACTGAACACCTACAGACAAGGAGTTCCTTCAGTATGTGCATTATTATCCCCACAGAAGTGACTGTAAGAACTTGACTTTTTACAACTGAACACTAGATGTTAAATGATATTTTATAGCACACAGTACCTGCTGATGTAAGGTCGAATCTGCTCCTCAGCCACCGGCATCATGGGGATCGGTGCTGTTGTTGACAGCCAGTAGGATTTGTCGTTGCGGCTGGCGTAGTAGCAAATCTCGTTGGGGGAGCAGTAGAGGAAGGGTATGGTGCTGAACCGGGGGAGGCATGACCCTGGTTGACCTAAAGGAAATAAATACAGGATGTTATTGCTGTAACATCCTTAAAGGTTGAAAATCATTGTAACAACACTGTCTTGACTTGTTAAGTTTGTGTTCCCGTACCGAGGTCTTGGTTGTGCGCCTTCTCCTGCCCCTCCACATATAGTAGACTGTAACCATCCCACAGCTTGGCCATTCCCTGAGGACACATGGGCACCTGGGAGTCCTGACTGTGCTTCACTAGAGTGTAACCAATACTGTAACTGCGGCCAACACCGCCGGGAGAGCCAGGCCGCCCGATTGTACCAGGAAGACCTGGAAGGGGAGCAGACAAGAGGGAATTTAAAGTCTTTATATGTCGTGTTCTTGTCATGTTTACGTGATATTTTTCTAAGCTGTATGAACAGGCAGACCACTAACCTTGTTCTCCAGTGGGTCCAGGGAAACCAGGAGGTCCAGGGTCACCCACAGGTCCTGGAAGACCAGCAGATCCAGTTCTTCCAAGTTTGCCTACGGAACCTGGACGGCCTTTGGGACCTGGAGGATTTACAAAAACAGTTTCCTG